TTACTTGGATATAACAACAATTATTTTCGAGTAAAAAGATAAGCCGAGAGTTATTCTATAATACTTAATTAACATTGATATTCTTAATCTATAATTTATACCAATAGAAATCTAGAAATCATCATACATTAGTGCTAATTCATATTTCGATTGTACATATAATTATTTTTATTTCAATTTTAGTTTTTGCAAAGCCTTTTATTTAATTATTTGAAATAATTCAGATGCCAATATTGATTATTTCGATATATATCTATACTTTGGACATTGTTGTAATATATGTTTACCGTGGTGATTACCGAATTGATAAATAAATTCGTACTTCCACTCGGTGACGAAATGTTTAACTCTTGCAACTTCGGAATTCATTGCGTGGATACTCGAACTCGACCGCCTTTCAACCCGCCTATCCAACGGGTCAAAGTTCTCATCCGTGATTTCACGGCCGTGCTTCGACAGAAAAGCTCTGACGCTCTCCCGGTGACCAAGATCTTCATGACACGCGTGGACTGCACTGATCACTTCCCCATAGGATAACGAGTGTTCGCCACTTGGTAACTACTCGACTCTCTAGATGTATAATTGTTTTATCTGAGTAACACATGAATACAACTTGAAGAACCTGCTTCGAGAATATCAATGTCTAATGTGTTCATTGCGATGTGAATCCTTGCGAGCCAATTTTTCAACGAACTTCTACTATAATGAATAATACTTCTGTTGTCAGGTCCTAATCGACTTCAAATAATGTACGCTCATGCATCGTGAGGGTAAGGAAAGCAAGAATTTCTTGCTTTCTGTACTTCCAATCTCAACCGATGAACCGTTTTGCAAACCTTGGCTGCTTCACGCGATGGAGAATGTGATTACGGAAACATGTTGTAAACTTGGGGAGACAAAGTTCACATTTTTCGCCACCGCCGTGAAGTATGATAGACAGAAATCAGCATCTAAAATTACGTCCATTGTACAAGAATAACATTTCTCACATTCACTGATAAATGGCTATAATGAGATTCATATCGATAACAGATCTCAAAGTAGATCCTTGGCGTGGATTCATCTATAAATACTGTTACCATATGAGTTCAACACGATCCACACTAGCATTGTGTGCTTCAGATCTTCCAATCGTAGTCTAAGTGATTCGATGGAGGTTTGAATATGGTTCTAAAGTCAGTTCGAAGCTTTGTCCAAAAAGTGAATGACGAGCGAAATGTTAACTCTTATCGAAAGACTTTGTCTTCGAAAACTCGAATTCGCCCAGAAAAGTAGGACGCAGTAGGAATGATTCCATTGAATAGATGAGCTTCAGGTTAGTGAGCTGATAATTTGTACAATTGGGAATGTACATGATTCAATATATGCCACATCTAATGCGGAGGGTATATCAACAAAAGGGCAAATGGTTCCGTCCATCCTAGCTGTCTACGATTTTGACTTATTTGAAACGAGGCGTTTCAAGGAGTTCAACCGGGTCAAAACGAAACCTTGAGTACAATTCGAAGGATTTTCAAGGAGCGTTCTGCAAGAACACTACAATTCCAAGAAGCTGCGCAAAGTATGACGGAAATCCGAATAAATCCTAAGCAATGCTTTTTGAGATCCAGTTTTCTAAAAGTCACCACAGGGCGAAATATTCTTAGCCATCTCCAGGACAGCCTCAGACTCAAGACTCTCACTTTCTGGATTTGATTCTGCACTCCAAACACATACACATGTAGGATCAAGGACAAAAAAATTCGTAGCTTTTCCCCACGAGTTTCTTTCAGTGAAAGAGGGACTGCACAAACCTAACGGCTAGCAGCAAATGCCAAAATCACCATGTCTAATGGACCAACATAGTTCTGAGAGCTTCAGTCGTGGATGGGATATCATACATGGACTTCTTCTCTCTAGATACTTTTTCTATACAGCCGTCACAACACAGAACCATTTTCAGCTCCATTAATCAACTTCTGCTTTTGTTCTCCGTGCACTTCTTACTTGCGGGCCAGTTAGAACTGTGCAACCCAGATTTCACTTTTGATCTTAATCGCTAACCATGGAGGCTGCTTCTTTCCATAGAAAAGCTAGAATGCATGCACAGAGAATCTAGTTTCACTCCCATGGGGACAATAGATATATACGAATGGTTTCCATCCATCGACGAATCCTCGTGCAATTTCTCCTGCAAGATCTGCCACATCGTCATAATGCTCGGTATCGTAGTTAATCAGTGAATGTGCGAAATGTTCTTCATGTACAATGGATGTGATCGTAGACGCTGATTTCCGCATGTTGTACCTCATAATCTTCGTAAGATCTTTTGTACATTGTCTTCTGGAATTTTCATCCGAACTGTTAGTTAGGCATTCTTGAACAAATGAGACCTCGAGAGGTCATAGATTGATAACATCTCGACCAGGATATTCACCTTTCTGGACATTTAGTTTCATAGAATTGCGACCCTGGTGACTTGACAAGGTATGGGTTACCAAATACAAGAGGGACTTCCATTCGAAGCATTTACCACCGCTGACATTGATTTTCAACTCGTAGCAACATGAACGCCATACCAAAGTCCAAGTTTACAGGTACATATGTTGCAAGGAATATCTCATGAAAGGCAGTGACGTCCACTTTTAAGTCCTGTGCCTAAAAGCCACAATGTACTTTATCTTGACACTCGAGCTTAGGACAGGATCCTGACACGGCCTCTCTCTGGCTGACCCGCGGCCCACAGTGGACGTGTGCACTGGAACGTTTTGCCCGAATGCAACGTACCGCTGAAGTTTTCTGGTACAATACATACTTGTGCAACAGGGATACATATACGTATAACAATATTCTCATGCGTACAAGTATATTTGCTGATGGTATCGTATGAGCCATACGATACCAAGGTCTCAAGAGTCATACGGTTTCTATGCGGTTTGCTGATGGTATCGTATGAGTCATACGGTATGACTTTTGAAACATTTGAGCCCTTCTGTCCGCAGCGTCGTCTGATGTTCAGTAGCGCCATGTGAGAAGGGAATGGCTCCATTGGCCCGGGAGTTGCTGGAACTGTTGCTGCCCGGGACTGGGATCACATCCGAGGCTGCTGGAAGGAAGGGAGCAAGGTAGGGAATTTTGTGTGAAAAAGGCGAGAAAGGGAAGCCTAGGAAGTCCGCGGCCAGCCAATTTCGTCTGGGTGTCCAGATAGAGCAAATCTGGCGTCCTGTTGGTATGGATAGAGGGAAAGACTGGCAGAACGTCTTGAGCTTATGCACTTGGCTTTCTGCCTAGAGCACGGTTACAAATGGGTACTTGAATCCAATGTGATTATCCACAGGAGATGAACTTCTCTAGAGCGAGGATCCAGGGTACTTATTAATCCTCTTCTATAAGACATGATCTGTGTTCATCTGCCTTATTCAAGTCATTTAATCTGGATTTACAGGACCTGATCTTCAGTTTGAAAACCTGAATTTAACCTTTGACTTCAAGTATTCCATAAAAGTCTGCCAGAAAGCTGAGATCTCAGGGATAGGCATCGTAAGAATCGAAAGTCGAGTAAAGGCAGCCTTTCATGATCAGTGTAAGTCGGTATCAAACATTCACAGAATTATCTCCTTTATAGTGTAGTGAACTAGTATCAAAATTTCAAAATAAATAGTTTTTAACTTCCAAATCGTGTTTTTAGCTATATACACCATGGGAGCATCAATCTTCAATTTTAATGTTAAAATATTTAAATAAACAACTTTCCTTCATGGCAGACCGTACTGAATAGATCATAACTTTGTAGAATATTTTGCCGACACAAATAGTGGATACGATGATCTTAACTCTATCTTCGTCGCGTGAAGAAAAGATTGGAAAAACAGAGGACTGGCAATGATTGCAGCAGCAGTTAGAAATATTGTTTTCTCCCTCGTAATGGAAGAGCGTGTGGAACGTCGAGGTGCACTCTCGATTCCAAGATAGAATAAAATCACTTTTTTCGTTAATGACATGATATTATCCAATAATGAAATTTTATGTTTACTTTTAGAATTAGAATTAAAATTATATTATGATGTAGAAAAGGAAAATCTATAATAAATTGAATTAAATATCTATCATAGTACTTTATTTCGATTTAATATAATATTTTATTGTAATTAATTCCATCATTTTCTCATGTAAATATCTGTATACATATTCATATTTTTAAATATTAATTTTTGAAAATAATGGAGAATAACAAATAAATGGAATTTTACAACTAAATAATTCACTTATTGGATATTTTGAGAGAACAACTTACATAAAAAATATCCGGGGTGTAGTATTCTAACAGCTCCAGTGTATATCACTATTGGGAATAATAATATGTAGTATCATTTATTGCAATAGAACCTCGTGGGAGAATTTCTTTGCAAGTATACACATCGCATATCCACAGCACACACTGCCATTCTCGAAGCACTGTTCTTCGAGTTCTCTTCACGCTTTCGTTATACTCATCACAAAGTCGATAAACTTCAGCTGTCCCGTCTGAGAGTCGACTACTTATCGAGTGGACACAATTGGTAGCGAACGCAAGTTATGCTATGCTGCCACTCCACGCGTGGCATGACATGCCTGGTTGTGAGGAGAGCATCGGAAAATTCCTGCCAGAGGACGATCGTGGATTCACAGATGAGAACTTTGACCCGTACGATGGGCGGAGTGAAAGGCGGCCCAGTGGGACAATCGACAGAGTGAAATTCGAGCATCCAAAATGAGCCAGGACTCGGTCTCGGGCCCGCAGATCTAGAATATAACCCACTGTCAAATTCTGACAATCTTGTCGTTATGGTCCGACGCGGCTTCGACGTGTCTGCGAATCTGCATTCTGCAGTCCTCGCTTGCTCTGTGTAAGAAGATGTCGAGTAATGAAAAGTGAGACGTACTTTACGGCCGGAAACACATGGTCTTTGTCCAAAGAGTCAGCTCCTTCTCACTGAAGCTTTCCCGATTCTGGCTCTTTCACTCCACTATGACTCTGTCTCACTCCGTGTGCATCTACTTTCGGGTGTATAAAGCCTCCACTCACTTGGCTCAATTCTTCACTTCCACTTTCAGGTTCTCAAACCTGAGCTAGTTCCTACCGAACAAGGTACACATCAGACTCCTGAACGTCGGCAGCTCCCACTGCACATTTCTTCGATAGCGAACCAAGTTCGGATTTAGATCGACATTGCCGTTATTTTCCTTCATTCGACGCTTCGAACTGCCGAGAAGTCTATTTCTTGCAACTCTGCGAATAACCAGAAATCTCTGTTGTCGTCTTCCAAGCTCAGCCATGGCTATGAATCCGAACGAGGTGAGTGCCTGCAGTGCGAAGAGAATCGTCGAATTCGTTCATGATTTTAAATCGTTGAATGCTGCGAAGATTTTTTTCTATTCGTCTTAACAGATTTCGCATCTCTGTCTGCCTGCAGCTTTTCTACGCAGGATACAACCCATCGCCGTGGTACAATGGTCATAACGATTATTGGATCATGAGAGCGTTAAATGCCGAGAAGCAGGCAGAGAAGAAGAAGCAGGAAGATGCTAAGAAGGGGATTATCGAGTTGTCAATGCCTTTGTGCTGCGAAGGCTGCATCATGAAAGTACACAAGAAGCTCAAGCCCATGGATGGTAAGAGATTCACATGTGTTGAGCTCTGGTTGGATAGTCTTCAACTGCGGATTGAAGAATGTGGGCAGCGATTTCACTAGCTATTGGAAAATTGCTGCTATCACATGCTCTGTGATGTGGATTGTTGACCCCATTCCTGTTTTTCAGGTGTGGCAAGTGTTGAGTGCGATCAATTGAAGCAGAAGGTGATCGTGAAAGGTGACGCCAATCCTGAGGCTGTTTTGAAAAAGGCGCGGAAGATTAACAAACGAGCCGATTTCTGGAAGGAAAAGAAATGATTTCCGGCAAAGAATGTACATCGCTGCGAAACAACAAATCTACAGATTCGCTAACTGAAGTGGGTCATAAAGCATTGATGATCTGGACTTTACATCGTGAACGTTTACATCGAAGATACTTGGCGAAGTTCACATCTGCACACGGAAGAGAGAAGGGTCCGTCACAGCGAGTTCTCACATTCGGACTTTCGGATGGCTACGAGATCAGGAGATGATTGCCTCGGTCCTTCTAGCTAAATAACGCTACCCTTGCGTCTAGTTCGACTTTCTCACACTGCCGATCTCCACCACATTCCAAAATCCTGGGGTAGTATACATTTCAATTGGTGTGGAGTTTCCATTTCTTTCAATATTTCTTGGCGCATTGCCATTGTATAAATGCCTGATGGCTCGTAGAACATGTCACAGGATGGTCTGAAGTGTAAACGCATTAGAGAATGTAAAAATTAGGAACATTTGAAGGGGTAGGACGGTTGAGTCATTCCTGAAAGTTTTGAGGAATGCACTGTAAATCCATGGGCGAAGATTTTAGCCAGTTCTATCTGAGATGAAAGTGTGTGCGTAATCGAACATAAGATTGACAGGAAAGCTTGTAGAAGCAATTCAGGTGAGTAATTGAAGTTTATTCTACAGTGATGATTGTGCGTCTGATTTCCAGACGCACCAAGTATGTTGCGTCTAACGCAGGCGTCTTTGGCAAACGAAAGGAGAGAAGCGTGACTAACAAGTTAACACATGCACGAAATACAATACAGTACAGCATTATGTACATGCTAGAAGCGTATACCGTTTACTGTTGTCGCGTATCATTTCTTGCTACCCTGGCTTTCTTCACTTGATGTCATTCGTCTCTGAGAGGGTTCGTTATTTATTATCACGACCTAGGAAATCATTGCACTTATACAGTTTGACTTGTATAGTTATGTATCAAAATCGAAGTCGTCATGACGAGTGAAACGAAAAGTTTCTCACTGTTCAATTCTGTGTCTCTTTACGCTTGTTCAAGCACAAGTAGCAAAGAAACATGTCAAACAGAAAGATGATAAAATTCTCAAGCCGGACGTGCATGTATGAACTCAAAGGAGTGACAAGTGACTAGGCCTGATAGGGTCACAAAGAAGTGTTGTTAAAGTTTGTGTTTCATAATGGTTGAATAAGTCAATATGGGACCATGTGAAGAGCGAAAAAAATGAAAAAATATCATGTTACAAATACAAGTGTGACATGAAATATATCAAAGTAGAAATGTGAATCATCTGATGTTTGTGAATCAATAAGATCGATTCTTTAAAAAATCTACAGTAATATTTTTAAGTTTTATAGAGAAGAATGTCTTTATGATGAGATATTCATCATGCATTTTGATCGTAGAAGCAATTTGTTTATGCGTATTGAAGAATCGTAGAAGCTAATTGACGAACTATACGAGAAATGAGAATTAAGTTATAGTTTTCGAACTATTTATTGAAACCTTGAAAAATATTCAGAACGATAACAGCAGTATATGTGGAATTATTTAATCTAGTTGATGATATAGGTGTTTTTAGGTTTCTATGCATATTGACTGTATTTAGAAACTGAGTATTTTAAAATCAGCCAATACATCATACAATACTTGTATCTTCTTGGAGTTGGAACCGAATGGCAGTGGGAAAAGTATCTTGCTGCGTGGGAAATGGTTAGCGGTACCATTACATACATGGTTACAATGGGCGTATAATTTTCTTGGCTTTTCGGAACGACAGTTTTCCCTTTATTCTCTTCGAATTAGATGTTTGTAGTCTTACTCGCTGCATTCGCTAAGTTCTCGGCAGGTTGCGACTTTAGAGGGCTATTTACCGGCAGTTCGGATATTGGGCACAACGAAACTTGCTGGTACATATAAAAGTGTAAAGCATTTTCGCCTTCAACTTAGCACGCACTGATAACGCGATCTTGACGTACTGATTGGTGCCTGGCGGCTGTGGCTTTCTAAAGTACTGTTACATCTCCGACATGGCAGAATAATGCGTTAGCTGATCAGGCAAGTACAGCAGGTAAAGGCGATCGTTGTCGGCCTGATGGTTACGAGAAACTTGGACTTTTCCTGGGTTACGGTGAATAAGTAGAGAGTCAGCTGCAGTTGAAAGCGATTTTCAATGTGCCTGATGGGATGAGAGTCGAGCTAATCGTAAGAAGGAGCAGGCTTGATTTTGAAAACAAGATTGAGGTCTTGAATACGTACCTCGAGCAAGCGCATGATGTTGTCTTGCTCTAAGAAGTCCTCCAACTCGGGGTTTCGAGCAATACTCATACTTTCACCGATCATGTCTTGACAAGTCTTGATCGTTAAAACGAATAGAACAAAATCGTCTTGAAGATTTACAAAATCTTGAGTACCCTCTCAAGAACCCTCGTTTTATTCGCACCTCAGCTCTAACCACCTCACGCCTTTCACTATGCACATATCCTATATTGTTAACCCACATCTTCCTCATTTACTCTGAGCATTCTCAAGTATCCATGTTTACTCAGGATAATAACACAATGAGGGTCGTCACTCTTCAATTAATCACTCACATCACTTCTCTGTCTCTCTGTAATAGCAACCTTTGCAAAATCATCGTGTCTACCAAATGTGGGAAATTCCATCAAACGTCCCAACTGGATCAGGCTGACACCATACAACAACACCACTAGACCCCCTTCTTTCCCAAGGCTGCAAACGGGCCTCATAGCATACTTCACAGGGCAAAAGGCAATTAGATCCGGTAACTTGCCCTACTCCTGCACACGGAGAAACATCACGGCGCATCTTCAGTACCGAAGGAATGGAGTTTGTCCAGCAGATCTTCAGGTCCTTGAATCCGATATCTCGGCCATCAGATGGTTTTGATGCCGAAGATCTGATTGAAATTCGAAAACCGATGCAAGTCGAGGAAAGACACAACGGCCAGTCAGATTCGGCAGCGAGAAAGAGCTTTCAATCGATGAGCGGAAAGGAAAGAATCTGTGAAGCACTTAAGGTAGCTCGCCCCTCCGATGAATCCATTCAATGATAACGATGTAACCTATGTAGTTAGTTGGAGCCCTGTACAATCATTATTGTAACACATAATTCTCATCCATCAAAGTTGAAAATTAAATTCAGCCAAATTTAAGATTTTACGAAGCTCTTTTACTTTGTGATAATAATATATCTAATCATATATATGTATGGATAAATTTTCCATTGTGCAGATCAATTTTTTAAAATACTAATCATTTCAAAAAAAATTGGATTTCGTTCTAGAGGCTCATCAAACATATAGTGTAAATACTGCTAAAGATATTGCGAATGAATAAAATTATTAATATATCGGATTATTTCATGCAAAATCATTCGAAAATTTCTGCATATTTCATGTGATGATAGCTTCGAAATGAAAACTGTATCAAAGCAATTGAAATTGAAACATATGTCTTCGTTGTCAAAAAGGGAAGCCAGATATTTTGATCATAATTTGTCCAAAAGTCACCTTTATAAATATCCCCTATTGATTGATTGTAAAACAAATTAAAAAATTTATATATGAAATTTGATGTTTTTACTGAAGATGTATGACATATGGAAGTTCTGTTAATGTTTGGACTTTAATCTAAACAAACACTTAACTTAGACACTTGAAGAACTATGTGAAGCATATTATTACTTATTTATTTTGATGTTCTATGTCATAAAAGTAAAAATAACTCATTTACAGGATTCAAATATGACATATATTGCATGTCATATTTGTTTCCAGACAAAGCATAAACTTCACAAAATGGATTACACTTCTAGGTGACTGAATGTGTTCTGAATGCATGTGTACTGAATGGAACCAACAAAAATTAGATGGAATACAGAGTACCCGTGATGTTCTAACAATAACAGATTCTTCAACAACAAAAAATATAGATATCTTCGCGTACCAATCTAAGATCTAAAACTGTTGAAACGTTGATCACATCTTGCCCATCATGGTCGAAATCATAGGATACAGTCCTGGTTTGTTGAGGAAACATTGAACTCGGAGGATGTTGACTCAACATCCTCCGAGTCAGTGTCTCAACATTGTTGAGACACTAGTCGACTTATGTTGTCAAGAATCATCGTTTCGGGTTCCATTTACGGCTGTCCCTAGACTTTGGTTATTGTGTTATATACTGAATATCTATTCATTTACAATCTTATCGAGTATAACTAGAGATTTTGCATCAGATGAAATGGCTGTGACGACGAGCAGCACGAAAAGATATATCTGATGGACTATATCCAAGCAGGGAATCTCCGTCGTATAGAAGCAGGTGTTCTAAACTTGTTTCAAGACACTTTACTCATAAATAGAACATAACAATTTGAAATGATATTTGACAATGGAACCTATATGAGATACTCAAAAGTAAGCCCGAGGCAACAATGACTCCGGATGCGTGCCTGTCTCTCCAATAAGTAAGTCATTTCAGGTGTTCTCAAGTGATAGAGCTTGAAAAATCTGTACTTATATTACTTGTCGTACGCCTCGTGATCTGATGGAGGCTTCCTTGTTTCCGTTGAGTCTCTCTTCCCAAGTATATTTGCTCTCTTATATTTGGAGAAGTTACGGGCCACAAAGGAGAAAATTAATGAGCTTACAATAGAGAGATTATGAAGAACCTTGCTGTTCGACTGTTTGCATACCTCACAGAGCTTGCCGTATATGGAAAAGCGAAGTAAAGTGACTTATCACCGAAGAATTGGCGACAGAAAAGGCAAACACTGAAGTTCCTAACTCCTTCGTCACTCTGATGCAACTGTACTCTATTCACAAGTTCCACTGTTCTCTGCTCTTTCTCGTGGAAAGTACTGCCTTGTATTCTGGCTTTCACAGACGAACCCCCAATGATTCTCTAATGAGAAGGATGACGTATGTGCTTCAGAAGCGGCGATCTTAATTCGTCTTTTAAATCGTCAATATCCAATCTCTTGGGAAGATTCTGCAGAATAGTCTTTTTACATACTCAGAGCCCTTGAATTGTGACATCACCTGCGGGAAATTTGGAGCGACATAATGTAATTATGAGGCTTACTAAAGTAAGCATGCCGTAATTTGGGTGAAGAATGTTTAACAAACTGCAACAGTAATTCCTCCACAGTCGTCACTTGTACTCTGCGTATCACGGACAGTCCATATAGATAAGGCATATGGCTCCTTCTTAGCTGTCGGGCCACCTGATTGTCAAAAGCCTTGGACACTTATACAAGCCAGAATTGTCCGCCCATTTTGAATGTCGCTTTAAACGAAAGCCATGTTGGTCTGATTAGGCTCCTGCGTCTGATCTGCACCAAAATCCCTGTTCACTTATTGACCCCTCCAGAGCTGCCAGCATTTTGAGATTGAAATACCTGAGTCCCAGCCCGGGAGTCATAGCTTGCAGTGAGAGAAAACCTGTCGAGGAAAAAAATTGAATGCTAGAAACTTGTAGTGCTATATGTAACGATAAGGTTGCCATCCAGTATGAGAGTGTAACTGGTTTACGGATGATTCAGATCAGCGTGAACTGTAGGAGCGATCTAGCCTTTGAGAACACATCTGTATCTACTGAAGTAAGTTCATCGTTAGCAAGACATTCAAATCTTAGAACGGGACATAGCAGGCTATTCCTGTTGTAGATCTGTGAGCTGAACCACTGTATTCTTTGTTGACAGAATCCATTGTCACTTTTTTATCCGACGACCTCAGTCAGACCATACATTGCTGCAGTGATCTGAGTTACAAGCACAAAATTTTGTTAACAGCCATGGGAAACGCTGACCCACAAGTAGAGAAGCTGTTGCCTGAGGAGGATCTGTCCGTTCCAGCGCCAGTGAGCTCATCGTTCTGTGTGCCATACACGACGCAATTCAGCATCTTTAAAAAGCATTTTGTTTGGACAGATGGCGTGTTCAAAGTGAAGGATGTCAAGTGCAATTTGCTCTTCAAGATAGATAGATCTTCGGCCCTTTGCTGTAACCTGGTCGTCTACGATCACGATGGAAGTGTCGTCATGAGTTTGAGAAGGAAGGTGAGCACCGATAAATCCAGAAAGTAGAGCTAATACCTCTGGCTGATGTTCCTCTTGCTTACTGAGAGACAAAGAGTACACATCAGTTTCTGTATCACAAGATATTTTCTGGTTCGATAAGTGTAACTGAAGTACCATATTTTGCTTTCTGTTGACCGTTCACCAAAGAATTTTCTTCACAAAGGCTGGGGAGTTGTGAGACTGAAACTTTCTCCAATTGATGAATGCGAAAGCGGCTGGGGACCTGCACAGTTGAAATCTTCAGTGAAGTCCACGGGGCGTAGAGAGTTAATAGAAAGTCTGATGGTTGAAGATGCAGTTCTTTACGTTCGTGGATACATGGAATGCGTATCAAGCAATCAAGCAAGTCTGAAGATCGGCTTTTCACGATGTCAAGGTCCAGTCTCATTCAGTGGAAACCGCATTTCACGATATGGCTTCCGGGAAAAGCAAACGATGAATTTACGCTGAGTAGCGACTTCTTCAGAACGCATTACAAAATACGTCACAACGGTGTTATCATCGCAGAGGTAAGGCTACCCAAACCACCCACGCGCCGCACGAAAGGCTTGGATTGCTAAACCTATTCACCGATAGGCCATCTGATTGTGTTTGCAGCAATGTGGAGAAACATATGCCTGAAAACAAGGCCTGAACTCCTCAAGTTGCTGACTGACAGGAGCTCCTTTTTGACTCACATAGATCTTTGTTGCAATTTCTTGAACCTTCTATCCTTCAGAGTGAGTCTATGGATAGATGGTTCTGTGGGGCTAATAGTACTCGCGATCGAAATTGACCTTGCTTCCGTGGCTTGCAGGCTGTACAGAAGTGGGTGCTCTGCTTCAAAAAGGAAATGGCGCTTACAGTGAGACCGGGAGTCGACCAAGCATTCGTAGCAGCACTTCTCGTCATCAAGAGACAGATAGTCCCTCACGGACAGGGTGGCGGAGTTTGAGTATAAGCAAAAAATACAGGAAAAGATACAACACATTTTTGAACTGTACATACGGATTGTTTCCTCCACTCCCGAATTGTTCTACCTACGCCGAGGTAGATCGTATGGTGATCCAAACCCCGTTTCAATATGAATGGATGCAAGATGGCCGGAAATCACAATGTAGGAAGCTCCAGGTTCTTGTCCGAGGCCGTTACCTATTGCAGCCAGACTGTTGTCAGTGCCTCTCTCTCTGTTACACTACTCCTCCAAGCGCAACAATATTGCAAGATAGCGGCCTATTTCACTAGGAGACAGATTTCAATCCGCTTCGATTAGACTTTTGAACAAATGAGCAAAATGCAATAACAACAGATTCACGAAGTGTGAATTTTCATTGCCATTTCCTGAATCCCACCAGTGCAGATACTCAGAGATGTTTATACGTTTCATAGTGCTACAAGTAGTTTCATATTGAAATGATTAGTAAGAATAACTTATCTTCTTTTGACTTAGAAAAATCAGACTTACGCTTACCAAGCATTTACTTTTTTTTGAATCTAAAAGTCATATAGCCCTCATTTGCGGTCTGAGTTTTTGGTTTATGTATGTTAACTTCTCACTTGTGACTTTACATATCAAAGCGACGAAGAATCATGGTAACCCTCATTCTTATTTCACACCTTGTTATAAAATGAATAGCATGGACTACAACATGAATTTTGCAATAGAGTTCGCTCGTGGAGAAACCATAACACTCCTTCAGATGATCCTGATAAATTTCAGTTAATATGTACAACTTTGGTAGGAACGAGCTCGTTGCCAAGCGGGGGTGGCAAGCAGAACAGAATGTGTAAGGGAAGAATGGAGCCAAGACATACATTGAAGCTTTCTACAACGGTGCGGTGCGCAAGGAGGGAAAGCAGAATGAGAGGATTCGCCGAAGCTTCAGTTCGGAAGTTTTTCGGCCCCTTTTCGGTCGATTTGTTCGCGACCTGTAATAATATGCATAGCTGTCGTCAAACACGCGTCGCGGGATCTCATCAGACTTCTGAGAAATTGACCTCGGGGTCATACACTAGACACCAAAGTCAAGTATGAGTGATTGCATACCTCAATGGCCTGACAGAAACCGGTGTACGGGAATACGTGTATGTATCTTTGATGCCCGAGTAGAATACGCTGCAGAATCAAACGTATGTTCTATTGGAGCAGTTTTCTAATCCTATTATGGGCCCGTAGTAAATCGGAAGGACAGAGTCTTGCTCCCTGTCAAGATCTAGTATATGACCCAGAAGTCAATTCCTTACGAGTAGGTCAAAATCGCGCGACGCGTGTTGGCATTCTGCAGGTATTAAAAGTAGGACGCCTTGCAGGTTGGGAACATCTGGGCCCCAGTTGTCGGATGCGGTTCCGAACCTGCTGTTTCTCATTCCGCCATGATTACGCCTCACTCCGTGTGCAATGGAGTGAGACGTACAGCTTCCGATGTCCTCTTGTCACTCCCGCTTCGCATCGAGCTCGTTCAAACCATATCAGAGACCTGGACGTCGGGCAGCTTCCCTTGTTCACGACTCAGCTTTGCTTGAGCCATTTGTTCGATAGCAATCCACGTTTCGATTTTGATCGACAGTGTCGTGGTTCTCTATCTTGGACGCTTCGAACTGCGGAGAGGTCGATCTCTTCCAGCGCTGCTTTAGCCAGAGATCTCTGTCGTCGTTTTCCAAGCTCAGCCAAGGCTCTCAATCACAACGAGGTGAGCGCCTCTGGGTTGAGATGGTACCAGGTTCATGCTTTTACAGCTTTGAGCTTCAGATTCTCGGCACATCGAATATATGAGCCGTCATGACCATGCATATAACAAAGTGAGACCGTTTGTGCCTGCGCGTAGTATTGAGCCGTCATGACATACTGAGTGGTACCTAGCGGATGTGGATTTCCTCCAAAGAAGAATGCACTACCGCGCATCTCTAACAAGATTCTAAACCTACTTTATATTGCATCTCCTACAGCACCACATAAAACAACAATGCTTTGTTCATCTAAGAATTCGGCCATGTAACAAAATTTTTAGTATGTATTCTTGCACAGTCCGGTCTGACATGTTGAGTACTTTTTTTCTCGTTCCCTTCCTTGGATATAAATGAGTACATGGACCGTGGTAGACTTTAGTAAAATATGAGTAAAAACTATGTGCTAGGATTATTAAAATCAACATTCCATCACATTCCATCATTCCATTTAATATTCCAAAAATTCCATCAAGTCTTCCATGTGCGAGCAGCAAAAATAGTTGATTTTTAATTTGGTGGGAGTCAATAAAAAGCTTCTTTTTTCTCTTTTTTTTGAAACTAAAGGTATACAAATGTTACATGTGACAAGATGTCCATACTATAGCTATCTATTTCATCATCTCCTTATTTGCAAAATTTCTAACTAGATAATTGTAAAAGTGAGTTATAGAATGTAATTCTCTAGTCATGCTATTCAGGCCTAGCTTCATGAAAGCTGTTAGAATTCATAAAAAGCGCTGAAATAGCCTAAAATGTCAAATTTATTTCCACCCAATAAAGATCAGCTTGCGTCACGCACGATACATCACTACGTTCTACATTTGCGATGTAGCTGCATTTGTATTATTCTTTTAATAGCTTCACTCTGATATCGATTGCACACTCGGTACAATACATACTTGGGCAACAGGGATACATATACATCTAACATTATTATATGCGTACAAGTATATTTCTAAGCGGTCCGGTGATGATATGGTATGACTCTTGAAACTTTGGAGCCCTTCCGTCGTCTGATGTAGCGCCATGTGAGAAGGGAATGGCCCCATTGGCCCGGGAATTGCTGGAACTATGCGGGACTGGGATCACATCCAAGGCTGCTGGAAGGAAGGGACCAAGGGAGGGAATTTTGTGTGAAAAAGACGAGAAAGGGAAGCCTAGTAAATCCCCGGCAAGCCAATTTCGTCTGTGTGTTCAGATCGAGCGAATCTGCCGTCCTGTTGTTATGGATAGAGGGAAAAACCGGCAGAACATCTTGAGCTTATGCACCTGGCTTTCTGCCTAGAGCACTGTTGCAAATGGGCACTTGAATCCAATATGAGTATCCCCAGGAGATAAACTTCACTAGAGCGAGGATCCCGGGGACTTATTAATCTTCGCCTATAAGGCATTATCTGTGTTCATCTACCTAATTAAAGACAATTTATCTTGATTTACCAGGACCTTGTCTTCAGTTTGAGTACCTGAAGTGAACCTTTGACTTCAGGTATTCCATAAACATCTGCGAGAAAGCTGAGATCTCAAGGATAGGCATCATAATAATCGAAAGTCGAGTAAAGGCAGCCTTTCATGATCAGTCTAAGTCGCAATTAAACTTTCACTGAGGAAATTTCCCCTTTTGTGTGTAGTGAACAAGTTTCAATGTTTCAAAACTTCATACTGTTAACTTTCAAATCATGTTTTTAGCTAAACTCAACATGGGAGCATCAGTGTACGATTACAGTGTTATAATAATATAGCAACTTTCCGACATGGCAGACCGTACTTGATACTGTGGAACATTGTGGACTATTTTGTCCAACACACGTAGTGGATCTACGATGTTCCTAACGCTGTCTACATCGAGTGAAGGAGCCAAGATTCGATGGGCGGAGTGAAACTATCGTATATTTCTATAAGTATAAGTAAAGTAAGAATATAAGAAATATGCTTAAATAAGTGGGACTATCGACAGATCGAAATTCGAAGACCCCATAATGAGCCAGAACTCTGTTTGGGGGCCGCGGATCTAGAACATGACCCAAAGTCAACTTTTGACAATCTTGTCGCAATAGTCCGACGCGGCTCCTACGTGTCTGCGAATCTGCATTCTGCAGTCCTCGCTTGCTCTGTCTAAGAACATATCGAGTGATGAAAAGTGGGACGTACTTTAAGGGCGGAAAACATGGGCTTTGTCCGAAGAGTCAGCTCCTTCTCACTGAAGCTTTCCCGAATCTGACTCTACTATGGCTCTGTGTCACTCTGTGTGCACCGACCTTCGGGTCTATAAAGCTTCTACTGTCTTGGCTCAATTCTTCACTTCCACTTTCTGATCTGCGTACCACCCCCGCTTCGGAAACCCGAGTTGTTTCCTACCAAATTAGGTACATATCAGACTCCTGAACGTCGGCAGCTTCCCCTGCACATTTCTTCGATAGCGATCCAAGTTCGGATTTTGATCTACATTGCCTCTAATTTCTTTCATTCGACGCTTCGAACTGCGGAGAAGTCTACTCTTGCAACTCTGTGAATAACCAGAAATCTCTGTCGTCGTCTTCCAAGCTAAGCCATGGCTATGAATCCGAACGAGGTGAGGGCCTGCAGTGCGAAGACAATCGTCGACTTCGTTCATGATTTTACAGCGCTGGACGGTGCGAAGATATTGTTCTGTCCGTCCTAACAGATTTCGCATCTCTGTCTGCCTGCAGCTTTTCTACGCAGGATACAACCCATCGCCGTGGTACAATGGACATAACGATTATTGGATCTTGAGAGCATTAAATGCCGAGAAGCCGATAGAAAAGAAGAAGCAGGAAGATCCTAAGAAGGGGATTATCGAATTGTCAATGCCTTTGTGCTGCGAAGGGTGTATCCTGAAAGTACACAAGAAGCTCAAGCCCATAGATGGTAAGAGATTCATATCTGTTGAGCTCTGGCTTGAAAGTCTTCGACTACCGATGGAAGAATGTGAGCAGCGAATGTACTAGCTATTGCAAAATTGCTGCTATCACATGCTCTGTGATGTGGATTGTTGACTTCATTGCTGTTTTTCAGGTGTGGCAAGTGTTGAGTGCGATCAATTGAAGCAGAAGGTGATCGTGAAAGGTGATGCTAATCCTGAGGCGGTTCTGAAAAAGGCACGGAAGATTAACAAACGAGCCGATTTCTGGAAGGAAAAGAAATGATGATCTCTGGCAAAGAACGTACCTCTCTGCGAAACAAAAAATCTACAGATTCGCTGACTGAACTGGGTCATAAATCATTGCTATGATCTGGACTCGTATTCGTGAACGTCCATATCGAAGATACTTGGCGAAGTTCACATCTGAATGCGGAGGAGAGAAGGGTCCGTCAAAGCGAATTCTCACATTCGTACTCTCGGATGGCTACGAGATCAGGAGATAATTGCCTCGGTCCTTTTATCTAAATAACACTACCCTTGCGTCTAGTTCGACTTTCTCACACTGCCGATCTCCACCACATTCCAAACTCCTAGGGTAGTATTTATCTCAATTGGTGGGGAGTTCCATTGCTTTCAATAATTCTTGGCGTTTTGCCATTGTACAAATGCCTCATGGCTCGTAGAACATTTCACAGGGTGGCCTCAAGTGTAAACGCATTAGAGAAAGTAAATATTAGGGACTTTGAAGGGATAGGACAGGTGAGTCATTTCTGATATTTTTAGGAAATGCACTGTAAATCCATGGGCGAAGATCTTAGCCAGTTCTATTTGAGATGAACGTGTGTGCGTTATCGAACATAAGATTGACAGGAAAGCTTGTAGAAGCAATTCAGGAGAGTAATTGAAGTTTATTATTCAGTGATGATTGTGCGTCTGATCTCCAGACGCACTAAGTTTGTTGCGTCTAACCGTTAGACTCTAACACAGGCTTCTTTCGCAAACGAAAGGAGAGAAGCGTGATCAACAAGTTAACACATGCACGAAATACAATACAGTACAGCATTCTGTACATGCTAGAAGCGTATACCGTTTACTGTTGTCGGGTATCATTTCTTGCTACCTTGGCTTTCTTCACTTGATGACATTCGTATCTCAGAAGAAAATCTATAATTACGACCCAGCATATCATTGCACTTATACAGTTTCACTTGTATAATGTATGTATGAACCTTGAAGTCGTCAGGACGAGTGAAATGAAAAGTTTCTCACTGTTTAATAATGTGTCTCTATACCTTTGTTCAAGTACAAGTAGCAAATAAACATAGCATACAGAAAGATGTGAAACCAATCAAGCCGGGCGTGCATGTATGAACTCAAAGGAGTGACAAATGACTAGGCCCAATAGGGTCACAAAGAAGTGTTAAAGTTTGTGTTGTATCATGGTGAAATAAGACAATATGGTACCAAGTGAACAGCAAAAAGATGAAAAAGTATCATCTTACAAATACAAGTGTGAAATGAAATATATCAAGAGATATATATTAATCATCTAGTATTTATGAATCAATTATACCAATTTCTTTAAACAAATCTGTAGTGATATCTTTAAATTGTTATTAAGAGTATTGTCTATATGAGGAGATATTAAGCATGCATTATTACAGTGTGTTAACTTTTTATACCCAATATTAATTAATTCTTTAAATATTATATTGATTACCAACAAGATTTGTTCATGCCTATTGAAGAACTGTATAATTCTAATTTATGAGCTAGACGAGAAATGACAATTAAGTAATAAAACCAGTGTGCTATATGGAAATACACAGGTTTCTAGCAAAGAAGTAACAAAAATTTTGTAATTTACATAAATTTTCTACGATAATTTCTAGAAAAAATCTAATACAAGGCTTCTTTTTTCACAAAAATTAACTAAAACTAAATTGTATCACAGGATAGGGTAGATTTATAAAAAGATAATTGAAAATACTATGTAACCAAATTCTATTTGTGCTCTCATGCACAAATTGCATGATAACACAGCTTCACTTGAAAATTTTAAAAAATTTTTACTCTCTAACAAATTAGTTGTATTGAGTTATTGTTAACCTTGACTAGGTCAACCATGATAGTATATCATCAATCTTGATCAGTTCAATCACAAAAGATTACCATAAGAATTTACCGTTAATCTGACTAATTCAATAATCAGAGAATAAAATTAATCTTGATTAGCTCAATCACCAAAATTTACCGTTAATCTTGATTAGCTCAACTATGAAAATTTATTGTTAATCTTGATCAACTCAATCACCAAAAAATATCGTTAATCTTGACTAGCTCAATAACCAGAGTTTATCGTTAATCTTGACTAGCTCAACCATGAAATTTACAATTAATCTTGATTAACTGAATCACCAAACAATATTGGTAATCTTCACTAATTCAATCACCAAAGTTTACCGTCAATCTTGACCAACTCAATCACCAAAAAATATCGTTAATCTTGACTAGCTCAATAACCAGAGTTTATCGTTAATCTTGACTAGCTCAACCATGAAATTTACTATTAATCTTGATTAACTGAATCACCAAACAATATTGATAATCTTCACTAATTCAATCACCAAAGTTTATCGTCAATCTTGACCAACTCAATCACCAAAAAATATCGTTAATCTTGACTAGCTCAATAACCAGAGTTTATCGTTAATCTTGACTAGCTCAACCACAAAATTTACTATCAATCTTGATTAACTGAATCACCAAACAATATTGGTAATCTTCACTAATTCAATCATCAAAGTTTACCGTCAATCTTGACGAACTCAATCACCAAAGTTTATTGTCAATCTTGACTAGCTCATTCATGAGAGTTTACTGCTAATTTTGACTAGCTCAATCATCAAAGTTTAAAGTTAACTCAATCACTAAAATTTATTGTCAATATTAACAAGCTAAACCATGTGTTTAGGAATTCTACCAATATCGGTGCTACTTCTTGATCATTAACCACATAATGATCAATCTCCTCTATAACTATATACGTGAATGAAATTTTCCTTGTCAACACAAAGAGTTTGAAAACTCTTCCACTCTTTCAATAATCTAAGTCTTATTTAAGAAACATCCTCACTAACAAGAATCTACAGGCTACTAGATCCCATAGCTTGTAACACTACTTTTTCCAAAGCATGAATATCTTTGTCTCGAGTCCAGATACTCCGACCTCTCGCGTTGTCATCTCAACTAGTCCAAATTATAAATACAAAAACAAGCTGTAATTTTTTTCGTTTGGATTATATTTCTATATTTGTCAAAAATTCCATACTCAACGTTGTTACACATAGTACTTGGAAAAAAACAATGAATTCTTGAATTAAATACCATCCACAACCTTAATTTTCTTATATACTTATTCAACACAATTTTTGCAACAACAAGGAATGTTCATCTCTCCAATGTTTACTTTGTTTCTTGCCGATTCCTCTACCCTTGCTAGCTTGTTGGAGCTGTGCAACCCACAATCCACTTTGGATCACACCGGTTGTACCATTGACGATGGTTTCTCCATAAAGAGCTATTTACAACATAATAGAATCCATTCTTTTTAGTGCATTCTCTCAAGGCTTTTGCTATGGCCTCAAACAGCAATAGTTTAAATTTCACAAGAAGTATCATACAAAATATATAGAATCCTCATGGATGACAAACCAACTTTCCATTCTTACCTTGTTATGGTTGATGGGCATATCTAGATTCGATTCTGTATAAAGTAACGAACAACTTGCTCAAAGTTCAACCTTCTAGATTAATTCTACCCGATCAGAAGGTGTCTATGTCTATGACAAGAATGAAGGGAATCAATCCAGGGCGGGAGCAATGTGTAATTCGTTTGTATATGAAACATGGAACAATTCTTCAAAATGAAAAGGCCACCGTCAACAAAGTTAGGATGAGTATAATAAAGTGACAGATGAAAGAAATGTCTAAACCAAGCATTTATAGATGAAGGACGAATTGATGATTGAGATGCTACGTTTGGCTAAATACAAGGTCAACCACACCGCAGTGAAGAGCATGAGTCAAAGTCATGCCACCTTGGACCTGACTCTAGTCAAAAGGTCCGCCAACCCTTTTCACTAACTTGAGACTTTAGACAACATAACAGAATCTGGAAAACAGCAAACGAAGAATCACGAGGCAAGAGCTAAAGTTCACGAGAAGTAATTAAGGTTTTAGATTTTGTAGAATTAGTACATTTAGTTCTAGATCTACAATATATGCAAAAGTTTCAGTGATACTGATTTTTCTTAAGTCCAACTACCAAAACAGTCACTTGAACGTCTAATTTAGTTCAGGTCAACTCTTCAGTTTTTAAGAGAATGGAGCCAACACATCATAGATGGAATAAGAATACTCGTGATATTTCAAGAACATGATATTTGTAGAAGGAATATAGTGCACGCGGCTTCACAAATGTCATTGACTTGGGGAGTCAGGATACGATGTGATGTTTCTCTGTTGGAGCTTGCATACGATGTATCAAATTGAGATTTCCTTCAAGGTGCTTCCAACCGTGATCTCTTTATTCCTGCTTGAGGTAACGCTCTATGTGTTAAGCTTACTAGTGACTCATCAAGATCAGCTGTACATGTAAAGGTTTACCTTAAAAGGAATCAAGGCCTGTAATTAATGAATTTAATTTACCCCATGCATTGCACGAGTTTGTCACACTAGACATGCATGAAGATGTTCTGGCGACCCCACACGATGAAGATTGACTTCTTTTACTGGGCATTATAATACATGATATCTGGGCATACCAACACAGAGATACGATAGAGAACACACAATCTAGTCATGGTTTGTCAATGTAACTCACACTCGGGGGATGTGTGGACACCAGTCACTCGAGTGTTTTAGAATCAAAGTTTTCCGTTCGAATGACGAAGTCCCTAGCTATTGGTTATTGATATGATTTGGATATAAATTCAATTACACTCTTATGGAGAACAAAAAGTGATTTTCATTAGAGGAAATAGCTGTGACAACAAGCAGCAACAAATCTGATGGAGTTTATCCATAGATCTCAGTTGTATATAACTTGGATTTATGTTAAGACACTTGCTAAAAAAGAAATTCAGGTTTCAAGAGGTAAACATTACTCCTCACCTGGTTCATCCTGTACTAAGAATAGATTTAAAGAACAGTAAGTCCAGGAGAGTGTCCTATATTGTGGTCGAGGTTTCTTGCTCCAACATCCCGAGATGTTGGAAGTGGATTGTATGTATCGTGATTCATGGGCTTCAAGAACGTATTGATCTAAGACTCCTTTCTTTACAAACAAATGCTTCCATATTCATCTGTCCAGGAAATCTGTCCATGTGAGGCTTTTTGCTAAACGCTCACCTCTCTGTGGTGCCTTAAGATGTGACGTGACATCAGAGCACAATTTCTTGGAACAGGATCTCATTTGGAATCAGGGACAGTACACATAAATGTGTCACAGAAGCAAAGTAGCCATTTGTACTGTCACATTTTATTCTCTTTCCACCTCTTCCAATTCTTTGCATCTAAGGTTTGATTCAGCCGTTTTATCTTCCAGAACCGCTACTAAAATTTCCACTTGCATCAGATTGCTGTAATAGAACACTTGTATGATTCTCAACCAGTCTTATTTGAAGTAAAGATGCCGAATGCTCGAATCGACAATGCGCAATTGAAGTTTCAATACAGTATTAGACTTTAGCAAACCTAAACTACTTCGAAGAAATTTCTGAGTACACCATGTATACTTTTCTTGGAAAATACTGAGAATCCGGCAAATAGACGGCACATACAGAGTCTTAGCGTTAATTATAGAGGAAAACATAAAAATTACAACACGGCTCAAGACCATCTTATAGAACTATACATGGATTTCTTATGGTTGCAACTAACGCAGACTTTCATATAATCTGGACTCATGTGTTGCAGTTGTCCTAGTTTTGTCTTCAATCTCCAGAAGAAAGCCCTCATTGAATAATCATCTTATCAAGGCTCGCAAGTTTCAGCGATCCTTGACTGTGAGAGTGCTTTGAACTTTGAATTGAAGCTTGACTGGATGATCCTCGACACCTTGACAAAACCAATCGACAGGTTTAGTTCACAGTGATGAATCCATCTCATGCATTTGATTAAGAACCATAGCCCTTGACTACATGAGTAGCTCATGGTTTGAAAGAATTGTCAATGGGGTGCGTAACAACAACAACAACTCTGTGTGTCGTATGATCTAGAGTTTTCCAATTATGTACTCCATACTACCACTGACGAAGCAAAGTGTGGCGACTACATTTAACATCTGCCCTCCACAGTTTGAGTTTAAGACATTTTGTTGTAAACAATCTCAAGAATATGATTTGCTTCAAATTTCGTGATGCAGGGAATCCACGAAGATGTAAATTATTCAAAAAACCGTTGACAATTGAGAGAGACTATTCTAAATCTTGCTGTTCGACTGTGTGCAAACATCAAAGATCTTGCTCGTAGTTGGAAAGGAGAAGTAAATTAATTTATTCACCGAGGTTCGTTTCGATTCGTCAAACACTGAAGGATATAAGCAGAAAAGACAACCATATCTGATCTTCCTTGACTCTTTCGTCATCCACCTACAACCGTACTTCACTCGCAAATTGTAATGTTTTCCTGTTCTTTCTCGCTAGAAACTACCGCCATATTCTGGCTATCAACAGAAAAGATAACCACATTTGAAATTCCTTGACTGCTTCGTCACTATGTTACAACTGTACTCCATTTGCAAATTCCACTGTTCTCTGCTCTTTCTATTTGGAACTACTGTCATATATTATGGCGTTCTCTGACGATACCACAATAAGTATCCGATGAGAAGGATCACATACGTGTTTCAGAAGCGGCAATCTAATTAACGTTCTTTGTGCACATCAACACACAATCCCCAAGCAAGCCAAATGACCCACTCGCCACATGCAAGGCCTGATGTACTCAAACTATTTACCGAGAGGACATCAGAGTGGATTCATAGCAATGTGTAGAAACATATGCCTCAAAAACAGGCCTGATCTCCTCAGGTTCCTGACTGACTCTATGTTTTCAATTTCCTGAACCTTCTATCCATGGGCTCACTCCAACTCGGCAAAGTGTGGTCCCGCTCACAGAAACTCGCATGATCGAAATTGATCTAGCCTTCCAGATTTACAGGTTGTACAGAAGAGAGTTCTCTTCTTCGAAAGAGCTGTTGCTGCCACAGTGAGGCCGGAAGTCGACCTAGTAGTTACGGCAGAGTGGTGGAGATTGAGTATAAGTTGACTTCCAAGAAAAGATACAGCTTATATATCAGATTATGTATAGCGTGGTATACTATACATATCTCTCTCTTCACTTCGAAACAAAAGCATGTTAAGTACCATCAATTCCAACTACAATGCTACATGTGGCTCCTAGTTCCAGGTTTATTTTCACTCTCATATACATTGTCAGGTACCGCAACTTTCGTTTCAACAAATCACAAACATTTTCATATGCTTTAATTCTATTGTATCCAGTCACGAATACTTTTTATTTTCTTTAGATAATTAATAACATTGTAATTTATTATATATTACAGTCTTCAGTTGATCTACATAAATAAAATATTCTTTCATACATAAATGGCATTTGGCTTGGGTGGTATGATGTCATATTCTCTATTGTTTCATAAGTTTGATCCCCAAAGTTTAAATATTGATGATCACATGTTAGGAGATTTACTTATATGAATACATACTTAAAAATTTAACCTAACTTAATTACATATATAGACTGAATTTTCTTGTGACTAATTTGTATTGAAATGAGATATATATATATATATATATATATACACACTCCACTTTATCTGAAACATTAACATGTCGACGTAAAACCTAAGAATCATCAATTGATCAAGAGAGACACATGTAACTTGGTTCACACTCGAGTAGAATGCTACGTCCACACAGAACGCAAGTACCTCTACTTCAAATCTTGTCACGAAAGAAATCACTGTACAAGGTGAGCCTCGAGGTATTTATCCCCTACAAACGACCATTATAGCTATAAATAGCTAAGACTCAAGGTTACTTCTTAACTGGAGTTAACCTCAACATAACAGTGGCAGATTGAAATGAAATTTATTTACTAAGTAGGTTTTAATGTTTTATATATTACTTTAAATTTGTTGTTAGTTATATTTATTTTATGTAAAGGTGAAAATGCTAAATTATTGAATATGATAAGATTATGAATAAGAGAAAACTCGTAATTGAACATATTTTCACTCTTGAAAATATGTAAATAAATATAAGATCTATACCTCACAATTGAATTGTTGAGTTTATCATAGAAGAAAGATCATATAGCCACAAAAACCCCCAAAAGAATCAATTTCCTCGGATAGTTTTGTCACAAAGATAAATATTAAATTATCACATTGTAAATTTTCAATTCAATGTCAGATTGTATTATACCTAACAATGAGTTAAATGATGGAGAATAAAATGAACCAAACTTTCAAAATAAGCATGCAATGGAAAAAAAAAACTATACATTTTAATGATTCTAGTTTATAATGATGTATGTTTAAACTTGTGATATAAAGTAGGATTACAAAAAATTTACATTAAAAAATTTGCAAAGAAGACATAATAAGATGAAAAGTGATTGGCTTTAGTTTTCTTTGATCTATAATAGATAATTGCAAAATATCATGATAGTTTAAAGAAAAATTCATTGACTAACTGCATAAATTTGAGTCAAAAAACAAGATATTCTTCTATAATAACTTCATGAATGAAGTTACAATTTATTTTGCTGTTGCAAATAATTTTACGTTTTTAGAAATTTACAAACCTCAGTTCTTCCAGAAAGAATTGCATACATATGTAAACTTAATTGTTTCTTTAATTTAAAATTTTTTAACACTATAAGAATTTTAATATTCTGACATATTCAAAAAAAATGTTGAAATTTTTTCAAATAGGATTATTATTTTGTTTCTATTAAGGTCACTCTACCATTTAATGTAATATAGATGATTTTTTTATTTTTTTAATGAAAATAGCTTCCTGAAGAAAATTCAAAAAATATTAAAGCATTAAAGAAGAAAAAGTTCAGTTAAATAATTTATTTCATCAAATATTCAAAATTAATTCTGGTTTTCACATTAGTGATAAATTTTTCCTAATCTTCATGGAAAGAAATTACAGAATAATATAGAATTTCTCCAATAAATCCTCACTAAGCATGATATATTTAGCCAAATCTAATGACAATCAATATATCAAAAAATAACATACGAAAAATAAATAAATATGTGAATAGATATATTTTAAACAAATTTTAATCAAAAAGATTAAATTTAACAATTTAAATATTATATTATGATGAATAAAATAAAATAAAAATATGAAAAAAAATTTCTTATTTCTGAGATAAAAGAAATTTATTTTAATAAATTCTTCATTTGATATATTTAATGATATAGTTCATATTATGCTTGACTCATTTGAATACATGATATTAACAAATATCAATCAATTCAATCTATAAAACGAAGATAATCTTCATCAAAGTTGTGAAATTTTTAAAATTTAAATTGCATTTGAAAAAATTTAACGGATGATTATCAACTTTTTCATATTTCGTAATTAATACATGTATGCTAAATCTACCCATTTGTGGATCTTTTGAGTTCTGGGAATTAAATTACATAATCAATGAACATATTTTTTGCAAAACATTGAATAATAAAAATTACATCCAGAGATTAATGATAACCATTAGCACTTTCAAATGTTTTTTAACAATGTGCAGATTTTGCAAGAAGCGTTTTTTTGATAGAAAATCATTTAGGAAAATGCATTTTTAAGTTTATAAAACACTCTTTAAAATATGTGAAGAGTCATCGATCATGTTCAATGATAAAAAATAAAAAATTCGAACACGGCTTAGTTAGACGTATGGTTTATGGTGTGTGCTTATTTATGTGAAATCATTTTCATGCTTGTATGTGTGCATAGTGATTTCAGGTAATATAAAAACAATGCAATATTTTAAATAATTATTTGAAACATATATTGAAATATTGGTATAAGTTACTCTTTCAATATAGATCAAATAGCTGGATTATATCATTTCAAAATCATAACATTTCACTAGAATGATAATAATTCAAGATGAAAGTAGGTGGAATTCTATGATATGATCGTAGTACGTTTCCACGATCTAGCTCGTTATTACATGTCTTGTCTTGTATATCTTTTTCATATTTAATTTTTACCTGTCCACTTGTTTATATTATGAAGCATATTGAGTGAGGATATAAGGGTTTAAATCTCATCACAATGGGAAGTTTTGAATACCGCATCAACGTAGTAACTGGTCAGAATCCTGGAAAGGACCTGTCAGGACACTTGGGCTTTGTCGGCCGCCTCGATGATTGGTCGGAGGGACCAAAAGCCCGACTCGTTGAGACCTGCCAAGGATGCCGTTGGGGAACGAAGCTTCAACATGACGCCAACTGAAGGCCAAATGTCGGAGTCAGTGGCAACGCTTCTTGCGCTCGAGCGAGCTTCCATCGCCATTCCTGAAGCTTCGGAAGCATCGGCTGGCTAGTTTCCTGCAGCTCGACGATGAAGCAAGGTCTCTTCTCGGCTGTCCAAGATGAAATTCAAAAGTCGGAGGGCGATTTTGTTCTTAAATAGTGCGCCGTGCGCGAGAGCATGGGATGTTCACGATTCCGCATGATATAGCTCGCTGTTCACCGAAGTCGACGATGGCAGAGCTGTTCGAAGTCGACAATTTCATCTCTGTCGTGAAAATCACTCTCACATTCGCTGGTAGGTTACGATTCGATGTAGATGGGCCTATGTCGATGCACCGCCAGTTCATCAGCTACACCCGAATCCATCTGCATCCGTCTCAGAACCCTGAAAGTGATCGCTCTCTACAAGAAGCGCGAAAGGAGGTGCTCACCATTCACATAGACTTCTCTCCTACTCCCCCAATATGTTAGTCGTTGAAGTTTGCCAAATTATACGGGAACGGAAATGCGCGGGGCCCGGATAGTTTACCTCCAGCCATAAACAGTTTAAGGCCAGCTGCAGTGGGAAATGTGTGTCCTCTTGCTGAATCCATTCAGCAAGTGGATGCATGAGCTACCGAAGAACGTAGTGGTTCGGATTTAGTTGTCCGCGATGTTTTAGAGTCGATCGCTTCATGAGAGCCCGTGAAGTGAAGGCATTGTCAAGTTCAGGCGCACGACCTTTCGAACGTCTTGTACAGGACTCATCCTCGTTCTTACTGAAATTTGTTATTACTTTTGTTGCATTTGGTCAGATTGTGAACAATTTTACCGGCTGGCTCCCCTTGAGATTGTTCAGTGGAGCTCTGAACGAAGGTGTTCAAGGATTTTAAGGTCTGGTGATGACCAGGCGTCTGATTTACGACTGTAGGCATGGTCCCACGGAAGCTGCAGGGCAATGGGATTCGCACCCTGACTTGCTCTGTTTGTCGGTGACTTAGATTCTTCTTCGAAACTATTTTCAATCAAGGTTTGACTCAAAAAGTGATTTTCCTGTTTCACGCTCGGGTTTGAATTGTAAGTATGATCTGTCTGACTGCTGTTAAGTTTCTCTTTTAATGTTATTACATGCTGAGAATTACGGGGATCTCGCTTGCATTTTGAGCTCGTACATGTTGAGCTATTATTTGGAGCGACAAGGTTTCTTACGAATGACCCTGGGTTTCAACACTCGTCTCTCTGAGATCCTTTCGGCCGATGGTGCCTTGTTCTGGCTCTCTCACGAGAACGCATGGTTTGTAATCTCCAGTTTTCCAACCTTGTGGCCTTCGAGTCTGTGGGGTCCCATGGAGTTTGGGAATGATTCACTAATCGGTGAGAATCATTTCGAATGGGACTGAACAGATTACTGTTTGTGGAGGGAGGACAGATATGGGAAGAGCTGAAAACTTTTTGGAGCGCCAGGTTCAGCAAGAAAGGCGACTCGCAGCCCAAGAAGAGTCGAGCCGTCGACCTCGAAGGCCCATTACCGATTTTGGGAAAGTGGCTCTGCGTGATGCATATGACACGTTTAGAACAGAACTTGGCCACATTTTGCGCGGATCTGAGAATTCTCCTTCTGCGACAGAGAAGGACAATTTTCTGGTTTATCCTGCCTCTAAGCATACCGAACTTGAAGCCGAGCCTATCTCCATTAGTTCCACGGATTACTTCACGGCCACAGTGGTTGGGAGCTCACAACTTGGGAAAACTACTATGCTCAATTCCTTAGTTCAACTCTTTGGTTATAATCAACCGGCTGGACGTATGTTTCCAGATGTGGATCTTCTACCGACCCACGATAAAGATCGAGCTGGCCTTCCTTTCCCTCTGAGGATTGAGTACCACGACAATTTTCAGATACATTTTACGAGATGGACAGCGCAGGAGTTGGAGGATCTTATGCAGATTGTAGCTAGCGAGGCAGTAAATCTTGATCCAGACTTCTTCGATCAGTTAGAGTTTCAAGAATTCGAGGAGAATTCTTTCATGCAGTTTGTCTGTGACCATTGCCAATTGGATGAGGATGGAAAGCTTACGTGCGCATCTAAAGCAGCTGTACTTTTACAAGCCGATGGAGGGGAGGAGGAAAAGGACTTCTCGAACGAGCACACAGAGAAACAGACTGTTGCTGACATAGTCCGGGAGGTTCATAAATACCTTTCCTCGATTCCCACTCAACAGTGGTTCCGGTACAAAACTGTCACATTGCGATGTCCTTCCGTGCTTTTGGAGGAGATGGGGGTCAACTCTAGCTTCTCTTCTCCACCATGCATTTTGGACCTACCCGGTGTTGGTATAGTCCATGACAATAATTTTTTAGTGGAGGAACTTGTACGCAGGAATGTAAGCTCTGCAGATACCATCATCATTTTGACAGGGCAACGCAGTTTTACGGAGGATGTTATCAAAGTGCTCCGGTCCTCTGTATTTAGAAGGCTTCTTGATCCAGATGTCCCTTCTCCCCCTTCTGTGGCGGTGACAAATTCCCATCTACTCCGCGGTTTGCAGACGAAAGAAATGGAGACGTGGAGAGAACAAATTTTGCATGGAACGATGGGATGGTTTAATCAGCTGAAAAGGTTTGCTGATGAAAACTTTTCTAATAGAAGGCGCCATAGATTGCTCAGTGAAATTGAACCCTCCCTCTTTCCAAATGATCTCAGTGGTTTCTTCAGTGGAGGAGCAGCGGCTAAGGATGTGGGTGTTGCTACGTTGGTTGGCTACTTTATGCGCTTACCCCAGGAAGTTCACCTAGCCCGTGTCGCGCATGTGTTAGAGCGAGCAAATGCTTACCGTTCTACAATAGATGAGCTGTGGCAAACCCCAATGCTTGGTCAAAAGCAGACCAAATCGTCACGTTTGTTCAGGCAGGCGTTGGCCCATCGCAGGCAGGAGATCGAAATGAGTTTAAATACAAAACTTACTGCAACTGCGCAGAAGAAAATGTTCGATTGGGAGCATCCTATCTCCTTGATGGAACAGTTAGAGGGCATTGATGTCCTTATTGACTCTGAGGTGGAAAAACTCAATAAGAAGTTCTCAATAATGCTCAATGCCGGTTCATGTCAATTTCAGCAGGAGGTTCATTCCCTTTTGAAGCAACTTCTATTAGAGATTGCTGCAGATTGGGATAACGTCGCAGGAAAAGTGGTGTTTGAACGTTTTCTTATAGCAGCGCAGAAGCTCAGCGTAGAGCTGTTCGCAGAATGGATACCTCATCTCTTTTACGAAGAAAGATCAGCCGATTCAGATCCGAAGATAGAAAACTCTCGTAATGCTTTGCACAATGCCCTTAAGGCGAAGGTACCCAAGGTCATTTCAAGTTCTGTCATCAAGTATACCCTTACTGATGCCTACCGGCAGATGGTGTGGAACTTGGACTTGAAGAAGGTTCTTAGCATCCCTCGTGTCCGCAAAGGCAAATGCATTGGAGTGTCTGAGTCCAAGGTGTGGTCAGATATCGATACCCTTGTACGGAAAAAGGCCGCCACTTTGCAGGAGCATGTCGTGCAGCACTCCCGCCAGCAATCTCAAGCTGTCAAGCAGCTAGTCTCTAGGTTGAAGGTCACAATTACTGAAACGTTTGCCCAATCCGTGGAGGATTTTGCCACAATAACCTCTGCCTTAGAGAGCATTGCTCAGGGACAAAGCTCCACGAATAAGAACCCGCTCGTCGTTCTCCGCAAGGAGCTTCTTGAGTTCACCACTCAGTTAACCGAGTACGAAACTAAACTTTCTCACAGAAGCTGCACCTTTTTCATGTGTTTGTTTTTTGTTTTCTCTTTTTCTTCTCCTATGTCTGGTTTTCTACATCAGTAGATAATATTCTCTTCACTGTTAACAAGCTTTAGCACGGTCTAGGCATCTCTGCAGTAGATTCGGTAGGTTATATACGGTTGTTGGGTAGTGACAAACTTCATGAGAGGTACATAATTAAGTTTTGTCACAGATGTCAAGGATATGTTCTAATTATTGTATATTGTCCTCGTCTAGATACTTGCAAAGGCATAAGAATCTGAGAAAAGTTTTCGGAGAAGAGGAAGTGAGCAGCATACTCCAATCTCGGTACGGTTCTCACGCTAGTGGCCTGCAGCAACAAGCACCATCAGATGATGAACGTCGAAAGAAAGTGAAATACACTCTGTAGCCTAACATGGATTCGAGCCCATCACCGAACTGTTTTATCTCTTCGAACTGTATTTTTTGAGTTTGCATCTATTAGCCTAAATTCTACAAACTCCGCACCTTCGCTGAGCATGTCATTGATGTACAGTGGTTGAGAATCCTCCTTTTAAGGAGAAGTATTCTTTGTGTAAATAGATGCAAGGGCATGTGCCGCGGTTTAAGGTCCTACGTCTCACCCGAAGGATTTGAAGAAACAAAGTTGGTACGCATTGTTGTACTGGATTACCTTCCAAAATGTTGGTTTGCTTCTTCATCTCGTCCTTTTCATTACCCCTGGGATGGCCTTGGAAATAGGCATCTATATGAATGACAGGCGATTAAGGCTGATTTGTGAATCTACTGGCAAGTAAGCAGAAATTTATGGTTTCAAGAAATAATCATATACCTTCTCTCATCCCTGAGTCCAATTCATATCATGTTATGCCACGCAACACCGAAAGTCACTAGACTGTTTCTACTCAACTCACCGTAATGTAGTGAATGCTCAACGTTAGTTATCCTTCTGAATGTAGACAATTGTCCCCGTTTTAGATCTATGGTTTATTTTCATATCAGTTGCTTCCGGTAGTACATTTAAAGTGCACGATCATGATCTTCGAGTCGCAAAGTTATACATGTAGAACCAATCAAGCCGCTCGGGAACCTAAAGTACAACAGTATGATTGCTGTTCGCCTGACAGTTCGAACAGGAGTGATGTGTAAATGTTAAGTAGAACTTAAACCATGTAGAATCACCTAATCTATCACTGCATGGCTCAAAGAGATTAGTTATGTTTCAAACGAACTCTCATACTCACCTAGAGTGGATGATTTCATTTAGAGTAGACTTCCGTTTGCATAATGGCAACGATGGCAAGTAGTATGGCATTACGTGACCGCCTGAATTGATGGCGTCTTTTGAATATTAAAAACCCCTAGCTTATATTTTGCAATACTCGGAATGGTTTGTCTCACAGCAAACACTTGAGCTCAATTACGGGACTTCAATTGTTCAGAGACGTAACACCGTTTGGTATTCTGAGGGGATAATGCATTATTTTAAGCATCGTATGGTTAAGTCAAGGGAGACGAAAGGCGCTGTTAGTTGTCACTGGAAGCCTCAAGTCCTGCAATAGCTGCTTTACAATCTTTGGTTGTGCACAATGTCAATAGTCTACCCATTGCAAAAACAATGAGACAAGAACAGGTTATTTCTGAACGTAACACCGTTTCAGTATTGGTGAGCCAGGTTATTTCTCTTTTCTCATTTTTTGGCCTATTGTTGAGATTTTTTGGCCTATTGTAATTGACAGGAAGTCAGCGGTGAAGGTCATCACTTGAAAATTTAATTCCCAAACAATCTGCAAAATTGATCTTGACTTTATAAGAAATATTAATATTTCTCAATCATTACTGATCAATGTGTGCCAATTTAGTTTTCTTAATTTTTGAACATTTTGAATATTATACCGGGACTTGGGAAAAAAATAAACTTTCTATATGTTTATCTTCGCATAATGCTTTCAATGAACCTCTTTCACATAATCCAACGGACAATATGCACTAACAAATCATCACCTGACACATTTTCTCCATATACTTTACCTTCAAATTTCTCAGTACCATGACCGGTACAACAATCAGGGTATAAAGCCAGAGGCTGTATTATGGCGGCTGTACTACTTCCTATCAAGCTCCGTTGTGTAGAAACCATGCTTTCTCTTCAGATCTCGCCCCACCATGGAGACAATCAAGGGTTGAAGACTAACAGTCTTCAGTACATTTTCATGGAGATTCTGCCTCTTCTGTTCGGGCACTGCACATGAGCTCGTGGACCATGCCAATAATCTGTGGCACCTCACTTCATATGCTACAGGAGATTTACAACAGATTGTAAAGATCCTTCCTTTTTCTGATAGGACTGTTTTGCTCTGGTTTGGTTCCATCTCTTCAACGTCCTTTGGAACGAGAGGCGCCACCGTTCGATGGTGGACCGGGCCGCGATTTGGAGCCCGAACTAGAACCTGCAGCCACTCTGGAGATCAACAAAGTCCAATTCCTTTGTTTCTGGAAACAGAAATTGTTAATCTTATGAGCCTTTATTAGTAATTAAAGACCAGTGGAGTGGGAGTTACCACCATTTGATGGCAGTGCAGCTCTGGGTTTGCTTCCCGAACCTGAGCCTGTGCATTCACCAAACATCCAGCTAACATTAGCTTCCTTTCCAGAGGCTAAAGAAGACAACCGGACACTCAATCCTATATACTACTTGGCGAAACAGAGAATTTATGTCCGGCTTACCTATACGCTGTGATGAATTTTTAAATCGAGGAAAGACTTTCTCTGCCTTTACCTCCCAGTTTCTCTCAAAATCTTGTACTTCATCTGTACAAAAATTTGCCACAGGAAATTGGTCACTTGATGTTTTCCTTGTCTGGACGTCAAGAGCTAACCATTTCTTCCAAAGAAGGCAGCCACATCCTACCTTTGGCAAGATTGTGCAAAGTTTCAAATTCTTCCTCCCGGCCTTCCGAGTTCCTTTTCCGGGTTAAAGCCCTGCCCTGTGAGAGTATGATTGTCATTCCACTTCAGATATAAAGACAGAAAATTTTGTGCTTTACTATAAGAACATATGTTTTATTGAAAGTGTCTCTAACAACAGAAAGTACAACAACATAGTCAACTCTGAACCACAGCATTGAACTGTGCAAGTTAGCACCATCTTAAGCAGAGCTAATGATTGTCACCAATAAAGCGGCTAACGAAACTGGTACTTACCTTTTGACCCAATCCATGAAGTATTTTGTGGGTCTCTTTCCCCGCTGCAATGTCCTTTTCTTGTTGTTGCTCTTCATAGACCTGTGTAATTTTCCCACAGCGGTGCAAACATGAATGTCCTACCTATAATAATAATTGACCCTCATCGCTTTCATCCTTGTCTCTCACATCATGGGGGAGGGAGGTGGATAGCGTACCCCATCAGGCCCACTTCTCCGGCTCAAATGAGCAGCATAGTAAGGTCCATCAGCTCCACCGTAGGTAACGGAAGAACTTTGATAGCAGTACGCATCAGGGATATTGGTAGATCGCGGATTCGATACTGAGTTTGAATTCCTCGTTGGACGTTCAGGTCGATAATGAGTAATTTCTGTGTGTAAAGAGTTGCCATGGTTAGTCTTCCGTTTCAACAGAATGCAAGTTTTCGCAAACGTTCCGAAAGGAGATGCCTTTCAGTAAACAGTAAAAATATCTTTTACCAGAATTGAAATCTTCTTCATACGTACCACCTTCAATCCACAGTTCAGCAGCATGCACACTTTAGATAAGAAAAGACAAAGGTTTGACATAATCCACAGATCATGCAGGAGCAGTTCCTATCTCTGAGGAACGAATCTCGCACACTTTGACAATCTTACCGAACAGGATTTGGGTAGAGACAGCTGGTTTGATTTACTGTTTATTGGCCGGTTGCGATCAGACAGTACCATTGGGCTTTAATAAAATGGCAAACATCAGAGTAACGTGTTCCACCTCTACATTGTGAAATACCTTATCATAATCGTCGTCGAGTCGGATTCACAGGGCTTTTAAACACTGGGCTTAGACGAAGTAGAGGACAGAACAACATTGCACATTGTGAAATCACAACATGATATCTAAATTCCACTAGAAATCATGTCGTGCTTTCATACCTGTATTCCTACTATCGTCTTCCTTTGGATGTTCGATTATTGGCTCCTGATGAGATGTGACCCCAGCCATTCCTCCGTCATCGTGGTCGTCTGGAATTTCTTCGATATGGATTTCCCTTCGACCTCCTTCCTGCATGAACAACGAGTATCAATTGTCCACACATTTTTTGATCAAGTTGACATTACCCTACTAACCCTAACAACCTCCATGCAAGGAGCATAGGATCCTGTAGCAGGAAGGACAAACATCATATCAAGCCCTCCAGTGGATTACACTCACCGATAAAAAGCAGCAGATACTTCATTGATGATGAAAGGATGTCATAAAATGCGATATTGAACGACCATAGTACTGCTATATAATCACAGTATCGCTACGTGACTTATTCAGCATTTTATAATGAAGAAGAAACTAAATTATCTCAATTCTTGAAGATACTATCATTCCTCAAGTCCTTTCAAATTTGCATGCTTCCAGACGCAGTATCATCATATTGATGTAACTGAGGAAATACAACGTCGAAGCAAACACGCTTCATCTAATTCTACATATTACAAAATAGTACTTCCAAGAATTGACAAGCAGATTTTACCACTTCATGCACAATGGCTGGCCGGCACGGAAGAATCAAACGAAAAATTTGCAAATGGAAAGTACTAACCGGAGGCGCGTTGGACGGCCTATGTTTGATTGGAATTTGTCTCTGTGACCCATTGGCCTGATGATTTCCCGAATGAGGAAAGAGATCTTGACTGAAGAGACCACTGGGGCCAAACAAACTTCCCGAATTCCCGAAAAGACTTCCAAAAGGTCGGGTGAAGAACGGATCGCTGGAAAATGGATCATTCTCGAACATATCAGAGAAGAAGCCTGGCCGCCCACCAAATCCTGCAAAAGGGTCTGGAAATCCCGGGAATGCGCTTCCTCCCGCGCCACCACCTCCACCTCCACCTCCACTACCCCCACGCGAATTGTTCCCTCGTCGTGCATCTCGACCGGGCCGCTGCATTTTTCCTCTCCCAAAATTCCGGGCTTTAGTCGATGGACCGGATCACGTCTTCGCCCGGAGCCCGGGCTCGCCCTGGTTTCATATTCTCCACACCTGCTGCGCTGCCCTCGCTCCTCGTCGTCCTCCTCCTCCTCCTCAGACTCCACCTACTTTCGAACTTGGCTAAAACCATGGAATTCAGTCGCCCAAATCGGGCTGTTGGCCTTCCACTTCCCAACCCCTTAGATCCCTTGCCTTCCCTTCCACCGCAACAGCGATCCTGCACTAATTCAGATCTCCTCCCCAGCAGAGACGAAACAATTCCCTCAGACCCACACAAATCGTCCACAGTCTTTTCGACTCCCACCAGCGTCCGAGTCGCAAATTCCGGGAGATACTTCCCGACGACGGCAAGTCCAGAGGAGCTTCAAGAGCTCCAGTCAGAATCAAGGGCAAACTCTCAGCAACGTTTCTTCCAGTTTTCACGTGTTCGCCCGCGGACCTAATTCTGCGTTCTTAGTATTCTAAAAAGCAAGGGCCATGTCGACGATCCACATTTTAAGATTCGCGGCAAGTGACTCAAAAATCGAGCTGGAGGATTGAAATTATTTGATACTATGAACATGCTCGTGAATGCGATCCGTTTACCAATCTGGAATGGTAAACCGTTTATGATCCGTTTACCATTCCAGATTGCAATATCTATTACCTCTCTTATATAAGCTATGTCAAAGAATACGTTTGATACTTCTCACTCTTGTGTTTATAGCTTGGAGTTTTTTATGTTTATAGCTAATACTGCAGTACGTACTTCTTATTGCTACTCTTTGATTTCATTGTTATAGATGGGGCTCTCTCATGCTCTCTGTTATCGACTCGATCTGAGTATTAAATTGTGTACTTTCTGTGATGACGTGTGTACAGAAATTGAACTAGGTTTCCAGTTGGCGGACGCAGAGCATCTGAAGTCAGGGCGATGGTGCCTTTGATTAGCCACATCGGACTCCAGTTGTCGCGCTATATGGCACAGATGATGCTATTTCTTGCATGGCAACGATGGATGTGACGATCGCATGCAACGCTTCCGCACACAAAACTGGGACCTCCGATACACTCCGTGACGTTTACAGCATGTCCTTTCAGACAAGGACAGAATACAAGCCATTATGCATCATCACTGTCGCTAAATATTTCCAGTGATAAATCATTGTACTTATCAAATTAGTGTTACAGTATATTGGTTTATCGTTTTAATTAAACTTAACAACACTACATATCTATTATATAATACATATGTAGAACTTCTTGTATTTTTTATTTTGGGTTTTCAGTATATGTAATGCTAAAAACCCAAAATAATAAATAAGAGAAGAATTAAAATGAAGAAGCTGGATTGAATTTCGACAACATGATTTATATATTCACGAATTTTGACAAGTGTGTACTCTTTTGCGTTACATTACTTAGCCTCAAAATCAATCATTCGATAACTAAAGTCTATTTTAATTCCGCTCCTATTCGAACCAAATGCAGTGAAATGTCATTCATAAAAAGTCTTTTCGGTATATATTTGAAATAAAAACATTCCAGATATTCTTATTCCCAAATTTTTTTAATTTGAAAACTTTTTTTTTGCAGATTCACTCCAGTATTTAAAGTAAAGGTAATATAGTTCTCATTGGCTTGTTTAAAGCTGTAATCACTATTTCTATCCATTCTAAAATACTTTTTGTGTTTGTTCTTGTTGAATATTTGTCAAGTTCTTTTTATCCAAAAAAATTGTATCTGCATTCAAATGCTGAAAAGACTTTTATCTTTGCATCCATATGTGACACTGACAAAGGGTAAAATCATTAATTTTATCTAAAAAAATATTGAATAATACACCAATATTTTACTACCGACTTACCTTTGCTTAAATCAAACAAACAATCAACATCGTATTCAAGCTCACCTGTTTCAGAAATTATTATTTTTTTTTACACTTCAACAAACAAAAATATGTTCATACTCCAATAGTTAAAACTATTTACTTACTTGAATAAGTAACCGGCCGGGCAGAAGAAACGGATGTCTCGTCCGGCGTTCGTCGTGTCGCTTGACCTTCAATAACTTCAGTACACGCTGTTGACATGAATACTTACTTGGTAGGGAATCTGGAATCTGGAAAAATGAATACTTACTTGTTATCTGGAAACGTAATGAGATAAAGCTCGGCCAATTCGCTCTGGCTTATTCATAGTAGATTTTACAATCCAGGTCAATACGATGTAATCTCTTCATTGTTTTATTCTCGTTTCTAAGCATATGTGTCTAAAGCACATAACTGTGACCAACATGTATCACAATAATGAGAATGGCGTATTTTTTTTACTTTTGATGTCAATAAAGTTGTTTAAGTTTCAACAAAGAAGTCAGTTTTTTTTTTAAAAAAAATGATATAGATATCACTTCATGTGCTTGTTGTAAGATGTTGAAAATAGTTTAAATCCTCTATATACTTTCGGATATTATCCATACAAAGCTTTTAGGTTTGGCATTTGTGTTTGTCTGATCAAATACATGAATGTACTTTCAAATTTTTTAGTGGCCAAAGTATATTTTTCTAAATGATGATATTTCTTTTATAATTTTATCTTTAATTGCTGTTTTAACTGTAGTTGTAACGTATATTGCATTCTTTTCTCTTTAGATAATTTGATTAGTACTATATACTTTATCAGATGCAGTTGAAATTACAAAGTTGTAATAACCCACTAAAGGCTAAAACTGCAATATAGTGGTAGAAAGGTCGAACCCACAGGGACAGAGGAACACACAGGGTACAAAGTGTCACGTTTTAACAGACTATTGAGGAGTTTGAATTCTCAGGCGACTGTCACTCCCAGAAATACTGCAAGTGTCCACTCGGAGCGCACTCGGAGGTCGCACAGTGCAGCGTAACACACACACACACACACACCTGAAACTACAGAAACACAACCCAGAGATCCGTTAGGACCTCTACTTCAAGATTTCAGGGGGAAAGTCTCTCGCGAGCACACTCGGCAAAGCTGCGGGCAGTGACTTCCAACTCCGGCTTTTACAACACTTCCACTAGCTTGCTGGTAGTGTAGGAAACCCGGTTTGGACTGCCTACTTCGGATCGAAGTCACTCCTGCGCGGTGAACAACACTCTCAACTCACAAAACGCGCAGAGAACACAGGTCCGCACTGAAGGACTCACTGTGAAACATTCCAGTAACACAACAACAGTCTATTGAAGAGTTTGAATTCTCAGGCACTTGTCATTCCCAGAAATACTACAGGGGTTACCCTCAAGGCACCTGCTGCAGCGTAACCTGAATTTACAACCAAGGCTTACACGAAGTAGCAAAACTTCACTTTGGCATTCAGGGGAAAAATCCCAAGGGAGTACAATCAGAAAGGAACACTCGAAGGTGTAGGGGCGAAACTGTTCAAGTATCTAACTAGTCACTGGCTCTGAGCATCGGCAGTCACCCGCAGGTGCAGATCCGAACTACTCAAGTCTCTAACCAATGTACTAGCTCTGAACATTCGGCCGAAGGCCTTCAGCTACAAAATGCGGAACGCTAAGTTGTAACTCCTCGTGCGTGGTGACAGAACTCAAGGACACAAACACGCCAAGGAAATGGGTTCCTGATCTGCACTTCTGATGGGAAAGAACCCCAGGCAAAACGCCTGGAACTATTTTATACCTTCTAAGTCCTACCTAGCACTACACTGCACTACGCTACACGCCTGCACGGAACCACGCTACACTACACTCCGCGGAACCTGTACTACGTCTCCTGCGCGGCGGATTGCCGCGCACTAACTCCCTACCCTGCCAATCTTCCGTTCGACTGTGCAGTCCCAACCGCTGCAACGCCGCGGACACCTCCACTTCGAGGGCGGACATGGTATCCTGTGCCTTCGACAGAAAAGCATCGAGCTTCTTTGCTACCTTCCGTCGACTCCTACTGTCGCCTGACAACAACCCGGCTGCGCGCAATTCAAACTCACGCAGTGTGAGTTTCTCCTGCGCCTTCACTTCCCAGTGGGCGTAGCCCTTGAGACAGTGGGCGACACGCCTCGCCGTCTCCACCTTCGTGCGATCCGCCTCCTTCCTGCGATCCTCTTCAATTATCACTAATTGCGATTCGGCTTCAGCACGTTGCGCTCTCAATTCGCCACACTCTGACTGTAACCTGCGGATTAACTCCTCATCCGCCTGCCGTGCGAGCTGACATTGTTCCAACAACCGCGTCTGTCGCACGAGCTCCTCTGACAAAATCCGATTCTGGGCCTGCTCAGAAATGAGTGCTTCCTTGACCTTCACCTGCTCCTTGGTGAGCTCGTCCAGTTTCTCATCCTTCACCTTCTCGGAGTACTTGTAGAATTTCTGATTAAGTTTATACTGACCCCACAAGCATGCATGCTTCTCCTTCAATTCCCTCAACTCCTGGTCCACTCTAGCTAACAACTTGCTGGTGTGGACTTTAGTGCGAGTCCGCCTGCGCACTAACTCGATGTAAGATCCCGGCTGAAGTGGGTCGGCGTATTTATCGACCTTGCGATCCAAGTACCTCAGCAACGGAATCACCTGCTCAGAGAGCGCCGCCGCCGGCGCTCCAACAATTTCCTCCTCCTCCTCCTCGGTGTCCTCTGCTCCTGACATTTCTTCAGTGGAGCCTCCGTCGTCATCATCCGAGTGGAGAATTTCAGTCGCCATTGATTGCGTCGGCGACTGCCCCGAGTGGGGCTGCACGTCGTCGACGTGTGCTGCCTGCGAAGGCACGGCTGCAGCCTCGCTGCTCTTCGCCAAAATGTCTAAGGCGGTAGGCGAATGTGCCCGTGCGGCATCCCCGCCGCTCGCTTGTTGGTCGTCTACCGTGTCCTCTCTGCCGCAGACGCCCGCCGCCGAAGGCGATCGAGCGGAGGGTGGCTGCGCGGGGTTTGATTGCGCATCGCGCATCGAAATTTCATCCCGCGGACAGTCACTCCGCTCCACCGTCTGTTGCTGCTCCCTTGATCGGTCCGTGGGGGCTGTGCTCGGCCTGTGCGCAGGCGCAAATGCCGGCGCCTTGTCCGCCGCAGGCGTAGCGCCGCGGACATCCATCGCCAAAGGCGACATGGCCGGGGGCCGCTCGCCCGATGTCCCTTGGCCTATAGGCCCTACCGCCGAAGGCGCATCTATCGGCGGACTACCCGCCGATGGTGCGGCCTCCGCACGCTCCCTGCTCGTATCTCCTCGGCTCGAAGGCCCTGGCGCCGAAGGCGCAAATTGCGGCGCGTGGTGCGCCGGAGGGTCTGGCCCCGAGGGCCGGTGTCTCGTAGGCGGTTCTTCCGCCGGCTCCTTCCCCTTCCTACGTTGGAACGGGGGTGATTCTTGCCTGTGCACAGGCGGCACGTGTGGAGGTGTCCTGTGCACAGGCGGACTGCTCCTTCCCACGCGTAAGCGTAGATCCACGTCCACTTGTGATCGCCTGTCCGCGGAGGCTCGTCCGTCCGCGGAGTCTCGTCTGTGCGCAAACGGAACATCTGTCCGCGACGCACGTGGTAACTCCGGAGGCCCTTGGCCCGTAGGCGGCCTCTCTCCCGTCGAGGTTGCGGCGTGGCCCGTTGCTCCTGCGGTCGTCCGCGCTTCCTCATGCTTCTCTGGCGACGCACTTCCTTTCTCCGTCGCAATCGTCGCCGTGTCCGCACTGTCGGCTGGTAACACCAGTCTGCGTGCCTTCTGCTTCGGCCGGCTGTATGACTCGTACAGCGGCCGCGGTCGAATGGGAGCAGAGGGTTCTTGATGCTGCTCCTCTTCGGACTCTTCTCTCCATCGCCGCTTCCGCGGCACTCGTGCTGCAGGAGTGTTTCTCCCTTCGTCCCTCCGCCTTGATGGGGTAGAAGTCGGTGACTCCTCTGCATCAGTGTCGACCTCATTCTCCCGCACATACTTCCCGGGATGGTCGACGGACAATGGCGGAAAATGCTCAAGCTCCGCCGCTGTCAAACAATTCCACTGTCGATAAAAATTGATGAGGAAAGGAGAAGGTGGGAACTCTAAACCATGGTTTAGAGTTCCCCCCTTCTCCTCAAAAGCGTGCTGTCGCATCACCCTGTGCAGGATGCTCGCCCAGTGAATTGGAGTTCCCTCGATGACGCACTCCACAAAAGAGACCTGCCACAATGTGATGTAGCAGGCGCGATGTGGCTGCAGCAATTGCATCAGCGCCGCGGACAAAGTCCGGCGAAATCGATCCTTGTAATCACGGGTCCTGTACCCATTCTTGGTAGACCTCCCGGTCTTGAATAGCTCCACAAATTGCGCCTCTTCCTGCTTGGTCACCTTGATGCTCTCACTGTCGAAAAGGAGATGCCCTGGCATGCCAGCACATCTTCCCAACGCCTGCGCCCAATCTTGGACTGTCCACCGATCGACATGCGGACGCAATCCGCGCGAGGGTGGTCCCTGTGGCTCTAGCCACTCGCGCACCATATTCGCACAGATGTAGTTCCATCCCCATAGCAAGAAATCGAGCTTTCTTGCTATTAAGCGCTCCTCGAAAGCGCGCAGCCCGTTCTGTGGTAGGCGAAGTGGGACCATCCGCAATCTGCCCGGTCTCGTCATTGCGTTCCTGGGGTTCGCTCTCCCGCTCATTCTACTTCCGCACCGCCCGAGCGCCTTTCTCTCTCGGCAAACTCTAATCGCCCTCAATTCCAAATCACGCGCATTCACTTCTCCCTCAATCAACAAGAAATCTCCTGTGCGGCGACGTCGAGAATGTTCAGCAGCCAGCAGATGGATGCGCGCAGCGCGCACAAGAGATTGGAATCGCGAATTCAAGAATGGGACGTCCTCCGCCGCTCGGTCGAAGGTCATGGTCGGCTCTTGCTCGTGGAGAACGTCTCACTTGATGGCCGCGCCGGCTCTACGCTGGAACGGTCTCCGCTCTCACGCGCGGCTTCACGCTCCGCCGTCGTCGATTAAACTCTCACGCTCGAATTGGCGGATTTGAACTCCGCGAGCGTATTACCCCGCGGACATGGGGGCGTAGCGCCGAAGGCGAGTTTTCCGCCTTGCGCGGTACACTTGTTCGTACCGCCCTTCGGCCAATCCCCCTCTGCCTTGACGCGTGTGTCCGCATGTCGGACAAAAGTTCAACTCCTGCCTGTGCGCAGGCAGACTCCTCGGCGGATTCTCCGCCGGCGCGGAACTTGAACATCCTCCTGTGCACAGGCGTTCGCCTGTGCGCAGGCGAATTCCGTGCGCGGCGTCGCGCTGGCGCGGAAGGCGTTGACCGTGGTCAGCCGTCTCCGTCCAGTCTGTCCGTTTCTTGTCTCTTCGTCGGCGCTTCCGCCGCCGCAACTCCGTCCGTCCAAGAGCGCATCCACCCGTCCCGTCCGCATGGTCCGTACAGATTTGATTACTCTGGCGGCTCTTCCGCCGTACGCGGCGCTGCGCTGGCGCGGAAGGCGCCGTACACTTTCTACCTCACAAGGCGCATTTCTAGGGCTCAAGGCGGATTTTCCGCCGACGCCGAAGCGCCTGTGCACAGGCGACCTGTGCGTAGGCGGACTTCGCGCCTCCCCAAACCCTACTTCGCCTGTGCACAGGCGAACGCCTTCGTCCGCGCATAGGACAAAACTTGATTCCCCCTTCCGCGTAGGCGGAATTCCCGCCGGTGGCGAACTCCTTCCGCCGAAGGCGACCGTCTCCGTATCTTTCAATAGTGATAACTCCCTAAGTCCTCATCCGTTCCAAGCGTTCTTGGACTCGTTGGAATTGGTGCGTCGAGCTCTTTCCAACGAGACCCTAACTTGGTCAAGGCGCCCGAGGGTCGACCTAATTATGGAGGATTTCCCTACCGCCGCGGACGCAACCTCCGAAGGCGGGTTTTGCGCCTTGCGTCGTAGGGGTCCTAACTGCAGAGCTCGCAGGGAGGGTGGTGCCTGTCCTTACTGCCACACCCCAAATCCTAGATTCTACAAGATCCCTCGAGAATCCCCGCGATCTTCCGGATTCACTCCGTTTTGATGTACCGAAGGCTATTTACAATGCTGCCAGGGTACAGTTTTCCAAAAATGTTTTAATTTCCTCAAAATTGCCAAAAGTGGGGTACCACAAAAGTCCTCAATTCTTTATAAGCAAAAGTGATTGACAAAACTTACTCATGATCTACTTGATTGATGTGTTTACTTACTTCCAAAGATAACAAAGTTGTGATGAAACTGCTTATTGGAGTGATATTTTCGAGGAAGGTGAAATCTTGCACCATATCTTAACTGATCTTGTTTAATAACTTTGACTTGAATAAATTTACAAACGTAGAATTTATATGAAAAGCTCACGGCATTAAAATCAAGCCACACGAAATGAAACAGCAATTTTTGTACAATCAAATCATACTGTCTATGTCATGAAGACTATCACAAGTGTCAAAATCTATATTTCAAACCTTGGAGTCGAACATGTTTCAAAAAAATACAACTCGTAATGAAAGTATACTAGAATATGATTCTTGACTATGTACATTAATGAGGAAATAATTTATAGAGTTTATGAATCAGCTGCCCTTATAATGTATCGTTGGGGCAAAATATACCACCTAAAGAAAAGAAATTGAAATCAACCTTGACTTTTCAGCTGAACTTGAACTGATCATCGTTGCCTTGCGTTTGACGGGGTTGAAGAGGTTGAGCACGTATTCTGCTTGGAAAACAATTGTCTTTGGACTACAACGCCGACATAGCCTTCCTGAGTCTAGAATAATATTCCACCTACAATATTGACTGTAATTCATCCTTCGCATTAACATTGGCAGCTATACGGTATTAAGCGTAGTGACTTTCGAATAATTCCAAATCTTGAGCACTTCGTAAAATCTCCGTCTGCCATACAGTACTGCCCATCTCATATTTGTTCAACGTGAATGGAAAACAAACCGCTGCATTCTTGCCACTAGTATGATGTCCAGCTCTACAGTTAAAAGAGCATGTGCATGTGGTTATTTTTAAATTAAATTTTCATATAATTTCAATATAAAATGTAGATGTTTCAATCACACACGTTATTGATAAATAGATTTGCTTATGTGTGATTCATTTTTTTCTCAATAATATCACTTTGGAACCACATATTTAAATGCATTCACAAGAGAAAATAAAATTGTACTATATATCCATGTTACTTTAAACATGCGAACTTTGCAGAATCTTGACAGGTGTCGATCTTCACATTTAACATATTTTACGAAAAGCTTATCTTCATGTGTGAGAATCATTGCTTGTCTACATAAACTAGGCAAAGTAGATAGCTTTTCCAACGATAGCACAAGTTGTTTAGATATGTTTAGGGCGCATAGTTGTATGGATATATCCAGAGTGTAAAAGCTGTTTTACCTGTTACGTTCACTCCACGCATAGAGGGATTTCTAATGGAGGTTTGCAAACTAAGTGACAAAAGTCAATGATATGTGATCTCCTTGTTCATTGTAAATTGAAAAGCTTGCGAATCTTAAATTTCAATGAAAGTGGACTATAAAAGTGAAGAGTGGATCCGTTGAGATGAAATTTACACCCACGTTATTTTACTATTTAGCCATTCCATTACTTTTCCAGACGTTAGACAAAGGAAGAGTGGTTGACCAGTTCAACTGTATGAGACTGTAAGAATACATACTGACGTTTTCTTTCTCCAGTTGTGGCTTTACCTGTCAATTGATCAAGGATTTACCTCTCTTTCTTTCATTGTTCAGCTGACATAACCTAATCCTAGTCCTCGCTGTGTTGCGACAGATTCTAAGGGCAGCTCTTAAATATGATGAAAATTCTAACGTGCAGATTAGGCTTTCTTCTTGCGTACAGTTCTGGGTATGTGACCTGTAAAGCCAATTTTACCTTTCCTGCTCCGGAAAATTTCCACGGAAGGTGACAAGCACACCATTATAAAGTCAGACGCTTATATCTTCAAGTGATCCTCGCTTTTTAGACAAATATAAAGTATATCATGAGCTAGTAGTTTATTCAACCTCATATTTCTTCATGTGGGCCAGACTCCTCAGATGAGAACTTTTGGCCTGCAGTCGGAAGTTTATGGGGACCATGGCAGACTAGCTTGGCAATGGAGGTATGAAATAGGTTGTTGAAGTCAGCACTCGAGCAAGGATGACTGGAATTTATTCTTGTCCAATCTCAGTATCATGAAACGTACCTTACAGGACAAGGAAAAACTTTTGAGCCGAGCGGTTACAAACATCTTACCCAGGGTTGGTTTTTATTTGGTTAGCTATATTTTAACTGTAATACTCGACCAGTACTTGCTTAGAATTATGAGCAGATGTACGAGTGTACGCAGGAAATATAATCTGTAAGTTAACGGCAACATATTTCTCAATCAAACACATGTCTTGTTTGTTAAAGACCAGCTAGACTGCCACACTAAGAAAGTACAGATCATAGTCCACAGAAGAGACTGTGACAGAGGCCTTGAGAAAGTTCGTTTTGTCCCAGCAACGTACAAATAGCACTGCAAGCAACATACACAGATTTTCAACCATAGAACTTTGCAACGCAAGATGTACCAGAAGGAACGGGTCAGGAGCACAACTTCGAACGAAATGAGCAACACAGATGCCATCTCTGTGACTCATGTGGCCAGGATAGAACCAGACGCAACGTAAACGACCACAGACTTTGAAGGAAAAAGGCAATTCAGATTGTACAGGTTAGAGTTGATACAGTACTAGAGCGACGGCGTGATGTTGGAAACTTCCAGTCTCAGAAATAATTAGAGCTTGAAAAGTAATGCACACATTTGACAGGTGATGCATAAAAAGGTCTGTACAAGAAATGATCTTCTGTACGATTTCAATTAGAAAGATAAACAGGGTCCTTTATAGACGTTTCCTACTGTAAGGACGGCAATACCTCCATCGGCAAGCAACAAGTTACATATATCCAAAACTAGAACCGTACAACAATGCAATATGTATTGCAAGAGAACAAGAGAACAATTGGAAGGTTGAATTCATTTCAAAGTAACAGAGCCAGTGTTGAATGGACCACGTACAAATCAAAGGAAATGATTTTCAAGATGAGACACAATGTGAGCTGTACAAATGAGGCCCGGATCGTAAGTTTCGAAATCAGTAATATCAAATGCTAATGTGGTCTGGGAAATCTGTACTATTGTACAACAGGGAAGCGAGGACAAAACTCAAATTTCGTGACTTGGATTCGAGAAGACCAGATACAATCTTCAGATTTGAATCACTCAAGGATTCATCTGGAGCAGTACGACTGTACCTTCAGGTGCTGTGTGAGAGCAGGACTATTAAATCTCATAATCTTGAACACATTGCCACAGTCACGGCCATGACACATACCTCACATACAACATACACGCACGAGATAAATCTGAACTGAAAAGGCAAAGGGAAACGCGTGCAGTCCACGTACCACAACATGACGCTGAACTAATGGTGTCCAATCCAATCGAAAAACTGACAATCAACACACAGTAAAATCACATCTACTATCGACGGCGCCCAGATATAATGATAACGGTTCCAAATGAAGACGACAGAGCAAAACAATTTCGACCAGCGAAGAAACACGCGAAGGGAAGACATACTGGATCTAAGAACGTACATGTTCATGAATTGCAGCTCGCCGTGTGTCGTGGAACTATGAGTGTCCTTACCCTGTACCTGCTGAACTTTCTGCGACGTGCCACGCCTGCATCTCTTGGTGAGAATCTCAGGTATCATTCCTCACGCCAAAACCCAAATGCCATAACCGGATCTCAAGCTCAAATGCACTTTCTAGACAAAGTAACTGTCTAGGATCGATAGGCCAGGTGGCCTTGTTTGGGTACCATCATCCTTGCCAGAAGTAGAGGAGTGAGCATATCCAGAAACGAGAGTGTCGGTCGAAGTCCAACACAATGTCATTTGAATCGCATTGACGCACAGCTTAATGAACATCAGACTGAATCAGCTTTGGCAATTTGTTAGTTGCAACTGACAAATTGCGAGGGGTGAGAAACTCTGTTCTTGCTCCCTGGATTGTGTATTGCGAAATCACAAACGGGGAGCCTAGGTTTAGCTCAATTCGGTGTATGGCAGAATATCGGTATGGAATGTGGCTCGTGATGTACTCACACTCAAATGTTTCTTATTTCTCCCAAAATCAGAAATAATTAAGTAGTAAATATAATCTATATATAGGAACAATTGGTATAGTGATTAATAAAAATATCGTCATAAAAATATATTTTAAATTATATCTTCTTAAAAAATTACAATATAAATTTTTGATGCATAAAGCATTTTATTTTACATAGATTTCATAACTAAATATAACTCCTTGTATTGAAAATGAACTAGAATACGTTTGTTTTGTAATAAATAAGTTTTCTACTTGAAGTATTTAGCTATCATCTAAATGTGACGGTTAGTTTTAATGTTAGCAACATAATGTAATGTGAGTGTTTTATATCTTCCGGTTGTAACTAAAACGTCAGTAATAATTATGAAAAATAATGCAAATGAAAAATTGAAACTTTATGTAAATCTTCTCACAAGTTAGATTTATCATATTAGAAGACATGAAATTAAATATCATTTTCTTTAATTTTTTCATATTAAAAAATATTATCTATATTTTGTAAATTAGTGAAGTTTTACAGTATATTCGTTTATGTCAAGGTAATATAAAACAACAGGATATGATATATTTCATGACGTTGTTTCTATACCTAAATATAAATTGACTTCAATAAAATTAATTGGTATTCTTAGGAAAATGTTAAAATTTAATTTCATTCGTTCTTGGAAAACAATATCTACTCTATCATACTATATCTTCAGATTTGTACTTGGTTATCGACTTAAATGACGTCAGTACTAATTCCATAATATGGTTGCTTCTACAACTCATCTGTTTCTTCACAGTGTGTTGTCGGCTTTAACTCGGAGGACATTGTTCCCTCACGCTGGGGCAACTCCCGGGGTGCACAGACGGGCATTCAACCTTGCGTAAACCCATGTTAGGTACACACTGGGCCTTGATGCTTTCTCGTTTGGTGGCGAGAAGTGTCTTCTCATACGTTCAGCGTTCTTCCATCAGCTGGTATCCCGGTCCTCCTTCCGCGCGATTTGACCGACTGCTGCACAGAGAGAGTGCTTCAACCGAGAACTGAAATACGTGCTACGTACAGTAAATCGACCCACATTCCAGCTGGTCTGTGCTTCTCTGCTCGCTCTGCTCGACACTCGTCCCACCGCAACCTCGGTGACGCTAAAGAGTTGACCAACAGTAAGTTGGTCAGTTCGGTGCATTAAATTTCTCCGTCCAAACACGAACTGCGAACCACTGTGCTGAACATTCTATGTCTTTAGTAGCCGAGATAGCGCCAGGAAACCTCCAGAGGTCACGCTGGCCGGGCACTGAAAGGGGAGGGATTTCCCATATGAAGAGTTGTTCATGTGCACCGAAGAAAGAGGATAGTGATTTGGAACTGATAAGCCAACAGTAAGAAGGTAAGACAGGCGTTCATCTTTTCCCGAGCAACCGGTCATGACAAGCTCAGTGTCTATCTGAAGCCCGTTTCCTATACGTAAGAAAGTGCCGAGCTTGTGTTAGAACAAGAAAAAGTGCACGAAAAGTGAGCGTCCGTTGGTGGCAACAGGATTTGAGTCGAGCGTGCTTTCGAGGGCCATGGCAGAGGCCTCGAGAACAATCACGTCCAATGGGGACTCGCCAGATGGTGACTTCGCTTACCGACGGAGGAAGCTTTCACTATTGTCGATCTTAGCCACTCAGCTCCATGGCAAATGTCCAACGAGCTACAGACACTTGTCGTCTTCGGTGTCCACAAGAGCACAAAGTTGTTGCCAGCCTTCGCAAGCAAGGCAGATGTGGCCGTGGCTGGCCGATTTCATGTGGCCAAATCTCAGTTCGGCAAATGGTGGATTCACTGTCTACCATGGAAGACTTACAACCCGAGCCAGCAGGTCGGCATAAGCTGCCGAGTCGGGAGGCCACAAATGGCGCATCTTGGGCTCGTTCCCGAAGTGCTTACAGAAATGTGACGATGTTCCATATCTACATCTCTCACCCGTTTGCAATCTGTTAGCTGAATAAGCTTGTCGTATCCGCCCTCCAGGCAGAGAAGTTAATCTGACCTTCGAATGCGCGCTCGACACTTGAGCAGCGGACTCCCTGGTTCCATGAAAAGTGCTAATTAAGCAATAGCTCCATCTAAGCAAGCTCGACAAACGTCCAAGACTCATGGGAGGCGATGCCAGTTCTGCAACGATTTGCTCGACAAGTGGAGAGTTATGTCCACACAGAGGAATGCAATCCTGGCCTCCACTTGAGATTGACGTGGAAGGCTCTAAACTCAAATCTGAGGAGCTTTCCAATTTGGTCGTGCAAAAGTGCTCTCGTAGTTGTGAGCGAGCTCCGGTTGCACTTTGGCTCGCACCCGAACTCTTTTGCTTGTTCCGGCATGTGCAAGACCCTCAGGTGCACTTTTGAACCCGTAAAGCGCTCGGGCCCACCTTCTGCTGAACTTTCGGACTCAGAAACCGGACAGGAGTTTTGCACTTTTATATTACGTGCAATACCTTTCTGAGGGTTTGTCTAAAAAAGCTGACATCAGCGATCGATCGGTACCGGCGTGGTAATTCTAACTCGAAAGCGATATTTCCGCGGAGGTGCTCGAGTTGAGCAAAGCGAGAAGGCAGAGTTTAGCGTGGCTGATCTAGAGTTATGGCAGTGCCACCCACCCACATGGGCACATCTGGTGTGTGACCCAATTAGGGTAGGTTTGAGTCTCGAGATATTATCGCTGATCCGGAATCATTCCGAGGACTCTAGTTAGTGGTGCGCACAATCTGGTGAAGTTATGGCGATACGGACCCACGCACTCACATGGGTATCTGTGTCGAAGCGAGGAATAGAGGACAGGTCCGGGATGGGAGGGGGGGTTTTCAACTGTCCACCTGAGACCTGGCCAGGGTGGAATCAGGGAATCATATCGAGTGTGCTTCTGGATCCGGACAGTCTATTCCGGACTCCAGATCGTTTCTCAGTGGCCGACGATCGGCCCGAAGTCCGATACGCCGAGGAATCATCTGCATTCGAGTTTTTTTAATTCTCGCTGCAATTCGACTTGATCATGAGAATGATGAGTTTGCACATCATCATCTCTCCCAGCACATGACGAGGACGGAGACCCCAGAAGGAAAGACTGCCAAATTTATGTTTCTCATTCATTGCAACAGAGTCCTGATGGGAGATGAGAAGATGGCCTACGAGGGGCGGGGAATCCGAGAAGAAAGAATCATTACGGTTGCTCACGATGACAGAATGTGCAAATGTAAGAAATTTCGAAGAAATCACATGCCCGGCTATTCTCTAAATAGAATTGGGGAAAGGATGCACGGTAATCTCGAAGAAACGTGGATCGTTTGGACTTCGCTCGATCTAAGTGGAGGCAAAGTACAGTCGGTCAGTCTCCTCGCGCTCAGAGCTGCCGATTCGCAATCTTTTGCATACGTTCGTACTCCAGAGCTTGAGCTCAGCGCTCGTCTCCTGTCTCAGCCCGGAAACATTTTCAACCCATCCCACCATCCTCGGACCTCTCATGAAGCTCTGAGAGTCCGTTTGATCAAATATCCGATTTAACGTCACGGAGTTGGAGGGAACTGCTTCTGGGCTTGGATCCGGCTGCCGATTCTGACTCGGAAGTATTTGGAAAGTCATACTCGGCAGGGGTAGGCTTACAAGCAGCAGTACGGCCTGCCCAGGAATTAATTCAGTATTTTAAACCCGAAAAGTGCCACAGATTAATACTCGGGAAAATCCACGCAGCGAGCCAACCACGTGACCAATTCTTCGATTGATGCGAAAGGGATACTAAACAGACCAACCTACGCTGCTCTGTGACCATCGTCTGGACTCTGGATTTACGTGACGGTTCCGTCCCACTGAAAGAGCAAAGATATAATAATCATTTCCATGTCGAGGATACGAAACAGCATATGTCTATGTCACATTCTCCCGACGCTCATCGTTTTCTGTAACAGAATTCGTCATGTCTGTCGATGTCACAGTGGAGTGGGTAAGAACGCTCGGTCCTGCTACAAGGACGACACCGTTTTCTAAAGGACTGTCAATACATTCTCGCCGACAGCAATGTTTATTTAGCGAAAAAGACTTGCAAAAGACCTTCTCACACATCGCGCACGGGCACTTGTTAATGTCAACTGGGGGTTTTATGTTCAACTGCAGGATTCTCGTGGTGTTTCACTGGTTTCTTTTCTTTCTCGATCGCGAGAAATTCCTGTAAGGAAGATCATTGATAGAGGTGTTTGGCATCATATATATCTCGGGCTAGCGTTTCGTGTTTCGTATCGTCGATAATTACCAATTGTAGTTTTTGGAACATTTAAACAATCGGACTGAACTGAGAAAATATTTGATCATTTTAATGCAACAGAGGTTGATATACAGCTGAAGTAAGGCAGCTTCGGTAATTTGTTTCGCCTTGCTTTACGAGGCTTCTACTGCTACCTTACCTCTCTACAATCACTTACATCTGCAACTTTCTATCAGCCGAGATGAAAAATCGGAGTTTTCAATTCGTCGTCGTGTCCATTTACTGAGAAGGCAAATCAACTAGAGACTAAACAAACTACATTCACACGTAGCAATCCATGACGAGTCTTCCGCATCCGGTATCTGTACTTCCGTGATACTCCGCTTGACCAAAATCCTAATTGCAACCCTAGTACACCGGGTTTGGCTATGTTAAAAAATTTCGGTGAGACCGTGCTTAGCCACTTCATCTGCAGTCCTTCCGATACGCACCGCACTATCTCTAGCTTCACATTGCGTGATTTCAGTCTTTGGGCATCGAGACCATAAGATGCTGAAAGATGGGATGGGCGAAGACCGAACATGGAACGAGACGCGGGATAGACAACAGAGATTTAGTCAACTTCATGACGAAGAACGTCGCTCAGGACCAAAGATGTTAGGCAGACGACAGCGGCTGCACCTGTGAGGTAGACGAAATCGACCAGGCATTCGACGCTGAAGCCTCCAATTACCCTGTTTCAGAAGAAATCCTAGCCTGGGTCTTTCTTCCTTCGCAGGAAAAAGCGCCAGAACTGTGCCATTTGTGCTATGTACACCAGAAATTTCATTCTCGTGACTCGAGTTAGCCGGACTTCAGCTCCCTGTCCAATTTGATGCTATCTTTGTCCACCAAGTACCCGAAGCCAAAACCGATATTTGACAACGTAGCTGTGTGCATTTCCTCGGATGACGTCGAGGTGGCATCGGTTGTGAAAAACACGCGGAAGCCCCTGCAGAAGGCGTCTCGGGCCGTGGTTTCGCAGCAGAGATTGGTCATGACCCCTGTGACGATCACCTCGTCGCGTCCCAGATCCTTGCAATAAGACTCCAGATCAGTGCCGTTGAAAGCACTATATGTCAGCTTCCTAATCATCTTGTCCTGCTCCGGATCGAATTCAACCTCTGGCATCAGCTCCGATTCCTTGAGCCCATCATCGATGACACCCTCCCACCACTCCCCGAGGATGCCATGCTCTTCACCTTCCTGGTACGCCGTTCTCGTGTACACGATCGGAACTTTCGCCCTTCTCGCATCTCGTATGATTTGCAATATTGCAGGCAGAATGTCTTCCGCGCACGACCGGAAAAACTCCTGCATGTCAATCACCAGCAGCACGGCTCGGCTCGGATCAGGTGCGCGCTCTCTGGTCACATACTCCTTGTATGATCTAGTTCTGATAAACCCCTTCGGAGGCTCCATCCTGACCCAGCTCCAAACTGTAGAAAAGCAATCCGATTACGCTGTCGACTCCAATTTATAGTTTTCCGCCACGGACGTTTCGAGCGCGGGTGCCAAACCCTCTTCCCCTGACAAGAGCAAACAAGAATGTGTAAAACGCATGATGTACCACGGTTAAAGGTACCGAAACGACCCGCACAGTATTTCTCATTGGCCCTAGTGCCTCGCCTTTGTAAGAAGGCAAACGCCCTGTAATAATGCAGGTAAATTTTGGCAAGCCTATGAGGGCGGGGGAAGATGGGCCCCTCAGTAGGCGCAGGCCAAACCCCCCTCGACAACAGCTAAATCGCAAGGGTTTCCTGACCTCGGCCACAAAACCCAATCCTGTACTGGCTGAGCGTCACACCGCATCGTCCGTCAGCCCCGTGTCGCAGGTCAGCCTCGAGCCTTGACCTGTTTCTCCACCTGGAATCACAGGACGACCATGTTCGATTAAATTACACACATTTGCATTTACCTTGCATTTTTCTTCTTCTCGTTCCCTGGGCTCGTTCACGACGCACCCCCCGGCTCATGTCCGTGCTCGCCGTGGGACCACAGCCGATCCCGCGAATGAAGTCGCTAAGTCCGTCCGATGGCGGTAATTGGAGAGAAGTCAAGTTCTGGGGAAGAGTCCATGCACGTCCTCCCCGAGAACCTGTTGAATGTCGCCCAGAATTGCGGCTCGTCTAGCCCGAATCCCGATTGGAAGACGGGAAGGGAGGGGAGGGGAGGGGCGGGGAGGTGGGGGGATTTGGGGGGTGGAGGGAAACATTCTGCTCCAGATTGCCGGTAGAACAGAGAGAGCAGAGCTTGTACGAAGGGTACGACTCGGGAGCGGTGGTGGGGCCGAGCTCCGATACGTACACTTAGGCAGCTGTCGGTCCAACCGCCGATCGACACATGGAGATGCTCTGTGACCCAATAGTCGACATGTCAACAAAAATCATCGACGCGCTATGATCGACTCGCAACTGCGTCGACTGACAGGCAGGCGTTGCCCACCTCTAGATTAAAGCTTGGTCTTCTCAGCCGGTGGGCCATGGTTACCGTCACCGGCGCATCTCATTTCAGTGTTTCATTTAACGACTTCGTACTTTTTGCTCCATCTCTCGCTCTCCCTCCATAGCTGCGCTCCTCCGTAATCATCGCCTCGTCCTGACGCAAAAGCGTACTGTATTTCTAACTCACGCGCCTCATTATGGCCTCCTCCTCAGCGACCTCCCCGCATCCACGCCTCATCGACGCACGGGCACTCACATTCCTCGCACTCTCATGTCGTTCGATACACTGCTCTCCTCAAGACTCTTTATTCAGCATGTTCCTCCTCAGAAGTCTTTAATTGGGATTACTTCCAAGATGCAGGCTCGGAGCCTGGGGTCAGCCTGCTTGTTCTAACTATCTTTTCATTTGTGTGTGGAGAAAGTTTGATGAACTAAGGATTCGTGTAATAACACATTGAATCAAGTGGCGAGAATATCTCAAATTTGAACTCGATGATAATCAAATTTGGATACCCAAAGTGTCGATTTGACTTTTAGATATTTAACCACGCCCCGATGAGGGAGAGGCGGCATACTGCGAAAGCCTAGATCGAATCTGTGGAATTCACATGGCAAAGCAGAATCGAGACTCGCTTTCGCCCTTTGGAATCAATGTGTCGTGAGTGGATGAACTATATTTTTTGATGTGTCACCTTAGAGAAGGAACGAGTATTTACACGGCAAAGACGTTGCCCTAAACAGGAGATCCACGTTGCGAGAGTAGGGTCGCAGATGTGCTTAAGGTCGGAGCTCCGCTTCCTAATTCGTTAGTGGTGACTCACCTTCTCACGAAACGAAAACAGATGTGAGTGTGTAGTGTACACGTCATCGCAGCCGGGACAAACTGGTCTCCGGATTGAGGAACCTTTCGCCAGACTCTTGTCGGGAAGCGCGAGCTGTCATTAAGAAACCAAAGTGTCCAGTGAAAGTAAAACAACAAAACGCCAGCAAATTCGGTGATTCGACGGGGGATATGAAGAAACTGATCGGAACAGATAGTAGCATACTGTATTGCAGACCGGAATTACTGCTCGTAGAACTTCCACTGTTTGATTGTATGACTAACTCGAGCTAATATTGTTTCTTTTATTCATCAGACAGTTGTCAAAGTCTGGGGAAATTATTGCTCTTCTAGTTCTTCGCCGATTCGGATTTGCCGGGCGGTAAGCGAGTGACTGTGGTTAGAAGTGGTTAGAGGATGCTCGCGCGCTCTTCTTCTCTTTTGGCGGGGTGCGTTCGAGAGATTATCCCTCGTGGGCCGTGGATGCGAGCATCGCTTCCCGAGGAGCTCGACGTGTGTATCCTTTCTTGTCGATATTCTGGAGGGTGATTAGTTTCCAGATTCTACTCTCGAGACCGATTTTTCAATGGCGCACGTTGTCACTGCGAATTCATCCGGCAGGACTCCGGAGCCATATCGGTTGCGTCTTTTTGTGCGATGAGGGTCGGGATTATCGAGCCGGAGCTGTTGCGGCAGTTGTTGTAATGGCATTCCGATCATGATTCTGTCCGCACGTAACCACGACCGGCTATTACTCGATCACAGTGGAAGAGGCGATATCTCTGCGACGTTTTGTCGTTACATATTGTAGTATGTTCTCGTTTCTTCGAGGGCGATATCTTTTAGAACAATCAAGAAAGGCCGTGGTTCATTCTGGAATTCAGTGGAGATCTGCTGCCCTTAATGGAGACAACGAACATGTTCTGGAATGAGCGATCCTTTCAGATGTAGCTCCACGTAGTCCTCTGTGCGCGACCGTTAGGCGCCTCGAACATCGTAGGCTGTGTAGGCGCGACTGGAAAAGCAAGGCCATCATCATTTGGGAGTTGCCTCCTCCTCTTCTTGCGAGGGTTTCAGCAAGTCCCTCAAACCTACGCAGTGAAAGTACACACGAGTTTGGTTTCGATGCAATCCGTTGATACTGTGGTTAAATTGAAGATGGATTGCTGGTGAGTGAGTATTCCTATTCTTGCCGCTATGGTGCAAATTGGATATCTGTGATTTTAGTGCGGTGTGTGAGTTACGTTTGTATTTTTTCACCAGGAAGATAAGACACGGAACTTAGCTGTCCAAGTTTGCAGCATGTGGGTTCGAATGTGTTCGTCGAAAAGACCCAGACCCGATTCCCATCGTTACAGTAGCGGGAGCGTAGTCAACCGGGATTGAGAGATGAGGGGAAGTTGCTTGTCGGTAGCGTTCGCAAATTCCCATTGGTTCCGATTGGGCCGCACGAACTCTAAGAAAATTTGGAGCCGGTGGCTATGGCGGACGAGGGCTAGACGGGTAGGGGCAGCCAGGTATAGAGCAGATGTTCACGCCAAAGAACGAGTGAAGTTGTTCGAAATAATTTGTCCTTTTAACAAATAGAGATCGAGAAGATAATTGGAATGGATAAGGAAGCAGATGCTCCTCTGTAAAAAATTCTTTCTCCTTTCAAAACAACCAGATGAAGGAAAGTACTAAAGTCAATAGTCACCGAGAAAGAGCATCGGTTGCAATGTTTGGAAAGCGATTTCGGTGAAAGGAGAAAATGTTGGTACTACACCGAGCATAGAGTAGTTGGAGGGTTGGAGCTAACAAGAACAGTAAGATTAAATGAATCAGCATGTGATGAATGAGCCATCACCCGGTTTGAACGGGATGACCACTAAAAGATTTTCATTCCTATGCCTCTAAATCATCCAAGAGTTGACAGAAGTACTGTTCCACTTGTGCAACGGAAGGTCGATTGCAAGCACTCATTTCACAAGGATTATAATACAAAACCCTTATTGAGAACAAACAAGGAGAATTATTCACTGCCCACAAGAAGCAAGATCTTTTGGGAAAATCTTGTTCTCTAGTCAAAGGAAGGTATCATGATTCATATTTGGATGCACAATGGATGAGAGAGATTGGATTCGCAACTGCCCAGAGAAGAAAAATTATGAGATACTTGGAATACCCTGTTAGGTAAGGCACTTTGGGTGGGGAATTACTCCTGTGAACTCCATCAAGGAATAGTTGGAGAGTAATATTAGTTTCTTTTGTGTAGTTTAGTGAAGCAGTGCTGCTCAGACGAAAATTAAGAGTAGTAGAAATTTGGATGGAAAATGAATTCAAGTGGCTAGAGAATTTGAATTGAAAGTTCTCATTGCAACTCCCCAATCGACACATATGTGCTGTAGGAGGTGTGAGGAAGGTGAAGTGAGGAGGCGTCTTGGCCTTTTTCCACATACCAGTTTGTGAGAGTTTGGTTTTGAATAAATTTTAGGCTGCATGCAGATAAACACAGAGGGAGGAATCTTGGAGAGAGACAAGAGAAAGTTATTGAGGTTAGCGTAGTGAGTTAGGGGAAGAATCAACAGAAATTAGATTTGGAAGGGTCGAAGTCTGCTGCTTCGTCTGGTTTATCGAGGGATGGATTAAAGAGATTCTGCTCTAAACAAAACGGACGAGGTTTGGGACGAGCGAAATGTACAGGAAATGGTGTTTATTATTTGGTCGTGTTAACGCCAGAAAGGAGAGACGGAAATTGCAATAAGTTATTTACTCACTTTGATTTGCACCGACTGTCAAAGAGGTAATGCAGATTTTCCCATAACTTCTTTCACAAGAGATTTTCTGTCAGTATAGTTCTCCAGACTTATATTATAAATGAGAATCTAGGAGCAATTGTTGGGAAATGTTATTACAGTCTACATGCATGTGCATATTGCCTCTGTGATGTAGTGACACATTACACAATCGTGTTAAAAAATGAAAACTGCTCTGTGCCATGGACACAAGCTTTTTAACAGCATAGCAATGAAAGTGTGACAACTACATGCGCACTCTTTGACTAAAAATCAAGTATCAAACTTGCCATAACACCATCAATACTCCAAAAACTCATATTTCTCAACACGTAATCTTGAGTTCATACTATATAAATAGTATGAACTTTGGATCTTTGCAAGAATAAATTGCATATTTTAGTCTATAGCTTCTTGATAGAATCACATCATAGTCTTAAAGAGTTTATACGATGAATAAAAATTTCTATCAAAGAGAGAAAGAAGTGGAAGCTACAAATAAGACAATTATTTCGAAACTATTCACAACATTAAAATAGAAGGAAAAAAACTTTAACTTTAATCTGCAATTTTTTTACCAAATGAGTATGATAAGTCTCCATATGATCAATTATGAGTAGGATGGTGAAGAAAGCATGGATGAAGTAAATAAGTGTTGCACTAAAGATTTTGATCCACAACAATGTCTCATTGGAAGAACCACCAGAAACATAACATATCACTTGAGATAACGTCAATCAAGAAGATTTGCAAGATATTGCAGCCCTCTTCCATGGTCAATATATATATATCCATACTCTTAATTTTTTAATGGAGGAGGTCTATTAAAAGGAGAGATAAAACATTAGTTTCAAGCGAGAAAATAAAAGAAAATTTCATCCAGCATGATAAGCTAACAAGATGGGGAAGGATGAGAGCTTCTCAAAGTAGTAGAAGCAAACTATTGCAGTGCAAGGTTTGTTCGCTAAAGCTTCAAGAAGTCTAAATAAGTTTCACAACTAAACTCATTCATTGCTTTTCTACGAGAACAACTAAACGCATGGATGTTAAAAACCCCCTTATGAGTTGTGATTTTCCTATTGTCTCCTAGTCAATCACTATATGAGTATACTGCAATCAGTAGCCCAGTAGGGCTGTCTAATTTCGGTATCTCTCCAAGCAGGGAATGACTAGACAGAAAATAGTCCCCTCACCATTTATTGTTCTTGAGACTCATGTCTAGAAGGACGGAGAACATTCATCTTTTTTTCTTTTGTATTGAGGATATATTATACTAGGTAAATATACAATTAAGTTTCGGGCTGCAGACACATTAAATAGAAAAAGAAGGAAAGGTAGAAAAAAGTAACACGAGCTTAGTGAATATGATCTACTTCCCATTAGATTGCATCGTTTTTATTATTTTATTCCAGTAGCTATGACCTACAACTAATCGAGTACATTGGACTCTGAGTATTCAGGAAAATCTCCCAGACATTCTGATGAGTCCGAATCTTTAGAACGGGCTCTTGACCAATCCCGAACAGTTTTTTCACATGTGAAAATATTCAGCATCGCAGGAATCGAGGGCATATCTTCAAGATATAGTAAAATAAGAAATTCCTGAAATATGCTGTGACCCTCAACTATTAGCCCTCTGGACCCAAGTATGGACAATTCGATCAAGTCTGAAAACCAGCACTAAGTCTTGTAGCTCACATGTTGTAGCCAAACGATGGTTCAACGTCCTAGGTACAACTTTACCAACGAAAATGGTGAAGGAGTTCATCCTGACGGAATCTGCATCTTTCCATACAGCATCACTTTCATGACGACAGAGCAAACCGCATCATACCTCGTAATGAGAACGCCTGCCTTATTCGCTCTTTGCTCTAAGAAGTGTGATGTTTCTGCACCAAAACTTAGATAAATAATCTCGTACTTCGCGAATTGCGTGGAATTTACAACCATACCGAAAGCCACGGGAAAAGTAGTGTTCTCCCCAACGGATGAATTCGCAATCTTCAGAGAGATTTAGAGTATTCTGAATTTCTGCCCTGTATGGAAAAATACGACACTTTACTTCGATTTTTGATTGAGATGCATTAAATTTGAAGTCTCTTTGACGGAAGCAGTTTAGTGATAACGAAGGAACTTAGCTGAGGGTCGTTGGCAAGGTTGCAACACAATGTAGAATATTCCCTGGTGGAGAGAATTTTGGTGCAGAGACAGAGTGGAAGCAGACCCCGATTAATCCTCTGATCTCACTATCGGCTTCAAGTCTTGGGGGCTGGGGCTTCATCCTTGAGCAATGGAGTGCAGATTGTGATCGAAAGATCGAAAGATTGATAACGTGACCCTTCGAGGATTGCATCATCTGTCGCATAGTGTGATTCGCGAATAGGTTGCTGGACGTAACTTTCTCATGTCCACCTATCAATTGAGGAGCAGATGAAAAAGAGGCACATTTCGTTACATGTGTAGCGGACGTGTGGTCCTCAACTCCAGGTTTGAAGTAAATTTTGCGTAAATCAGCCATGTCTCCTCCTGGGATCGACACCGTTCCAGCGGTCCGATGCATAGTGAAGCTAGGTGAGTTTCTCTATCACATTCTGAAGTGTTTGAAGTCTGTGTATTAAAGCTCCACCATTGCAAGTTTAATTGTTGGATGATTTTACAGAAACGTTCGTAATTCATGCGAATCAGCGGAGATTAACGACATTCTGAGGTCATATGTTGATGAAAATTTGGTCACAAATCTTGTCATGGATTGAGGTCGTAGTCCCGCTCTTCGGATTTCACAAGATAGACACGTTGGTTTTCAACTACAGGAGGAAGTTCGGCCACGGAGAAAGATAAATTCGAAACTTTGAATGAATATCTTCTTTCAGAAACTGCAAAGCAACTCAGGGAGGTTTTTGTACGTTCATCCGTTAGGCAGCTGACCATGGATTGGAGTCGTGGATCGAAAGCCGATCAAGCCAGTCATATGCCGGAAGACGAGAGTTCTCCCGAAATTCTTCTGGACATGACTCCCTTTGTTGTCGTTCATGGAGCAGGTAGGTGACTTTATCCTTCAGCTACTTCCGATATGGTGTTCCATGATAACGATCTCAATAAGAGCCTGATGCCTCTGTTCTTTGCAGGTTCGTTTGGACATTTTCAAGCCAGCAAAGGACGGGTAAACCGTGGAGATCTGGCAGAAGATTTTGTCAAGGCTGGATTCGTGGCGACAAGAATATCTGTAGGCACCAGCTGCAGCATGAAGCCATATAGCTTATAAAACGTTTTTTCTGGCCGGCTAGGAGAATCACCGTCAAGTTTTTCTACTTTATCATACAACTAAAGGTTTCAAGGGGTCTGTGTGGAGAATTCTTTTTCTTGACAACTCGCTGGGTTCAGTTCATCTTCTCTCGTTGGTGCTTATCCTTAACGAGCTCAAGTGATCATATCAAAATATCTGGATGTCTATCACTCGTCCGTTAGTTTGAGTAATCTGCTCATAAAATTGTATATTGTTCAGGTTGTGCAATTTTACCTGTTTGGCCTAAAGTAGCGGAACTAATCCATGCCTTGTTGCACTGGGTGAAGGTAACCAAGCTGAATCATGCGGTGGTAAGAGCCTTTGCAACAGGTTCGTAAAGAGCGCCATCTGTAAAGACAAGCTATGAGCATGATGTCTTGCAACGATTCCAGGGCTATCTACTTAAAGACCTCACAATTCCTTCTGAATTTTTTTTGAAGGGTCCCTTGTGTTTGGTTCCCGCAGAGTGCATCCCGGCTGTGGGTGTTTCTCCTTTCTGTGCAGGCTGGGCGACGAAGAATCGACAGGTACAAATGCTATCCAGCTTCGTAATCTGATTGTGAATAAATATATGACATTCACATTCTCCATGGAAAGGAGGTTAAGGAAGGGACCCAGATCAGAACGGTCATTGACAATAATTCGTGGGTCAATTTTACTCCTGAATATTGGTCGCCTGGAGAAAACTACTATTGTATGCATAATGATCACTCAATTGTATGCATAATGATCATGGCAGCTTGTACGTGAAAATTCAGCAGATGTGCAGCAGCTACTTCAAGCCGGTCTCTTACCGGTGCGTGTACGTCTACTCTTATAACTCTCTTGACCAATTCTTTCATTCTCTTCACCTGAAACTTTCTGATGTAATGAAGCAAGGGGTCCTTGGTCAACAGTTGGAAGCTTTGAACCAACGAATTTGAGGGGACGAGAAATGCGAGACCCCCTTCATTTTGGAACTGTCCTCTCTCTAATGCCCCTTGCCTCTGAATTTCCTCTCACTTCTTTGTCTTTCTCCATCACTACTATCAGTATCGCTTAGTTCAATAAGATGTGTTTCTATGCTCTTCAGTCCAGTCCTAACGAGTCGAATCACCTGAATTGTCTCATCTGATTGTTTATTTGTTGATTTTGACGATATGCTACAGGTTCTTCATGGTGATGCAGTTCTTGATAGTGGCCAGGTAATCCTATTTCTCTGATCTTCTATCTCGCCGACAAAAAGTATTTAGATTTCTATAAACTTTCGGCACTGCACAACTGAAGCCAGTATTTACTGCAGGGTTGTGCTATTTTAAGCGGTGATGTCATTGTTCGTCAGCTCGCGTTCGACCTAAAACCCAGTTTTGTGGTGTTCCTCGTATCCTTAACTGTTGATTTCCTTCCAGCTCAACTTGTTTCAAGTTTTCTTCGTTCTTTTAAACCGTGGCAAATGTCAATTATTTTTGGGCTTAACTGCACGTGAGTTTAGACAAACGTACCTGGTGTATATGATCGACCCCCTTCAGATCCACACGCGGTTCTCTTGAAGGAAATTGGTAACTTTTTCAATACCATTCCTAGATTCTCCCTCAATTCAAGATCCTTGGCAGCATCACTGCACACAAGGTGTTCACTTTAGAGATCTACAACCTGTACTAACCCGTTTCTTTTCTATACTGTGGAAGCTTTTGAAAGCAAGCATCTTGAATTGGAAGCGATCGAATGATGACTTTCATATGTTCTCTGTTGTATTATAGCTGTTGAGGACGGAGATTGGAAAATAATAGACCCTCAACTGGAGGCGGGACTCGAAGGTGAATAATCTTCAAATGCAATGTAATCTCACCTTGTTTCTATCTTTATCCTTAGTGTCTGTAATGTCCTACTTAACTCATATGTGCATGTGCTGGCACAAGTCTTAATAAGTTTTAGTGCACTTGTGCAAGATTAGTCCAGACCAATGTTGCAGCACATGATACAACTGGAGGCATGGAAACGAAAATAGCAGAGGCAGCTTCCATAGCAGACTTCGGCATTCCAGTTTTGGTTGTAGAGGTGAGACTGGTTTCGTTTCACATCTGGGTTATCTAAACATGGACTTCGTGATATCAGGGAATCTTTACAAGTTTTGCAATCTAAGGGCACTTTTGTCTTTGCAGACCGGTTCCAGTCATGCGTTGGAAGCTCTGAAAGGAACCCCTTTGAGTAATAGAGGCGAATGGGTTGGAACTATCATTAGGAAAGCAATCCCAGGAGAGCTTGGCCAATAGGTATTGTCACCACAACACACATGACTACAATTTCTATTCTAAAATCAGTTGTAGTTCAATATCTGCTGATCTCCTACACCAAGTTTCCTAAGTTGATAACTGGTGGGTCGTTGCCACATAAATTTCGTTCGCGATTGAAAATAACTTTGCACGTGCAGGAGTTGGAGTTGCTCACAACACTCTGTATGTGGCTGAAAGTTGATCTGAAAAGGTCTCCTCAGCCTGGATCTTGTTTCATAAACTATCTTCTTTAATGATCAGGAGCAGGTAATGTCAGTCTCTCGTCATCGATGTTCACTCCTTGCACAGTTATTTGCAGTAATAGATCATGAATATGGTCGATCGTGATGTAGCCTTAGCTTTCATTTGCGCTGGCTACATATCAGAAATTTACATGGACTTGTACTTATCGGCCCCATTGATAGGGTCAGTATTTTCTCAGAATTGTGTACCACCATTTTGAAGTATTTTTCCTTGGTAAAGATTCTCTACTTACTCACCACTTTGATCTTCAACGGTTCTTCTGCAGAGACTCTTGCATCATGCCGTAAACTTCTCGTTTGAGGGGTCAAGGTTTGAAAACACTGAACATCTAGAAGCTTTTGAAAGTAAGTTTCACCTTATTTGAGTATAGTAAGCTCTTTTGATATCTGAAGATTTCCGTTTATACAATGACTGTCCTTGCTCCAGGACTATATACCATGGTGTATCATTCTGCAGAATGTTAGTCCAGATAATCTATTTGATCTATTTTTGCATTTAAGATGACGCATCCCCGTGTTTTCTCGCGTTTCCACATATCTTGTACACAGGAAGAACTGCAGGATATATGTACCGTCATCTGCCAAAGTAGAGTAAACTCACCCATATTTTCACAAAACTACCAAGTGTCTCATTTGTCCTTGCGTTTTCCGAACTATCAAGTGAAACGCTTGAAGTGTAATTTCATGACAGAAATGAGTGAAGTTTGAAATTAGTACAAAATCCGCATGTCTATAGAAGCAACGTTACTGCCGCAAGAACCATGACGTACAATTGGTGTTTAGGGGCGAGCAGTCGTTCTTTGCTTGTAATCAGGACGATTCCCGATTTGTTTGTTGGGAACGGTTTATACTATCTTCTATCCAATGTAGTAAAACTGGAGATGGTCGAAGGTCCACCTCTCTGAAGTATATAAGACATGGAACTAAACCAGTCCAATGTGGACTCCTGATAACTGAACAAATTCAAATCAATGATCAAGTGATAATAGAAGTTTAAATGGGATGGAACGAATGACAGATGACGAGAGTGACATGCATGGCAATGGACGTGGTTTGAAAACTAGTAATTGCTCCAGAATCAACCTCAGCAAAATTCACAATAAGTGGGTAATTTCCAACAACCAAAATAGTCCATTCCAAGACATGATTGGACTGAAAATGTGGAGTTGAACGTCTGCTACTCATGACAACATGAATCAAATTCAAGTTTGTTTAACCTCGAAGATGTCAGAAGTTTTTGTAGGCAAGGGAAGTAAAGCGTGCAATTGATTGTGCAGGAGGAGAGGAATCTATTTTGATTGACCAAGTAGCTATATGAAACAAATATGGAAACTACTGACTATTCACACTTTTACCGAATACGAAGAGTGCTTGAAGCCCGTACAAACTTCAAGCTCCAGTAAAATATTGAAAGGCCACCCGAGAACAAACTTCACATTTATTATCATCACCATATATTCTCCTTTGCTAGAAAGCTTTTCCTAGCCCAACAGAGAAGACATTACGACCGACGTATAGTGCGCAAATAATAGAGCTGGAAGTAGCAGTTCATAATACTGCTACTTCCAGCATTTCGATATGAATGTGAACAGTTGAACAAAAAGAACTCATCATCATGATCTTCATACTGGTACATTTTAATACACAGATGTACAAGCTTGGTTTCATGGTCGTCCTAGGGAGCAAGTTGTCGTTAGTCTTGAATTTATTCCCACACTTTAGTTCAGGTTCCGGGCTTTATGAGGGCCTTGAAAAGCTCCAGATTTTCCACGCAAGACAGCGCTTTACTTGCGTCTTTGAGACTGAAAACAGTACTCACAACTTGATGCCAAGGCAGATGACTGTATTTGGCCATGAATTGAACTCCTCTGTGGAAATGACTGAAATCCGAGCCCCAACAGCCCTTCATTACTACATGCTTCCGATTGATCAAGTGGTGTGGGTTTATGCTGACATCGCCGTTATCAGTGTACTGACCCACGACCACATAGGTTCCTCCATTTCTACACAAAGCCAAACCTTCCGCAACAGCTTCTGGCCTTCCTGTAGCTTCGATGACAACGTCTCCAAGTCGACCTTCAGTCAGGTCGGTTACCATTCTTAGCCGGTCCGAAGGATCTGTTATCTGCCATTTGCACATGAAAGAGTGTTACGCATGTTGCACACTGCAGATGACTCCATGGACTGAAAAGAAGACAGGTTGATTCAATACTTTCAGAACAGAAGTGTTCCCACTCTGATAGTGTACAGCAATGCAGGGTTTTGGAAAACTAGAAAACCAGAAACCTATGCGTAGTTACTTACCTCTTGAATGTTGACGGTCCAATCGATGCCGAACGCCTTTACGACATTCAAACGATGAGCAGGAGCTCCTATCACAATAACCTAATGAACAAAATGTTGGAACATGCAAGCAAGAAACGAAAACCGTGAATAAGCTTTAAAACATGAAAATAAATTCTAGTTGGACCAACTCTGCAAGTACGTAGGACAAAACGTTTACAAACTGCCCTCCACCTACTTGCTCCTACCAGTTTCTCTGCCTCCTCTATTATCTGCGTCTAACATGCATGATCTGTTCCATTCCTGTTCAGTGGAGCTCTATACTAACCTGGCCAGCACCACTATGAAGAGCCAAAATTGCTGCAAGAAGACCAACTGGCCCGGAGCCTTGGACAATTACACGATCCATCAATTTGATGCAGGCCCTGTCCATAGCGTGCAGTGCTGTGGGGAGCCTGCAAGGTTCTCAAAAGGAAGAAATGAATGTCCAACCTTCCCACATCATCTCTGGCTTCCAGCCACAGGGCCAGTCTCCAGTAAGAACAAGCAAAATCTGTCTTTGGAGTTTTTTAATCTGTAAATAGGTTTTGTAAGATGATCAAACAAATTGAGCACCTTGAATTTTTCCTTCACGATATCATCAAGATAAAAGAAGCTATGCTGAATTATCGAAGTTCTTTCAAAATAAATCAGCTGTCGAGCATGGAGAGGGGCCGTACCCACAGCCACCAGCCATGAACACTATCGGTGGAAGAGCTATCGGCAACCGAATTATCTTCGTCTTGGGTGGCAGATAGATGAAGGAAGACCAGCAACCCAGAAGCCCCTTGACATCACCACCATTCGCCGGGCATGATATTCCAATAACACGCCTTTCAGGACACCGAGTTGTTTGTTTGTCAACCTGCCGAAAATCAAAACCTCATGTGAGAACGTCGCATTCCACATATTTTTCTCTCCTACACAGACACTTCAGTCGTCTGCAATTTATGCATAACATACTTTTGAAACTTTCCCAACATATTTCGAGTAGAAGAGCATACCAGGCACGTGATGCACGAATTGCAGGTATCGAGGACGTCCAGAAAAGTGACCATATCTCCCTTTTTAACCTGCGGCACGGCAGCTTTGGTCTCAGAAATGTATCATCCAGCACCCATCAATGCCAAGAGTATTATGGTCTCTCACAAAGGAGCTAGGACCTACATCCCTTATCTCTCTAGCCCAACAATCGAGCCAAGATTTGCACATCGTTAGACATCCAGTACCGAAATTTTGCAGCTGATAAAGGTGCAGACAAAACTGTCTTTTGAGTGAATGTAAGATGAGAATACGAACTACTTTCGATCGGTTGGGTTCTTCGGAGACGTACAGGAACTCCGGAGACATCGCGCACCGAGCCAACGGAGGCATGGATGCGGCCAACACCCACATGACCAGGAATGATGGGGTACGGTACGAGATCGAGGCGGCCATGCATCAAATGTACATCGGTCCCACAGACCTCTGCCAATTCTGTACGCAGTAAGACTGACCCTTCCTCCATCTGCGAGAGCTGCAACCTCGATCTGTGCAGCTTCAGCTCGCCCTTTGCGAGCATAATAACACATTCGTTATTCACCCACTGATCTCCATTTTCCATTTCTCCCAAATCCCCAGATTCTATGTCGCCCCTGTTCTCCATCCCTAAAGCTCAGACGTCTTGTTGCCCACCACAAGATTCTTCAGCCTCACGCGCAGATAAAAACGAGTTGCAGTTCAATCAAGGATGTTGCTAAGCAACTACAGCAGCAGAAATTGCACATTAGCTGACGATTGGCAGCTCATGAGCTTTTTGTCTCATCAATCTCCTGACGCCTTGGCCACAGGACTCCCACCCGACGACATTTCGCGAAAAGCTTGTTAAGGTCATCGAGAGCTTCCTAGACGGCATTTAGGACTCTTGAATTTCAAAAGGTGAACTCGGACAGCGGAAACTACACACTTCCGACTTGAAGCTGAGGATAACTCTTTAGAACTGAAACGAAACGTTCAGACCAGATGAAATTATTGTTCTACGGATGTCCTTCTCGTGTTCTGACTCCACTATTTGCTCGAGGGATCACACGTGCTGTACCGTCCTGTCCTGTCCAAAGACAGTGTTAAAATTCGTTTGGTACAAACATCACTGTACGTTTCGCTGAGGAGCAGGTAAGGGCCTGCTTGACAAATTTGTTCATATCCCAAAGAAGAAGAGCAGACACAAACTATTGGTGCTCCTCTGAAGAAACAATGTGTTTGCCGTATTGGCATTCACTAACCAACATGTATTTGGACGCTCGCATAGGAAGCAGGGGTCGGTTACAGAGACGGCACATCTAAGACTATGAAATCTGAATTTGGCAGAGCCTTATTATTGGTGGACGCTTAAATGCTGAAAGCCATATGTGATCGTCAGATGCTATTGTTATCAGCGTACCAGAGTGATAAAAGGAACAGAGCAACAAAGATAGAGGGAGAGGGAGAGCCCTCTGTTATGAGTACCGTTTGCTGGATACCGGAGGCACTCGATGTTTGGGAACTCAATCTTCTTTTCTTGTGCTCATTGACACTGAGGAACATGCATGTGATAGAGAAAAGTCCCAATTTGCAAAATCTTGAGGAGATCCTCTGGGTTCTATTTCTTCGAAATCTAACAATTATCGGTACTTCTTGTTTTCTACCCTTGAAATCGGCTTTGATTCAGGTCAGGATAGTTAGATGACAGAACTAGGTCCTGCAGTTTCTACACGTGCGATTACCATGCAGACTTGTTTGTAAGAATGTTAACTTAAAACAAAAACCTCACTTTCAAACAAAAACTAGGTGACCACGTGATAGAGCGAAAAGGAAGGGAAGCCTACAAACTAGTTTTCATGATCTTGGCATCGGAAGGTGTTAAATGGAAGGACAATTCTTTTGTTGAGAGTCATGCCCTTCCAAACTTCCCAGATACGTTCCATAGTGATTGCTCTGGTGGACTTCACAAGTATGGGGAAGTCGTTAGGCTAATGGCCTGTTGCTGGTGTCCGTGGAACCAACCGTGATCTAACTAAGACGCTAACATCAACTGCTGGTGAACTGCTAACATGAACTAAGAAGGGACCACCAAACCGGCCGGTTTGGTGGTCCCTTCTTAGTTCTGATGGCCTCCCGTTTTAATACGGATCCATAATCTGTCGTACCTCCACACAGCCTTTACATGACATTCATTCCATCTTGGCCTAGTTTGATCAATCATGCGAAGAAAGTGGTAGACATTGTGCTGCCAGGTTGTCGACGTGTCAAGATCTCTCCCCTTTACAGTCAACAACATGAATGTCAGTATATCGACCATTCTCGCATCAGTCACATGTTTGAGGCTTCTTTGAAGCTGTATGAACCATCTAAATATCATAGGTCACAATCTGTTGTATGATAATTACCTGCTGCACTCCAGATGATGCTCTAAACTATCAAACATTCAATCAAACCAATAGAACACATTACCTTACCAACTCACAACTTTCATACATGGTATCGGTTTGATGTCTGAATATTGATGGTGTGCAATTGTGGTGCAGGATGTATGTGTGAGGAGTAGCACACAAATAGTTACAATAGATTTAAACAAATAGAGCCTCTAAATTAACATAACATTATTTGGATCCAAGAGTGATGCGGCACACCGAACCGGTGTGGCTACTAATTTACATAGCTGGTTCAATTAACTAAACACCTACGTTACAAAGTACCTCCAATACTCACATACAAGGGGCAGTGACACCCATCTAGCGTCCCTTTCTTAGGCTTATAGCAAATGATCAATGCCGTGGACGGATTTTCAACGACAGTCTGACTTTGAGTCAAAATACCGCACAAAACTGAATGATCGTTGTGACCCCACAGTATTAAAAGTATGAGGAAATGGTCAGAAATCTAGGGTCCATGTTCGTATATTGCCAAATGTGCAATTTTTAGTTTATAAATGAAGCCTATTATTTGATTCGAACTATTAGTGTGATACTCCTGATACGGGACATATTGCACCATTGCACACCATCAAAATACAGCCCATGTATGAAAGTTGTGAGTTGGTAAGGCTTTCCACTGGACTGATTGAATGTCAGATAGTTTACATCAACGTCTGGGAGTGTAGGAGGTAAATATTATAGATTGGATTGTGATAGATCAGAATGTCAGTGGTTTTGATTCGGAAATCTCCGCTATGCTACGTGAGAGCGACAGTCAGAAGAGATCGTCTAGTCGAGTCTGATTGGATCTGGAGGAAGTGTTTTTCAAAATGATTAGGCTTAAAGGGCACGTAGGAGGTAAATCGAGATTGAAGAAGCTTTGAGATTTGGTTTTTAAGCTTAGATGCGTCACTTTAAATGAGTATCTATAGTAGGCTACAAACATTAGGTACAGTAATCATGTGCTTTTTGAAGGGGTCAATTTTTTCTCTATCGTCGGCACTTGCAACATACAGCTACAGATACAGGCACAGATCGCTAAAAATTGCAAAATAGCACAAAGTGCTTGTTCACCAAGACTCAGTGAGACTTAGACTTGTCTATCATAAAGGGAAACTGACACATTTCACAAAGTCGATAATATCTGATACTTGGATAAAAGAAGTCAAGCATCTAATATAAGTATTATGACTCTCATAGTATTGCACCGAGAAGCGCATGAAGGACTAGTTTAGATTCAATGCCTATGATCCATTTTCTTTGGTCGAATTTCAATCTTGTTGTCATATGTCCAACTTCACTCATTATTTGCTTGTCATGGCGACTGATTGTTTCCAATAAGAAAAGGGCATGAGGCTCTCAAAAAGGCGTCCAACACTTTGTGGGTCTGAAAGAAAAGAATACAAATATAACGGATGATTAAAGTCCCACATCCAGATCAACGGTCTTGTTTCATGAGGCCTCGAGTCCAAGGATATTCAATTGAGTTTATCGTACATCCAACCTCATTTGTAATTTCGTAGAACCAAATAATTGTTCGCTATTGTAATCGATGTTACTGCGTAGTCAGCCAAGCTTGAACGATCCTGGTGATCCATAAGTTAGATTCTTACGAGGCTTATGCATACAAGAAGGTAATTGTATGAACTCGTATATCATGTATGAATTTCCAAATCTTGCCCTTATCTAAGTCTTCTTTTGGAAGAGGTTGGAGTACAGCACTGTAAATCTTTTCAGATATAACGCACAAATACCTTGTTGCGTATTCTGTCACAAACTCAAGAACATCAAGAGAAGGTCTGGCTGCTTTGAGAGTTAGTGGCCTACAGGAACCTCAAGTCACATCAAAGGGAAGAATGCAAAAAACAGTACTCAAGTTAATAGTTAATTATTTCATATATACCATAGATATAGAGACCTTAAGATGAGTGAGAGATCTTATCTCCTCTACTCGTAAAAAGATATAAGCTACTCCCTCGAAGCTCTCTATTATGATTCTCAATATATAAAGGTTAGACATTCTTCGAGCTCAATAACTGATTGAAGACATCGTTGTAGGATGAATCCGAGACAATATAATCTAATGAAACACACTAAACTTAGTTAAAAATAATTTCTTCTTTTATGTGCACGTAAAAGAAGAATGACAAATCATCACTGTGTATATATGTACTTACTAAAATCTGTATCCAGACTCAGTCCGCATGTACACAAAGACTGCAAGACTAAACCAATGGAAAATCTATCTGCTGTGTTAACTATCGACATATGCTGGACGGACATTGACAGTTTAGCTCTATCTTCATCAGATCACCTGAAATGATTTCAGTATTGCGTAGTAAACAATTAGCTTGGATCGGACTCGTCAGGCTATTGCCACCACGTACCGCAAACTCCCGCTCCTGGCTCAGAGAGTATAACGCCTTAGCCAGTTGAGCTAGATCTTAGTTACTTCTTTGTGACCGCACATTCCCTTTCGTCGATCAGATTGAGAAATCGCCTCAGCCAGTTGAGGTGAATTTTGGCTTCTTCTTTTTGACTGCTGAAGAAAGTCTTTGCGGGCCGTCGTGTGGATGGTTGAGGAAGCACTTACAGTTCGGACAAAGAAACTCCTTTATCGCTTTGACGTTCACGCCCGTAAGGCCCACGCATTCCGGATGAAAATTATTCAAACATCGATCACATGAAATGGTTTGCCTGTCAGGATTGCAAGGTAGCATGCAGAGGCAGTGAATGTGGAGTCGTTGTTGGGAGATGGGCTTGATATTCGCTGACTCCACGTCATAGAAGTATCTAGCAAAGTACGTGTCATTCTCTGAGCCCACATTCGTCGACTTCTTATACTTGTGTAGCGTTAAGACTTTGCATGTTCGCTCCACGGTGTCCACGTCAAGACAATCCTCGTGATTTGAGAAAAAAAGTTCGTCTCTGCCATGATAAGGAAGTCGTCCAAATCCGCCCATTGTGGTCTCCGGACGATAAAGCCAAGTTACTAGAACTTGCACCTGGCGAGAACTTCTGTCACGAACAACCGCTTCAATCTTAGCAATATACTCGCGCTCAAGCCTATTGTCAGGGGCTCGAATGACCGCGAAATCACCTGCTGTCAGCATTACAATATTCTTGAGTTTGTGACCATCCAGAACTATTTTCCCATCGATGTTCCGAGGTCTTCGACTTTTCATTCTCTTCTTCTTCTTCGCTAGCGCTTGCGCCATCATCCAAGACATTTTCTCCTTCAACCCAAAGCTCAGAGTCGCAATTGAAAGCAAATCGTACTCAATCCTTTGAGTTGATTCTGCAAACTGATTGTATATATAGCATATGAATAGCTTCCACTTTCGAGAAGCTTCTTCTTCGTGCATTTGTTGTCCGGATCGACGTTATCTAGGGTTGAGAAAATGCGGAAAATGAGCAGGCTATTTTGCCTGCTTCAGCTTTGTATCTTGGTGGTATTTTGCACCTCTAAGTAGCAATAAATGTTCGATCCTTAAACTCTATTTTCATCATACCACTCTTGGCATTCATAATGTTTGAACTTACTGCTATCTTCGAACCTTTCACCATTTAATTCCGGGATTAATATGTACGGCATACACAGTTGAGCTTCAAAAAAATGCTTGGGATAGAAATGGAAATTATTATCAGTTTAGCTGCCGTAAAATATCTCACTTGAAGGTATATGGAAACTGAAACTTAGTTACATAAGAGGTAAATAATGAAGTACAAATAAGCCTTTCGAAACTCTATATGCTCCAAGCGTAGTTATAATAGACATCACAAATACAGTTTTGTCAGAAGTCCAATCTACAATAGGCAATGTATAAAATCAAGAACAAATGATTATGAATGTATTCACCACATGATGGACTTATATATTATACTTCTTGTAAGCACATACGGAAGATGCTGAAGCAGTTCAAGACTATTCAAGTCAGGATTCCCAACGCTAATCTACTTTTGTTTTTACTAAGACCAATATGTGAGAGAATCCTTCACATAATCTTCCTCCCAAGGACGTCAAGCTAAATAAATACCAGCCTTTCCCGAGTAGTGACGGTTCAGAGCTTAATAAAGAACAACAAGCTCGGTGGATTATGAAATTGTCTGCCCGACTGTCAAACTCATCGGTCTGTTGTCATCCGCGAAACAGCTTTTCCAATCTCACCTGTTTTTCAGGAGATGAGAGGTCTATTTTTCTCGCTGAGGTTTGTTCACATGTACTGGTGCTGGACAAGTACGAAATCAGTTACATGTCTAGACTGGTGCATCTGCCCTTACGACGGGAATTATTTTCTCAAATCTAAGTGCAGGTTTAAAAAAAAAACCTCAGTCATTTTGAAAGGTTGTAACATATCAATCTGAAAAAACTTATCCATGGAAATAGTTTAGTTTTCAACCAGCAATTGAAGCGTCTTGGTTTCACCTCACTAACTGCATTGCCTCAAGCGCAAAGATGATGTAATATCTTCATCTTTTATATATTAGAAAACTAAATGTATGCACTTTAAATGGATCTAAATATAGAAAATAGAGTTCTTCTTTGAATAACATTGTGTTTATATCAAGTCCAACTTCGATCAAATCCATCAAATATTCATCTTAGTGGTAATTAATATTATAGATGTAACACACCTATATTATGTGTTACACCTGCATCAAATCATGGTTGATTTGCACGATAAGGATGTATAACATGCTTGCCATACAAATCAACAACCATTTCTGATCTAAATTACATCTATAATCTATTGTACAATGATAAATTTTGCACTCTTGACTTTTACATCAAATTTATTAGAAATGTTTGAAATGTCAAACTTATGAAATATTTTCTCAAATTTCATCATAATCAGATAATTTTCCTCAATTTATAAACTTACTGTAACAAGATGATCATTAAAATATCATGAAAGAAATATTTTTTTAAGTTGCTGAATCTGAGGATAAACCGTAAGTATTAAGATATTGATAAAGTTTTAGAGATTTATACTTTCGATCAACTCAGATTTACAAACCAGGTTGATAGACAAGTACATTATTGAACAAGAAAATTTACTCAAACTAATTGAGCAATTTGAGTAATATTCGGTTTCTTACAAGTTACTTGTAAATTGTATCATGGATATTAACTATTATTATTATAATTTTAATCACATTTAGCTTCATAATTTTTTATAATTTTCTTGTTTTGATATGGAGAAATAAAATTGATCATAATGTATATAATGATGTAAAAAAAAAAACTCTAATATTAATGGAGTAGATTCTTAAATATCAGAAATTAGAGTAATGAGTCATTGTCATTTAGTTTGTACACATTGCATCAAACTGTAGTGATCAATCAGATTTGTATATTAGAAGATCATCAACTGATATATGTAGAGCTCTTGCAAGTCATAAAATATGAACCAATTGAATTTTTTTTGAAGTCCACGATATTGAAACTATAGTCATGTCAATACGTCAATCACGAATGAAAAAATAACTTGTTTTGTGAAAACGTTTTAGGTTTGTCTACAAACTTGAGTAAAATAGTGCTATTAAGCATCAGGTAAAATTGTTGATAAACATCACGTGAAAATTAATGAATGTTTCAAAAGTTCAATCTTTGATTAACATAATATGTATGTTTAAGCCAAAAATAAATAAATAAACAGATGACAATGTAATATTATGTGAGGTTAATGCGTCTTGTTAATCTTAGCTAGTCTAACCATAATTAGGCTTGGACTTTAGTTAGGATTAAGGTTTGTTTGGGCTGGTTACAGTTTGGAAATGTTTGGGACTAGTTAGGCTTCGGGTTTAGGATCTGACCATAGTTAGACTTGGCGTCCTGTCGTGAGGTCAGCGTCTATGTGGCCTAATCCGCCACGTCAACGCAACACATGACGACGCCTCATGCGTTTTTGGTTTGAGTTTAGGAGTTTAGTGGCGCTTAGACGTGGCGACTGTTTGATGCGACTTGTAACCTGAGAAAACTTCTTACAAACTGTTGAAACTCCAAACCCAAGAACCAACAAAAGTCTAGTTATCAAGCACTCAGCTCTGAATGGAATGGAACAGCAAATTGTTTCCTTGGCCGTACTCTGCACTAGTCCTTTTGATCTTCTCAAAAAAACTTGTAAGTGACTTTTTTTTGAATTTTTTTTCTGAAAGTTTAGTAAGAAACTGGAGACACAAATTGAAAGCAGTTCAGTAAAAGTAAATTTGTAACTGCCAAAAAGATTAAAGAGTCGGCTAGATCAACGAACTTTAAAAAATTGTCACCTAAACCTCTGTAAGTCACAAACACCAAACCGAAACTTCGCTCTAATACCAATTTGTTAGCTCTTAATTGAGAACCGCAAACATTAAAACAAAAACATCAATGTAACGTGGTTCACCAATATGGGTTACGTCTACGAGGAAAGCTCACACGTGAGCGATTGCAAAGAAAGTATCACTTTAAAATACACAAACCTGAATATACATACCCAACACTAGCAATCAATCTAGCTTTAAATAGCTAGAACCTTAGATTACTCCTTAAGTGGAGTTAGCCTCAACTACCCGTTGAATGTTGACTACAAAAAATTAATTTTTTTTTGCCAACTCATTGAAGATTAAACCGATTAAGCAATCTCAAAAGCAACTCAAGTTGCTTTTGAGTGCATCAAGGGAGAGTAAGACTATACCACATGATCTCAGCTTATGTTTGGGAGGAGAAGTTATCGATACGGTGAATAAGTTTTGAGATTCATATTTGAGGAGGAACAATTTGATGGATGGAATGACTTATTATTATTGTGGGAGCGACAAGTAATTGATGTACTTGGTGCCTGGACTTGAGCAAGATGCTTAAGCCACAATCCGACAATTTAAATAATGATGATTGGAATGACATTTAGTACTAGACAATGAGTATTGTGGTATTGTATCTCAAACCCAATATCTTCAAGCAAATGGAGTAGGTGTCAATGATAATAGACTTTTTTGCGGTATTGCGTGACAAATACCATAAGAAAAAACTCTCAAGCAAGTTGTACACGTCTTTAAAACTCACCAACTTTACAATGGCAGAAGATATCAAGATCTAAAACCATGTAGATGCCTTCAATAATTGATTGTGAATCTTAGATTTTAAAATTTTTTTTTTTAATGATGAGCAAAAAATGATTCAATTGTTATGTTTTTTGCCAGCCTCTAACTTGTTCTTGTCACGTATGTTGCTTCACCGTGACAAGAAATACTTAATTTACAATATAATTGTTACTGCTTTATTTACTTACAACATGCAATTGAAGCGATTGATAATCGTGCTTTGAACCCGATGTTGCACATGTGTACTATTTTATAGAAGTAACCAAATTATTAATGATGATAGTCAAGATATAGCTAAGTCTAGCTAGTTATGATTAAACGAGTTAGTTATAACCAAATTTATCTAGTCATGATTAAGTTTAGTTATAATGTCTATAGTTGACGGAGTAATTAGTGTAGTTCTAGAAGAGTGGAGTGAACACTTCTATTTTATCTTTTACAAAGGTCTAGATTCCAAGGGATTGGACTTTTGACTATAAGCTTAGCTTTGATTGGTTTGACTAAATGTATGAAAGATGATCGGTTAGACTAAGTCTGATGTTGATTTAGTGACTAAGAAGCTTCTAGAAGTTTTAAAGCTTGCAATGACATGTTACCACCTCAACCTCGGATTCTAGAAACTTCTAGAAGGTTTAGGTAGGTCAATGACATCTTGCCATGTATAGTGGGTTAGTCAAACTTACTTAGGGAAAAGTGAGTTAGGAGAAATTACCACACGTTATTATGGTAATTTTTTAAATAATGTAAATAGAGAGATAGAGTAGCACCTCTCAATCAAGCAAATTTGAAGAGTTCATGTGTAGAGACTTCTTTCATATATGAAAGAGTGACGATTTTGAACATCTTGGAGTGTTGATATGTGTGTGAGTTGGAGTGATACATTGAGCGATTGTGTGAGTGGGTGTTTGGGCTATAAGTATCAGGAGGAATCCAAGTCTTCTAGAACCATAATGAGCTACCACAAAGCCATCTGAGATAAACCTAAGTGAGAATTAGTCTGAAGGTTGCAATGCATACTTCTTTATACCAATCCACTATATCGTCTACTATCTTGCATGTATATTGTGGTATGACATCTATTAGAATTAAAGTCTGTGATAACAAACAAATATCAAAATGGAGAATAATGGTATAGATTCGTTCCTACATAGACAAATGCAACATCAAGAGTCACAATCTGTCACTAATTAACATTCTATTGAAGAATTCTACTTCTTAGTCACATGTTACTCCCAGAAGACACTGCTAGATTACGGCCGAAGGCCCGAAGAGCAGAGTATAATTGCACTCACAACCTAGAACTTATCCAATTGACACCTATGGAAATCGCCTTTGACCCCATACTCGGATTTCAAGGGGAAAACTCTCAGAATTGCACACTCCCGGCTCACTGATCCGAATGTCCAGATCCGAATTTGCTTAAATCCCAAATAGCTTCAGGCTTACTCAGAACATCCGAGTTGGACATACATAGCTCCAGATGCGGTATCTTCAACAAACCGGAGCGCACCATGCACGGTGACAAGACACACAAGCTCACAAACGCGCACAATGGATACCAATTAACAGCCAAGACAAGCCAATTGACTGAAAAGACCTCCAAGAAAAGAGTCTTGGGCCTCTGTATTCACTCTGAACTCCTAGACATCTCAACCGCCCGAGGGGAACTACTCTTAGGTGCGATGCCATCCGACGCAACGGTTACAATGTCCTATGAGCTTCCGTTGGCTCGTAAGCTACACAACACATTTACAATAGCTGATCATAGGTGTCTAGCATATAAACTCATGGTATTTGTATAAAGAAAATTTTGAAATTAAAATATATACTAATCATAATATATTCTCATGGATGAAGATACTACAGAGTTGAATCAAATCTTTGTGTAATGACATTCTTGCATTGTTGTGATTGTGTGAAATCTAAATTTGTCAATAAAAATATGTGAATATGAAAATTTTGACATCAAAATTTCAATATTTATTTTTGAATTATGTATTAAGACATATAAATGAAACATACTGATTAATCTAGGGTTTGAGAATTTAAAAATAGATAAAATATAAATTAAAAGCAGGCAAAATTTAATCGGCTAAAATTATTATGTTATGATATATGAAAATTTTTCTTTCTTAATATTTGAAAATAAAAAATATTGAACAAAATTATATTTCAAAAAATCCTTAAAATATATGTATATTCAAATTTACAGAAATGCATCGGCAATCTGAAAATTTTTACCTTGATGTATATGAAATAAACATGTTTCTATTTTTAATTTATTAAAATTCAAGACTATGTCTGAAGAAAACAAAGAAAAAGTTAAGTAATATAATACTTCATGTTTATCTATTTGCACTTTAACTATGATAAATTGTAAAAGTAAATTTTTGACAAAAAAATTAACTAAAATTTTGAAATTTTTGTAAATTATAAATAGATTTAGTACATATGTACTAGTCTAAGAAGTTGGAAACAAGCTCATGGTTCTTTTTTTATATGACATAGATTTAGCATGTTGCATCAAGTTAAGAACAAATTATCAACAAATTCAAATTTGAAATCTACTTATGTCAACATCAGCTTTTTGCACAATTAGAACAACTTAATCATTTTCAATTAGTGTAGAGTCACGTGCACCATAATTCAACAAGATTTATTGAACACCTTGACAAAAATTGAGACTTATTCACGGTACTCGAGCATGCAAAGCAAACAGTTAAACTTTTGATTTGGCAATTTGAACTTGAATTTTGGTGCATCCATCAAAATCAAAAAAATCAAAAGCTTGTCTATGAGAAAAACCAACTCCCATAATAGCTTACAGAAATTTTTGAGGTGATTAAAAAGTATATGCTGAGCTACAAAGCGAGGGAAGAAATTACGGATCAAGTTGACATCTAAAAAATAAGAATCCTGAACAGAAGTCAAGCACAATTCTTTCTGCTAGATCTATTTCATCATTTTCAAGATCTCTGGACATTCTATGGTATTACACCAGTGTGAGCACAAAACTGTGCTCGCATGTCTTTTTACCCTTATGAGAGTTAAAATTTTGGATTTAAGCTCTTGCAAAATTATGCTTGGGGTTTTCTGAAAGTTTTTGCAAGATTAGAAGTTGGTGTGATGGTCACGGGGCAAGAGGTGCGGAAGGAGGCCTTCGGGGCAAGGTCTTCGGCGAAGTGCCTTCGGTGAAGTCCCTTCGGGAAAAGGCCTTCGGCGAAGAAGTGAAACTCTCATAACGTTTTCAATGTGTGACTCCTTGACCCATTTGGGGTCTTGTTGGAAAGAGCTCGCGACGGTCTTTTCAACAAGACCAAGAACTCTTGAAACGGATAAGGCATCACCGAGTTAGGAGCGGCGGAAATTTTTGATATAGAGGGCCTGCGCATAGGCAAACGCCTTCGGCGGAAGGGTAAAACCGTGATAACGTTTTCAATTCTTAACGGTTTGCGTTGGTTAGGGTCTCGTTGGAAAGGGCTTGACACGTTCCTTCTAACGAAACCAAGAACGCCTAGAACGTATAAGAATTTAGAGAGAAATGACTATCGGAAGAAACGTAGACGTTCGCCTTCGGCGGAAGGAGTTCGACTCCGGCGGGAAATCCGCCTTCGGCCCTAGATGTTCGCCTTCGGGGGAAGGGCCTTGGGCGGTTGCAGGCCTTCGGCGAAGCAGTAAAACCGGTATATCTTTTTCAATTATTAACGGTTTGACTTGATTCGGGTCTCATTGGAAAGAACTCGACGCGCTGGTTTCAACGAGACCAAGATCTCTTGAAACGGATCAGTCATCACTGAGTTATAAGCGTTGAAAGTGGCTGTCATGGTTAGGCGAGAGGCCTTCGGCATTAACATATAGAGGGGCCTTCGGCCTAAGGCGGCCTGCGCATAGGCGGGTTGCGCGTAGGCGGCCTTCGTGTAGGACGCCTGCGCATAGGCGGGTTGCGTGTAGGACGACTGTGCATAGACAAACGTCTTTGGCGAAAGAGTAAAACCGTCATAACTTTGTCAATTCTTATCGATTTGACTTAATTAGGGGCTCGTTGAAAAGAGCACAACGCGCTTGTTCCAACAAGCCTAAGAACATTTCAAACGAAGCAGGGATCCGTGAGTTATGGGCGTCGGGGTGACTGTTATAGATAGTCAAAAGGTGCGGAAGAGTGTCTTCGGCGGGGGGATGACTTCGGTGGTGCACGGAAGAAGATTTCAGACGGCGGATGTTGACGTGGTCATAAATAAAGACTGTACAGATGTGGCAGTGGCGGCGGCGTGAAGTCAGGCGTGAAAATAGGACGGCGGGGCATGAAGTCGCACATGGGAATCAGGCCGTTGCCCATCATCGCGGGAACGGCATTCACGAGGGCTGTGGTTGACTCGGCCCTTGGAGAGGATTATTCGGCCTGCGAGCTGGGATTGTGTTGTGTGCCATTGTGTGGAGACGCTGGTGGGATCGGTAGGAGGAATAAAGTGTGGACGTGAGTGATTTTTCGCAGGGAAGTGGTGAGAATTAGGAGGGGAGTGTGGAGTGTTCGAAGTAGGAGGAAGCAACCTCTCGTGGGTGGAGAGTCGTATCTGAGAGTGAAAATTAGAGTGGGAGCTGAGATTGAAGAGTAATCTGTGAGTGGGAGCTGAGATTGAAGTGTAATCTGTGAGTGGGATCTGAGATTGAAGTGTAATCTGTGAGTGGGAGCTGAGATTGAAGTGTAAAATCCGTGAGTGGTATCTGAAATTGAAGTGTAATCTGTGGGTGAGATCTGAGATTGAGGTGCGAAAATCTGTGAGTGGGAACTGAAATCCGAGTGGAAGATCTATGAGTGGGAGCTGAGAGTGAAGTGAAATCTGAGACTGAAATCTGACAGTCGGGATCTGAATTTGAAACTGAAAAGGGAGAGTGGAATCTGAGAGAGGAATCTGGTGGGGTATGAAGGTGGAAACTGAGAAATCGACATTGAAATCTGAATAGGAATTGGGAGTGGAACTCAAAGCTAGGATAGACCACAGCGGCTGTGGTATTGAGAAAGTCACCCAGAGTTGGGTTAGATCTTTATGTAACAAAGAGCTTGTCTGCTGCTCTTGTGGAAATAGCAGACAGCAAGTTATTATTTTCAATTCTGGATAATTTGTCTGTGAAAGAGCAAGTGTTTATGATCTCATTGCCTTGAACACACTTTGACCACATGGTTGAGATCAGAGAAGTTAGATTATGGGAGCTCGAACCCCCACCTGGACTACAAACGCTGAAGGGTGGGGAGTTTAGGCTCAAAACCAGAAAATGTAAAACAATAACCCTAAGGTTGACCATGATGATGAGCGCTCTTCAGTGGAAAATGACCCAAAATTGCAATATTCCACAACGTGCATGCCTTATTTTCACGCCGTAACTTTACGTTGTGCACGAGAAAATTGATGGGAATTGTGTAAAATAGTACATTGTGCAGTTATTTTCATAACAGTTTCTTTTTCTTGTACATGCAGATATTAATACTCAAATTTGCGAATTCTTAAATACTAATATATCTAAAATTTAAACTATGTGACACCGAAAACCTAAGAATGAAAAATTTGTGATGAAACTCTTAATCAAACAAGATTGATCCGAGATTTTAATAAGATGCTACAAAAGGATATTATGACAATTTATTGCTGACGTTAGATATGTAGCTAGTTCGTTTCCTAAGGAGATGAACAAATAGAAAAAACCCCCAAAAATTGATGTGTGTCTAAAATGAGAATTCAACTCTCTTTACACCCTATATGACAGGTTAGCCTCGTCCAATGTGTGAAATCTCCGTAAAACAAGTTGCGTTCGTAAAACAACGCTTTGCTAGATTCTATTAATATCCGAAGGGGGACATGTTTTCAGAATGAATGTTTAAGTCTTTGACTAAAAGAGATCACAAAGACAATGAAGAGTATATAAAGGGATGTGCCGAAAAGACACACCAATTCACGATTTACGCAGTACTGAAGTTCAGCAATAATACTGCATATTTTTGTCAAATATCTACATTCTAAGTCATCTACATCACCTACTCTTCACTAATGTGTATTTCTTTAATAAGTGTGGAATCAGTGATGAATGAATGAATGAAATCAATCAATGAATGTGTACACCAATTTTTATGAAAAAATAATTGAGAACGTGCCCAACTGAAATTCGGGGAATAGTTAAAAATGTGGTCTACAATCAATTAAATGTTTTATTGATTAAAGTCCAGTCCTCAGTCGTCATTTAATTGACTGTTCGGCTGGTTAGAACCCATCCTAGCTTTAAAGTATGGCAAAATTTTAATCGTGTCACCCGCAGGACAAAACTTCCGTGAGCAAACTAAAAATCTCTTAAGGGATCCCCTTACTTGTAGTTGTCACATATATTCATAGCTATGGCTTTAGCAGGGTTTGTGGGGATAACGCCAGCTTTAACAGCTCGCTGATAACCCCACCTGAAGTCATTCTGACCGTCCAACTGGTCGATTTTCCAAGTCCAGAACACCCAGCCCTTCTGCATCTCGTAGTCATGGAGCTGAGCAGCAAACCAGCCCTTGTACCATTCTACAGCGTCTGATCTGGTGAGGTTGAATTCGGAATTGGTTCCATCTCTCACCCCCAGACTCCACTCTCCGACCAGCAGAGGCTTGTCGTTGCTGTTGCTGCCGGCACCGACATTGTTGTAACAGGAATGATACATGTAATCGCGACGAGTGGCAGGCACGCCAGTATCCCAAACCAAGTACTTGTGGTCGTCGTAGAGAGCCAAGTATGGGCTGTGGCCACCCCAGCTCAGATCTGGATCACCTTCTCCCCAGCTGGTGGCCATCATCTGAATATGGAGTCTCTTCTCTTGTGCGATGTTCAGATCGTCTTCCACTTGCCGGATGCGGTTGTATGCGTTCGGGTAAAACTCGTTCCGCAGACTGGCCCTCTGCTCGTCAGTCACGGATCTGGGCTCGTTCATGACCTCCAGAGTTCCCACGGTGGCGAAATTTGGGTTCGTGTGCTTGATTTTCGCTATCCATTCCAGAAACTGACAGGCCCTTTCATAATTGGCTGAGGTAAAAAATCCGGGCGTGGATACAGAGTGTCCTGTGAACTGCTGGTTTGCAAATTGACCGCCAGGGCCGGCATGGAGGTCGAGGATAACGTAGAGTCCGGCCTTCTTGGCCATTCTGACCACACTCTCAAGGTACTTGAATCCTCCTCTGGGGAAATACTCGTCGGATTGCACGAGGTCTTCTTTCATCCAGAATCCGAGAGGGATTCGGATCGTGTTGAGGCCGTAACTCACAATCTCGTCGATGTCCGCCTTAGTGATCCATGAGCTCCAGTGTCTCTTGAAAGCGGCGTCTGCAGCCTTCTGGCCCAGAGATTTTACGCACTGCCATTCGTCATTGAGGCCTGCACATCCCATAGATGCCCACCGATCGTTCATCATCCATGGCTCGACGACGAAAAGACCGCCCAGGTTCACACCTCGTATTATTGGATGCTTTGTAGGCAGCCAGGCCCTCGCTGCAGAGGAAGCAGATAGCACTATTGCAAGGCACAGAAGAGCTGCAATTCCCATGTTTGAAGCTTCAGATCGAACTTCAAATTCTCCCGTATTCTATTTTGCAAGCATCATTTATACTTTCAGTCCCTCTCTATTCCAGGATTTTTTTGACAGACCAGTGGACTCAGAAGTCCTTTCAGAGGAGTCCAAACTGTAGGCTTTGGACTAGCTAGCTGGATCTCTGGAAGGCTCGTCAACGTACCCTACTATTTATCATGTCCAAACGAATGGTCTTGGTATGTTCATAGGAGCTCAGTACAGTTGCAGTTTGTCAAACAGGGCGGCTATCATCAAGCATAAATACACGTTGAAACATCATCTTTGTCATCTCACCGTCTGATTTGATGGGGGTCAAAGAATATCAGCACGCAAAAACAGTGACAGTCAAATCACGGGTATTACCTTCCCCAATCAGCTAGCAGCACGACCTGTCGAAATGAGTCCGTCGTAAGACAGGGTAGATAAAGTCACTCCTGCCTATAATAAAACTTCTCCTTTTGCTGTGGGGGATTCACGATACCAAGTTTAAGTCAGCAATAATTTATACAGTAAGTCCCTGAACACCTGTTTCATTCCAAAGAGCAGGATTCTATGCGTTGGCCATTTCTCATAAGGCGCTGAATGGACCGACAAAGGAGGATTCAGTACACGTACAGTTGTATTAGAAATTTTTTACCTTTCAAGTGACGAAGACTTCAAATGTCACATCATGGTCTGACTTCGTCAAGATTTGACATATGCGGATTGGAGCTCGAGTTTTGTTGACTACTGCCGAGTAAATAATCTTTGGTCTACGACCTGACTCCTCTCTTATCCAGTCTAGGAGTTTTAAAGCATGACCCTTTTTCGCAGTCAAAATTCTCCATTTGAATGAACTCAGAAGATGCAGACTAGTCCTGTTACAAACTATCCATTATAAAGTGGCATTTTGGCCAAGTTGTGTTGGAGATGTCCAACCTGTCATTTGACCCAGTCTTAAACCTTTTAAGTGTCGAGCGAACAGAACTACTTTTCTTTCTACTTCTAACCGAAAGATCGACAGGACAATTATGAAATACAGTGATGCGAAAAGGCCACCGTGATATACGAGCAACATTTTGAGCTACATTTTGAGCTACATACGTGCTTCTAACGTAGCTCGGCTAGACACTGCACCAGGTTTGTTAACCCGTTATAGTCCAAACAATCGTCTAGTAATGATTGACAGCTGATCCAGAAGCAATAAAAACCACCAGCCCTTCAAACAGTGTATGTCAAAATGTGAAGGACTGAAACCACGTAATAAACCATGCCAACGTGCAAACCGGTGACAAACTTGTTTCTTCATTCACTTGCAGTATCTGCCATCATTCGGAATGTTTTATATAAGGGATCATGTAGGAGATTATTATTCAACGTCTGCTTATGTTCTCTCCTTCGTTCTCGGTATTGGCCTTTTCAACACAGTAGAACTTCGTTCAGCTTCACTTCAATAATGTCCACAAGCTTGCAATTATTTCAGACATTTCCACATTAGAGAATCATTACGCATAACCGTCTTCCTCACAACTTCCAAGTTAAGAAGACTCAGAGAGCTACCGGCATAGTCAGCAATGATGTATACAGATGCTTACTCGCTTTATCGAGAGACTTCTCTTAGCTGATCGTCGGACCACCGTGTGTCTTTCGCACCTGAATGAATCGGCTGTTTATAAGGAGACTGCCTCTGTCTCGAGCGGACTGTGCAGCAGCACATTTAAAGCATAACAATCAAATTGAAGTTATTTGATTCTCACATCATTCTGACTCTCGCGAGTGATTGGACAGGACTATCCATATGGAGACGTACTCTGTCTCGAAAGCGAGAACTCACTGCAGCACTGACATCAGCAGATATCAAGTCTAAGATTAGCTTTCGAGAATTTTTGATGTTCCTTTCTTTTCCTTGTGAGCCTCATTGTGAACTCAGTGATCCCAGCAGAATTAGTGAGATTCAGAATTATGTGAGAATCATCAACTAATGATGAATAAAGATTTCCCTCCTAACCGACATGAATGTTAAGTGACTATGCCTTTAACGCTTCGTCTCCATTGAGAGAGGATTGTATATGCATAATTTTTTCTTTAGTTGAAGGGATCAGTGTGAGTATAAAAATTGTATTTATCAATTTTTTTAGGATAAGAAGTGCTTATGTTGTGCTGATTCTCCGCAGAATACTCAAATCATGGAGCTGCGGGCTTTAGCGAACCTCCGTGTCTTCACAAAAGCTTCCCGAATAATATATTATAATATCTTCACTCGCGGAGACCGGCATAAACTAATTTGGCAGCTGCCATCATGAGATGAATCCTTGACTTCGAAAGAAAGTGCAGATCGGATTTGCATTGGTGTAAAATATTGAACAAATAAAATACTATCAGGTCGACTCCGAGAAAGTGGGCCCCTCTTTGCATGATTTGAAATGGTCAAAACTTCGATAGCCTTGAATCAATTCACTGCTTTCGGTAAAAAGTGAACAAATAGCTGTAACAAGAGAGACCCTTGCGAGTTGGCCTTGTACAGTCTGCACTTATTCAAGGTCGCTCGCCTGCATCTCAGGTCTAGTGAGCATCTAATGCACACCTCACATGGAATAAAACTTGCTCCAATTGAGATCTGATTTGAAACAGCTATGTGAAAATCCTCCTCGGACATTTAGGAAAATTGTTTCCGGATACATCTAGTAATTGATGACAGCCTGTACACCGAAAATCCTGAAAACCAACAGAGAAAGGAACAAATTTGCAATTGGTGCCAGTCTCCAGCTTGCACATCTACTTTGCATATAAAAGAACAGAGAAGAGAGATGATATAGTCCAATTTATCGTACATCATTGCCAATTTGTTTCTTCCTCCGTAACGTTTCGTTTGAGCTCTTTCGTTAGGTTCCTCTTGCGTTTGAGCGTAGAAATTCCCTCGGATGATCGCATTTTTTATATAACAGGCTAAAATGACCATCTTCCTCTTATTTTTGTCTTTTCAGTGGCGAATAAGTCATTCACATCTGTGACGATTGCTTGTGGTAGTACTGGCCCTATTGAGTGGAATCTTGAGGAATGAATCGAGTTTCTGTGTTTCGTCTTATGCCTCGGAAAGTTCCGCCCAGGAGTTCCACATGGACACCTGCAATCTTAGCATATATCTCTGAGTAACGCAAATTCCAGTTGGTTACCATTTTGACTATATCGCTCCGTTGAGTGACGAATCATCTTGAATTCTGTCCAACAAATTGTTCATTGGACTGATAACAGCATCTCTAGCATTAGGGGAGCATCTGCTAGTTGGTCTATGGATCATACTTTTTTTTTCCAACACATACCTTTTGGGTAAAACCCCTGCTGCTGGAGTTCGAAGATCTTCGCACAGTTGAGACCTCATGAATGAAAGTTTGTTCAGTCCGTAATTCTGAGCATTGAGGTGCCATTTAAGGCAAAGTCAAAGTTATATTCTGATTTGCGTTAGAAATCCACTTCCAATCTCCACCGATATGCAGGAACAGATACAATTTCATTTGTATCTAACCAGTTCGAGGTTCATGTATCGAGCTATGATGTTTAGATCGATATACAAAACAATATGGGGCTGTTGGAGGAGACAGAGTTTCAGTCTGAGACAACATTCCACGGCAGGATCAGCAGTCCTGTCCATATTGTAAAGCAGAAAGCCTTGGAACTTCAAAGCTGTAAGAGAACTCAATTCTAAGGCGTTATCGGCCTCCGAGCATTCGGCAATTTTGTCTTGGATCATTCCAGTGAGTATGAACGAATGCAAAATGCAAAATGCAAAATGCAAAATCGATAGAGCAAACCATTCTAGATAGCTACGCTGTAGGCAGCCTAAAACAAACCTCTTAAATCTTAATAACTGGAGGTTTCAAAATATGTCCATCTTATGAAGTATGGGCAACGACAGATGAGATATACAATGAAGAAACAGCATGCGCTGATTAGAGTTAATGATTCCAGGGGTGGTCATTCATAATCGCCTGGCGCTAGTAGATGTTACTGATTCAATCATGAAGTCCGGCGTGTTGAGTAGATTCTCGCCAATGAATATTACGACAACCTTCCATTCATTTTTAGTGGCAGTGACATTGTTTAATGTTTAATGTAATGACAGAAGTTTTAGGTACATATTTTATTTTTCAAAGTGTATTATTTTCCAGTTTTCATAGTGTGGAGATTGGTAATCGAGTTGAATATTAATCATAAAACTAGTTGAGTACGTATTGATTAGATGAAGTAAATTTCAGGCTACTTCAATCTCAAGAAATAAATACATGTATCTAGAAAGTTTAGAATGATTTAAGTTCAGTCTAATAACGTGTTAGCTCTAACACAATCCTTAAGTCTATAACATCGCTTGATAATCTAAGGTTCAAGAAATGGAATTTGATTCCATTTACTTCACGGAAACTTTTAGGAACTGTGATTTAGCTTATGCGACAAGGATCTAACAAGCATGTGATTAAGTATGTACGTTTAACCTGGTTAAATTTAAGTATTTGATTCTACCGTAGGCAGTTCATTATAATGCAATAATTAGAAAAAAAGAAAACAGATCAACATGTATTCAGTACATCAGGACGGATGCATACAGACTGCATGTATAAACAGTTGAAATTAATACGGCAGTCGGGTATCATGGCAATAATGGTAAACAATACCACATGATTTTCACAAAATTTTCAATTGCACGTATACAAGGTCATCGACATATACACAGCAAACTAACTTGCAGTCGCAAGCGGCTGAGAGTTTCAATCTCGTAACTTTGAAGCTTGATCTCCCTTGTTGCTATCTTGCAGCTACGTGGATGGCTTGAGTGACCGATGATAAACTATATAAGCTCTTCATCTCAAAATCTTCTCAACAAATGATTAAACAAGAGTGGAACAAGTCGTCAAAAACAGTGGGCACATCACTATACGTGGGGCGTACAATGGCCTTCATCGGCTTGATTTATGCCAGGTAAACGGCCTTCCATCTGGATCGCTGAAGTGATTGATGGTCAGTGGATTCTTACAGGTTAGGATCTTCAGGATAAAATCTATCTGGTTAGTATCCTCAGGATAAAAAACTCTTTTGTAAATTCGTTCTCTTTCCAGGAAATAAGCCCTTGAAATGTTAAACATTGACACCTTAACCAACGTGCGTACACTGGACACCATCGATTGCTACCTTCTAAATTAACGTACGAAATGTCTTTGAATATCAGTTTCACTAAGCACGATGTGCAATGAGAACTTCCTACCTGCTTTGCTTGCCTGGATGATTAGATCTTGACTCACTCTCGGAGAAAATTGTACATTTTCAGACTGTTAACTGTCGTCTCGTCGAGGTTGAAAGCTTCCATCAGAATGTCAGTGGGTATGCGAGGATTGGAATTGAACAGAGCAGGAGGCCAGCTCAAGCGACCTGGATTTTCGCTGTTGAATACGGCGATGACGGTGGCTGTCTTCGTCTTGCTTCGGTTGATCTGGAAGTGCATTAGTCCCTTGGGAAAGACAAACACATCACCTTTCTTCAGAGTAGCTGTGAAGAGGTTGTTCTTGGTGTCCACGACTCCTGCGTCAATTTCTCCGTCGATAATGTAGAAAACTTCGCTCGCTCGAGGATGGTGGTGCACGGAATTGAGAGCTGAGGGTCCAAATTTCAATAAGGACGTAGCTAAACCAAGCCCAGTCACTCCCGGGAACTGTGTGTCGAAGGCGAAAGTGATGACGATCTTTTTGGCCGCCGAATCTGGAAGATCTCTGAAGCCTGTGAAGTGGAGCTGGGCACCAGAGGTGACATTGATGCCAAAATCAGTAGTAATGTCAGGGTCTGCTGCTGCCACTGGCCGTCCCACCATCATGGTCACCATAAGCAGGAAGAGCAAAATGAGCTTGATCATTTCCATTGAGAGGGTTTTGAAATTTTCTCGAGGAGGAATTTGATAAAGTCCGGGACTGACTGCGTGTCTGTAAGAAGCTTCTGGTTTAGACAGAAGCACAAAACTTACAGATGACATCACAGTCAGAGGAGATCGAAGTGGAAGAGAGCTCGATGAAATTCAAAGGAAAGACCGAGCTATACATACCAAAAACTTGAGAGGTCCTTTTGGGGAAGCTAGGACTGCAGAGGCTGCAAGTGCAGCCGAGATGCTTGGCTTAACGAAACAGTGTACTAGATGATTTCCCTGCAATGATATTCCGAAAGTTTTCATGCATTCAACTTTTGACTATAGAGACCTCTAAATTTCAACTGTGCATGCTCAGAAATAGTTTGACAGTTGGACAAACAGCATATCAGACCCGATGAATTCTAGGTGATAAAACTCCACGGACGATCATTTGTGCGTAGTGCACGCAGGGGCGGGGTCCTATGTCAACTTAGATTCAATAATAGTAGTATTCTCTTGTTCTAGATCAGGTCAGTAATCTTACTTTACAATATGTTATCACAAAATCTCCCAGGGGCGGAGCCAGGATTTTTCAGGTGGGGGGGGGGGGGGGGGGGGGGGGGCGAGGGGGGGGCTACCCGCCAATTTCCAATTAGAATTTTTTCTCGACCTCGTTTTCACATTCTGTAACTCACAATCTGTGTAGACCCTTCCTGGGCTGGGGGGGGGGGGGGGGGGGGGGGGGGGGGGGGTGGGGGGGCATGCCCCCCCCTGTGGCTCCGCCATAAGCTAAGCGACATGATGCTGAGAGTGAGGTCATGAGGTTTTGTAGGAGAAATCAAGTTTGATTATCTCTTTGTGCTGTGCTTGTACTAATAGTACTGTGGACCTCACTTCTACTGATAGTACTTCGAACTGTATTAATACTTATGAAGAATGAGGGAACCTTTTCATTGCCCACGTTGATGCTGCCGAGGACGATGTCAGTCTCGGTTTTCTGATATTATCAGGTTACGGGGAGATATATTGAGGTCAGCTCCAACATTTAAGGCGGACCAACTCAAAAGTGGAACTGGCTCCCATTGTCCTCGTGTATGTCACCGTCTTCGTAGATGGTGACATAGCGCATGTGTTGACATCCAATGTTGGAATTGGTCCCATGAGCACCTCTTTAGCCAGCAGGAGAGCTGCATGGTCATGATACTTGATTAGACGCTGGACCGCCATCGCTGGAATGAGATATAAGAAAGGTGTAACGAAGGATATCATGGTTACGTTTCGTAAACAAGCTAGGCTCTGCTTAACGAACTCTTATAAGATTGAAAACTAGGACGTTACCGTAAGATTATTGAACTCGTCTCCAAAATCTGATTTAACTCTCATGAAAGCCGAGATTCTACACGTCTGAGCTTCATTTGATGCCAGGAATGTGACATCATCAACAATTTAGCCTTGTGTAAATCTTGCAGTTGAAGTCGATGATCCAAAAGATTGCTAGCACTTTAAATTTTACAGCTTCGTTGCGTATACTCAGTAGTTTTCGTCATATCTTTGACATACAAAAAAACCCAGCTCAAGACCTCCTATAATAGAGATTTTTACTCACTGGTGATGGCTCATTAAAATTACCCTGCAATCCAGCTTCTACAGCATGAAGATGTTTGCAGTCTTCCATCGTATTGTATCTGAGTTAAAAAAAATAGTCGTACTTCCTGCAGCTTTTGTGTCTAGATTTCATGTCAAGCTTTGGTCATTAAGAACTAAAACACTTTCTAACGTGTAATAAGAGATATCTCCGAGAGATAGATTATATTTTAAAAATTGTAGGCGTGATTCTCTGCTTGCGTAATACTCTCTTAAAAGATGGACACAGACAGAAGGAGAAATTCACAAGAACAATGCATGAATTAGATTATTCAAGAATTAGATTCACCTGGTATCAAGAATTTGTCTCTTAGCTATTATCAGGTGACGTGTATGTTCTATCAGAAAATTGGACGTTTTCAATTCAGCATCCAATTTCACGACGGCAGTCAGCTGAGAACAAGATCACAAATTTCGTGTCGGATCCACTTCAATGTTATTCTCATTCATCCTGGATATCTCAGTGTGAACATGTGTGGTAACCCACTTTTTGTTTTTGTCGGAACTAAAACATTTTTGAATAGTAAGTACCGCGGCAGCAGCTGTAAATAGTAATCGGTACGCGAAACCAGAGTAAAAAGAGGATCGAGGACAGTCAAGGGGTTTTGGGCTTAGGCCACAGTGGGACGCTTGGGACGGAACGGGCGGTTCATGCTGCAGGATCAGCTTCGAGCACCTTCGGCGGTAGATCACTCATAACTTTCTCAATTCGTAACGCCTTGAGTTGCTTTGGGTCTTGTTGCAAAGAGCTCGCGACGCTCGTTCTAACGAGACCAAGAACTTGTGAAACGAATGAGAGGTCACTGAGTTATGAGTGTCGGAAGTTACTGATGGGGGGGGGGCCTTCGGCGGTAGAGCGACTTTGGCGGTACTCCTTCGGCGGAAGAACCGCCGGAAGATGCGCCTTGGGCGGTAGACGCCTTCGGTCAACGCCTTCGGGTCAACGCCTTTGGCGATGCGGGAGAGTGCATTCGGCGGAAGAGTGAATCCCTCATAACTTTCTCAATTCGCAACGGCTCGACTTGGTTCGGGTCTCGTTGGAAAGAGCTCGACGCGCTGATTCTAACGAGCCCAAGAACGCCACGAACGGAAGAGAAATCCGGGAGTTATGAAGGTCGCAAGATACTCAGCTTTCCGCCTGTGCACAGGCGAAGAAAGTTTTGTCCTATGCGCGGACGAAGGAAGTTCGCCTGCGCACAGGCGTTCGCCTGTGCACAGGCGCTTCGGCGTCGGCGGGAAATCCGTCTTGGGCCCTAGAAATGCGCCTTGTGAGGTAGAAAGTGTACGGCGCCTTCTGCGCCAGCGCAGCGCCGCGGACGGCCAGGACAACGCCGCGGACGGACAGGTCAGCGCCGCGGACGGCCAGGTCATCGCCGCGGACGGACAGCTCAGCGCCGCGGACAGCCAGGTCATCGCCGCGGACGGACTGTGGATAGGCGAACGCCTTCGGCGGAAGAGTAAAACCGACATAACTTTCTCAATTCTCAGCGGTTTGACTCGATTCGGGTCTCGTTGGAAAGAACTCGACGAGCTGGTTCCAACGAGACCAAGATCTCTTGAAACGGATAAGGCGTCAATGAGTTATGAGCGTCGAAAGCGGCTGTCATGGTTAGGCGTGAGGCCTTCGGCGTTAACAGTTAGAGGGGCCTTCGGCCCAAGGCGGCCTGCGAGTAGGCGGCTTGCGTGTAGGACGCGTGGGACCCACAGTCCTCGGATTTTGGAGAAGGAATTTTGGCCTAGGTTCAGAGATCTTGCGGGGCCGATATCTTTGCGATGGACGGTTGGATGGATCTGAAATTTTGTGGGGCCGTTGATCTCGGCCGGCCACGCATGCCTGCAAATTTTCAGCCTCAGATCTTGGGTGGGAAGGCGCTGGCGGCTCTGTACAGTAGGCTTAGGATTCAGATTTAGGGTTAGGGTTAGATTTAGGTTGTAAGTTAGAGGGGAAGGCAACCGCCGACTCCTCAGGTGTAGGATCTGTTGCGGCTCGCACCATGGCATTGCAGTGTAGTGTTAGGTAGGACTTAGAAGGTATAAAATAGTTCCAGGCGTTTTGCCTGGGGTTCTTTCCCATCAGAAGTATAGATCAGGAACCCATTTCCTTTGCGTGTTTGTGTCCTTGAGTTCTGTCACCACGCACGAGGAGTTACAACTTAGCGTTCCGCATTTTGTAGCTGAAGGCCTTCGGCCGAATGTTCAGAGCTAGTACATTGGTTAGAGACTTGAGTAGTTCGGATCTGCACCTGCGGGTGACCGCCGATGCTCAGAGCCAGTGACTAGTTAGATACTTGAACAGTTTCGCCCCTACACCTTCGAGTGTTTCTTTCTGATTGTACTCCCTTGGGATTTTTCCCCTGAATGCCAAAGTGAAGTTTTGCTACTTCGTGTAAGCCTTGGTTGTAAATTCAGGTTACGCTGCAGCAGGTGCCTTGAGGGTAACCCCTGTTGTATTTCTGGGAATGACAAGTGCCTGAGAATTCAAACTCTTCAATAGACTGTTGTTGTGTTACTGGAATGTTTCACAGTGAGTCCTTCAGTGTGGACCTGTGTTCTCTGCGCGTTTTGTGAGTTGAGAGTGTTGTTCACCGCGTCTGAGTGACTTCGATCCGAAGTAGGTAGTCCAAACCAGGTTTCCTACACTAGCAGCAAGCTAGTGGAAGCGTTGTAAAAGCCGGAGTTGGAAGTCACTGCCCGCAGCTTTGCCGAGTGTGCTCGTGAGAGACTTTCCCCCTGAAATCTTGAAGTAGAGGTCCTAACGGATCTCTGGGTTGTGTTTCTGTAGTTTCAGGTGTGTGTGTGTGTGTGTTACGCTGCACTGTGCGACCTCCGAGTGCGCTCCGAGTGGACACTTGCAGTATTTCTGGGAGTGACAGTCGCCTGAGAATTCAAACTCCTCAATAGTCTGTTAAAACGTGACACTTTGTACCCTGTGTGTTCCTCTGTCCCTGTGGGTTCGACCTTTCTACCACTATATTGCAGTTTTAGCCTTTAGTGGGTTATTACAACATGGGACCTTACTCTCACTTCTCTAATTTAACAACATCTTATCATCTATAATCTAGGCAAGCAGATGTTCTGCATGTGGATTAAATTAAGAATATGAAAGTATGCAAAATCTGAAAGTTTATTCGTATTCTTGGCTGCAGCGCAGCTCACTGGATTTCATTCGTCCCCCAATTTCTTCATAAGAAAACTAGCATCAGAATTCGAAAGACTCATTCTCAACCTCTACCCTCTAGATTTGTGATCTGTATACGACAGAGCAGTGAGACTGGTCGGTGCACTATGCAAAATGACTAAGGACAACAAAACTTTCATCCATACAGTTAATTTAGTCCAGATGCAGAACAACTTCTTGCCTAGATTATGGATGATGAGATGTTGTTAAATTAGAGAAGGAAGTGAGAGCAAGGTCCCATGTTCACACTGAGATATCCACGATGAATGATAATAATATGGAAGTGGATCCGACACGAAATTTGTGATCTTGTTCTCAGCTGACCGCCGTCGTCAAAATGGATGCTGAATTGAAAGCGTCCAATGTTCTGACAGAACATACACGTCACCTCATAATACCTAAAAAAGTTTTTTTGTCCTTAGTCATTTTGCAGTTTCACTGCTCTGTCTGTGCAGATCACAAATCTAGAAGGTAGAGGTTGAAAATGAATTTTCCGAATTCTGATGCTAGTACTCTTGTGAAGAGATTGGGAGACAAATGAAATCCAGTGAGCTGCGCTGCAACCAACAATAAAAATAAACTTTCATTTTTTGCCTCTATATTAATACCGTGTAATGGCTCAAGACCGTTTGAATAGGTTTGAACCCTTCAACTCCACAGTTTACAAGTTTCATGAAGTCTATTTAAGTTTATTGTTCGCCCGAATGTCGACATTTACGACCTCCGAGACGATAGATAGTCACAGTTTACAGCTGCGAACTGTTAACTGTTTCTCACACAATTCCAAGCCAAATATGTTTGGATAAATTGTCGGTCTTCTTCTAGAGACTCAAAATTAGTGTATGAATGAGCAAATAGCAGTTTTCAGAAGTTATTTTATGCTTCATTGTTGAACTGGAACAGGGTGAGTATATCGGTTAATCACTACCAGCGTGGTTGACTCGTGTGTCCTATATTTTGGAGGTCTGTTATTCTGGATCCTAAAATTACTGTCTCGTATTTTTGTTCGTTCCCTCGTATATTGGCGACTTTTTCATACTAGGTAGCAGCCACATAAGAAGAAACCAACGTTTTGGTCCTATTTCCTTAATTGTGAGGGCTCAAAGTTGTATTTACTCATTCAAGAAGGTTATACTTGCTGCTCTGCAGATTCAATCGATGCTGTACCATCAATTTTACAGCTTGTTCATTGGCACGTGCGGACTGTCCTAGCTGGATCCACTGTCAAATTTCCATATGAAGTTCCAAAAAAACATTTTGTTTTATTTGCTGAATAAATCCGTCACGCGGTCGAATAGATACACATGTGCTGATCACAAAATACTACTCTGAAGTGAGATCTTGACGTGCCCATCTTGGAAATCCAAATGAACAGCTGTAGACTAAAAAGGGAAAAAAAGAAATAAGCTATAAATCTCAAGATTGGACAATATCAAATATGAAGTACTTTATGTTTTGGTTTCAACGCATTATTTCAAAGAAATTTAGCTGAACAAATTATCTCGAATTTGTAAATCATCTTTAATTCGTTCTCCTTCTATCAATATTTCTTCAACTTTACTTGTCTTAGTTAACGAGGGTAGAAAGTTATGGTCTACAGCTAGGCTATTTAACCGCCAGGACTGCCAAGCTACCCCGAAAATTACCTTTTCTTTTCTTTTGTCTCCAGCCAAGTTCTTTTTCAACGTTGGCTCTTCATTTCTCTGCTTCTCAACCTATTGTGTGTTAGGTTGATCCCTCTTTGATACAAATCTATTCACAATAATGAATCTTGAACGGTAGGTTCTCCCCATAGATTACCTAACAGAGAGATGCTCAATTTATTTCTTCATCTTCAATGCTTATTGCCACTGTGCCTAGCTTATCTGAATGCACTTCAGTTTCCTACTCCAACAATGTCATTTTTTAAAAAGCCATCGTATGTGAGATCAACAAACATCGCATTTTATTTCATCATTACAATATTCAGTTTTACAGCAATAATATGCGATGGATGATAATACAGCAATAAACAATATAATATCTTCAATCACATTATTATATGGTACATGCTCGTATACATTAATAAGAAAATTCAAAGCGAAGCAAAAATGAAGTTACACCAAGGCCAAATCTCGATCAACCTTTGATCAACATATAATGAAACAAGAGTTGAACAAGCAGTTTGTGCCCATTGCATCAAAATCTCCACCATAGCCACAATCAACTTACATATCTAGAGAAAAACTATTTGAAAAAAGATGAAAATGATTTTTAACAAGGCTATCACCTTTAATGCCAAACTTGTGGCAATGTTTGAATTGCTTCATATGTGCATGTAACTAACTGATAATGCTCCTACTTACGAAATCTGCAGGTATATATTTCAATCTTTACAAGAGGCTGGTGCCCAAAACTATGATACCGGAAGTGGGAAAATTGTGGCTGACATCATCCATGATGATCCAAAATTCGAAATCGACGAAATGTTTTACAACGTAGTAGATCCTCGTGCATGATCTGGGCGATGCATGACAAAGCTACGCAATTTTGGCACGTCCCCACGCATGTAGAGCTCAATAGAAAAACCTCGAGAGGTCTGCGGGAGTCCCATGCGAAGCACGGAAATTGTGACAAGATGTCAGTATGCCAAACGACAAGAGACTAGATCTATGCTAACTAGAGAGCTAATCAAGTGTACATGCAGAGCTGCTAGTGTAATAGATAGCGAAAGATGATGATTCTGATACCAGGCTTCAAAATAATGAGGCCTCTGGGTGATCATAGCAGTCTCCATCCAACAGTTCATTGCTTTATCTTTCTGTAACGTGTGACAGGGTATTCATGCTTCGTGGCTACTTCATCATTCTGCGAGGCTGATTCCTCCAGCCGTACAGCCAGTACAGGATTTCAAGTAGACAGTTGGACAGTGCTTATACAACGATAAGTGATTAATGGGCATATGAATACAAGTTCATGATCCGAGATGAATCATTGATGAACGGATCATTCATAAACTTGCTGTTACATAAACAGGAGTAGAACCGGACCACATAAGACACCATAGTGCATGCAAGATGTACTCGAGAGAACACGCTTACACTTTCTGCATGAAGAATATATTCTTCAGGTCGTCAGCTAACTCGTCCACTTTCTATATATGAGTTTAACAGAGTCGACTTTTTTCTCTCATCGTCTCTTTGTTAGAACGCTGAAAATGGGAGCATGAGATCAAATCGATGTGGGAACATGTGAAGAAATCGTATAGATTCTGCTGCACTTGGATCATCATCTGAAGATAGTAGTGTTCACCATCTGACTTGAACGCAGCTGAATGGAGCGAGGAGAGACGAGACTTTCAAATTTAGTCACCTTAATCATGCGTTTTGACTTGGAATTTGGAGACCCAGATGTTGTAATAAGGTAAGGCCCAAAGTACTGCGTGATATCTACACGGAGATTTGCTGCAGGTTATGATACATGAGCTAAATTTCGGTGTGCAAAAGAAGTGCTCGTAATTTCCACTTCAGCAATAAAAGTATCGAAGAATGTTCGATGTATTGAAGTAAATTAACATCATACTCCAAGGCAGAGAGGTGATTTCATGAACTAAGAATATGACAGAAGCCTCACATGGAGTGTAGGATGCCGTATGCTTTAGCTCCGAGTCGTTCTTGAAAATAAAAGCTGAAAATTCTAGAGCTAGCTATAGATTTACAGCAGGATGAATACATATATGTTGGCTGTATATACAGATGAAGTTATAACTGCCGTGGTAGATTGTGGCAAGAACTGTGAAAACTCGAGAATTTTTCAAGTTACAAGCATGGAGGATTATCGAAATACGATACATGCCAAAGTGACATGAGTTCGTTAGGGGATGAGAACTTAGATCTCGACAGTTTGAACTTTGTTCTGACTTCGTCATGCTTGCGTGCACGTGGATGGCTACAGTGACCCCTGATAAATAATATGAGCTCTTATTTCCGGAAGTTTATCGAGAATTAATGAGACGATAGTTGAGCACGTCGTATGTCCTGGTCGGAATTAATAGCCGCACATGAGTCAGAACCATTCTGTTGCTTTGCAAAATGACCTTCATGGACTTTCATCTTCTGGATTATGATTTATCGTCCATCTGAAGATACAGATGGTCACTGGATTCACCTTAACCATCGTGCGTAGTCCTGGCACCCATTTTCTAAACTCCTAGTGAAAAGTTAGACTTTAGCTGAGCTAATGCTTCCATACCCATTCCCCTGGAACATCAAGGTGCTAAACCGAACTTTTCGCACAAGTGTAGCATTGCAAAACAGTTTAACGTAAATCTAAAGCTTTATAAATATATGCAATGCCATAATTCTTGATCAGACTCTGGCGACGGCAGAAAGTCCGCATCTTCAATAACAAACCTGTACCTGAGATACATATATTCGTCACGGTCGGACTAGAGCTTACGGCTGAAATCCTGTGCCTCAGAAACATGTTCTGCTTTGGACGACGACCTCTATAAAGAACCTAAACATAAACCACCATACCTCTTTCTGCCTATCATCCAAAATTTATTGCATCATCTGCAGTAAATGGCTCTACCTCTATCAATGTCTATGAGCAGGATGTGCACGATCTGTTCCTATCTGCCCTGGTTGCCCGGATAATTTGGACTCATTCACTCGGAAAATCGTATTGTTTCAGGCGGTTGACTGTGTTCTCGTCGAGGTTGAAAGCCTCCATCAGAATGTCAGTGGGAATGCGAGGATTGGAATTGAACAGAGCAGGAGGCCAGCTCTGGCGACCTGCGTTTTCGCTGTTGAATACGGCGATGACGGTGGCTGTCTTAGTCTTGCTTCGGTTGATCTGGAAGTGCATAAGTCCCTTGGGAAAGACAAACACATCACCTTTCTTCAGAGTAGCCGTGAAGAGATTGTTCTTGGTGTCCACGAGTCCTGCATCCAGCTCCCCGTCGATAATGTAGAACACTTCGCTCGCTCGAGGATGGTGGTGCACGGAATTGAGAGCTGAAGGTCCGAACTTCAATAAGGCCGGAGCTATACCAAGCCCAGTCACTCCCGGGAACTGTGTGTCAAAGGCGAAAGTGATTACGATCTGCTTGGTCGCCGATTCTGGAAGATCTCTGAAGCCTGTGAAGTGGAGCTGGGCACCAGAGGTGACATTGATGCCAAAATCAGTAGTAATGTCAGGGTCTGCTGCTGTCACTGGCCGTCCCACCATCATGGTCACCATCAGCAGGAAGATCAAAGTGAGCCCGATCATTTCCATTGAGAAGGTTTTGAAATTTCCTCGGTGAGGAATTTGATAAACTCCTGGACTGACTGTGTGTCTGTAAGAAGCTTCTGGTTAGACAGAAGCACAAAACTTACAGATCAGATCACAGTCAGAGGAGATAGAACTGGAAAACAGCTCGCTGAATTGCATAGAAAGGCTGAACTATTTATACAAAACCCAGAACGATACTTGTTGGGGAAGGTAGGACTTCATGATAACGAGCAGTGTCCTCCATGATACTTCTGCAAGTTTTTAATCATGCAAGTTTCGACTGTATTAGCTAGAGACTTCTTAAGTTATTGGTGTATTCCAGACATATTCTCTAATCTGTACGATCTGACATTGAAATATCAGGTCCAGTAGGTCAATACCTCGGATCTAGTGGATCACAAGTGATAAAATTACACGGAAGATCATTTTTGCGTAGTTCGCGCAGCGGCCCGGTGCTGTTCTGTCGGCTTCTACTTTATAATAGAATTATAAACAGTTGTGCTAGTTCCGGTCAGTAGCTTTACGTTTTAATACGTTATAAGCTAAGCCTACTAATAAACTCCGAGAGTTTATTAGTACGTTTAGCGACATGAAAGTGAGTGTGAGTTCATGAGGTTTTGTACGATAAATCAAGTTTGAATAACTCTTCTTACTTTGTTTGCAGAAATAGTACTTCTGACGCATTACATCCTTTTGACCCCCATGAACATTTATTGAGCGTGAGTGAATCTTTCATACTGCTTAAGTTGATGCTGCCGAGGATCAGTCTGGGTTTAGTGTTATTGAAAGTTTACGGGAGATATATTGAGCCCACTCCATTATCTAAGGTGGAGCGACTCACAAGTGCAAATAGCTCCCACTGTCTTTGTAGATGGAGATGAGTACTCGCATTTATTCGAATCTGTCGCAGTGTTGAGATCGATCCCACATGCACCTCTGTAGCCGGCAGGAGGAGTGCCTAGTCGTGATACTTTATAAGAAACTGCTCTGCCTTCGCTGGAATGATACGTACAGAAATGGAATGGAGGACCCCATGCGTACGGTTCACAGACAAGCTGGGCTACCTGGTCAGCGTATTATTAGCAGATTGAAAACTAGGACGTTTCCGTAAGATCATTGACCGTATCTCCACAATTCTTATCTATCTCTGACTAACCGAGATTCTAGACAACTTAATCTAATTTGATGCCAAAACGTTGACATCATGAACCAAATACCTTGTGTTGGATCTTGCTTTTGAGGTTGATCACCCAAATGGAGAGCCAGACGGATATAGATTTTCACAAGTGCAATGTATGTATTCGCTTCTCCAATTAGCTATTTCACCTAGTGATCACGAAATAGTCTTTTTGGATTCCATCTCTCAATTATTTTCATGTGACGTGGATATTCTGCCTGAACATGGGACGTTGATGACTTCAGCATCTTTTTGCATGACAACAGTCAAGTGAAACAAAACTACAAAATCTCGTGTCGGAATCCATTTCAATATTATTATCATTCATCGTGGATATCTCACTGAAACATGGGACCTGCTCTCACTTCTCTTATTTCATAACATACTATTTTCCATAGTCTAAGCCAGAAGACTTTCTCATCTCGACTAAATTAACTGTATGGATGAAATTTCTTTTTTCATAACTTTTTTCGTCATGGTGCACCGACCAGTTTCACCGCCCTATCGTGTTCAGATCATGTGTACTAAGATTGAAGCTTCTTGTTTTGATTTCTTCTGTGAATACATGTCTTGCATGTTGGTGACTTTTTCAGAATAGATATTAGGTACATAAGAAAAAATCAAATTTTGTAGACTGTCTCAGATTTTTTGTGCATAATTTTTCCTTCAAATCTGAGGATTCGTTCTATTCGCACATTCAAGAAATTTCTGCTTGCTGTAAACACCAAAATGCTGTATCATTAAAATATACAGCTTGTCCATTGCCAGAAGCGGACAAATACAGTGGAGTCAGATCAGCTCGCATTGTGCTACTTTTTCTTTGCTTTATTACGGTCATTTTGCATCAGTATTTTGGATTTACTACCTTATGTTACCATTCCCATTTTATTAGTTTGACTTCACTATTGAGCGTCACTATTTTGGGGCTTCTGTACTTCGTACTCAACTCTTTGACTTTTCTTTGACTTTGATTCACTTTGACTTCGTCAGCACTATGACTTCAACAAATCCGCACTTTAGATCTTGACGTTTTGGAACTTCGAAGATTAAACTCCTTGAGTCTTTAGCACATCCTATAAGCACTTCTCTTCAACTTTTCAGTATTTGCACTTCATTTTTATCACTTTATTTCATAGATTACTATCGCCATTTTTTCCTCCAATTTTTTTAAAATTAGCACTTATGTTTCAATACTTTGACTTCAGCCTATTGTTTCATTGCTCATATCACTTTGTTGTTGTCTTGCACTTCGTGTCATCTGCACTTCTACTCTTTGACCGTTTCAACTAAAAGCCTTGTAAATGAGTGACAATGGTAAATAGATCAAGCCGAGTTTTTCAAAGGATCAAAAGGCTGAAATATACATTATAAGTTATTCAGTGAGTTGGAAAAAGATCCTAAAGATCTCCCCCTAGCAAAGGCCTGGAGCCCTTGAACATTAAATACGTACATCCCTAATATGACTACCTAGATCATAAGGCATTAGCTGTATTAAGTATTACAAATTCTTCACATCTATTTTATGAGATAGTATAATCTAATTATACCTAGCACATGTAACAAACACATGTTCTTCATCTTTATTATTTACTCCCTCACATAACATGCAAATTTTTTCATTTCTATCAATATTGAACCATCATACTTCCTCATTTCCTAGCCTATGTTATGCAAAAATATGATCTTAAAACGTGAAGATTCCCACAAGTAGGTATACTTGGTCACAATATACAAGCATAGAATTAACATGAGGTTGATAAAACTACATTTTGATACTTGTACTGCTTCAAATATTGTCGAGAAATTGATACTGTAGATGCTCGACATCGGTTGCAAGTGCCAATTGCGTTTCGCCACATTACACTTTGAGGATAAAATCACTATATCCTTTAATCACACTATGGAACTTGTGGCCCACGAAAATCTTCAAATAAGCAGTTTTAGCTTTAGAGTAATACAACTTGCCTGTGCAAGAACAGAATACAAAGTTTGATTTCTAACCTCTGATTCTTATTGGAGATAGATTTTTTTCATCTTGTCCACGCGCTGCCAATTCTTTTTCTTACAACATGAGCTTCAGACTTGGATATATTATAATATCACCGGCAATACTAAGCTATCAATTAAGAATTTTCTAAGACTCCAAGACACAAGATGAGCTCTTTTATATCCATTTTAAAATGAATAGAGAGCTTTGTAACCAGCTTTTTGTCTCTTTTGTATGTAAAATGCCCAACTATGGTCATTAGAAAAATCAATGTGTAATAACCCACTAAAGGCTAAAACTGCAATATAGTGGTAGAAAGGTCGAACCCACAGGGACAGAGGAACACACAGGGTACAAAGTGTCACGTTTTAACAGACTATTGAGGAGTTTGAATTCTCAGGCAACTGTCACTCCCAGAAATACTGCAAGTGTCCACTCGGAGCGCACTCGGAGGTCGCACAGTGCAGCGTAACACACACACACACGCACCTGAAACTACAGAAACACAACCCAGAGATCCGTTAGGACCTCTACTTCAGGATTTCAGGGGGAAAGTCTCTCAAGAGTACACTCAGCGAAGCTGCGGGTAGTGACTTCCAACTCCGGCTTTTACAACGCTTCCACTAGCTTGCTGCTAGCGTAGGAAACCCGGTTTGGACTGCCTACTTCGGATCGAAGTCACTCATACGCGGTGAACAACACTCTCAACTCACAAAACGCGCAGAGAACACAAGTCCGCACTGAAGGACTCACTGAGAAACATTCCAGTAACACAACAACAGTCTATTGAAGAGTTTGAATTCTCAGGCACTTGTCATTCCCAGAAATACTACAGGGGTTACCCTCAAGGCACCTGCTGCAGCGTAACCTGAATTTACAACCAAGGCTTACACGAAGTAGCAAAACTTCACTTTGGCATTCAGGGGAAAAATCCCAAAGGAGTACAATCAGAAAGAAACACTCGAAGGTGTAGGGGCGAAACTGTTCAAGTATCTAACTAGTCACTGGCTCTGAGCATCGGCAGTCACCCGCAGGTGCAGTTCCGAACTACTCAAGTCTCTAACCAATGTACTAGCTCTGAACATTCGGCCGCAGGCCTTCAGCTACAAAATGCGGAACGCTAAGTTGTAACTCCTCGTGCGTGGTGACAAAATCTCAAGGACACAAACACGCAAAGGAAATGGGTTCCTGATCTGCACTTCTGATGGGAAAGAACCCCAGGCAAAACGCCTGGAACTATTTTATACCTTCTAAGTCCTAACTAGCACTACACTGCACTACGCTACACGCCTGCACGGAAACACGCTACACTACACTCCGCGGAACCTGTACTACGTCTCCTGCGCGGCCGACTGCCGCGCACTAACTCCCTACCCTGCCAATCTTCCGCTCGACTGCGCAGTCCCAAACGCTGCAACGCCGCGGACACCTCCACTTCGAGGGCGGACATGGTATCCTGCGCCTTCGACAGAAAAGCATCGAGCTTCTTTGCTACCTTCCGCCGACTCCTACTGTCGCCTGACAACAACCCGGCTGCGCGCAATTCAAACTCACGCAGTGTGAGTTTCTCCTGCGCCTTCACTTCCCAGTGGGCGTAGCCCTTGAGACAGTGGGCGACACGCCTCGCCGTCTCCACCTTCGTGCGATCCGCCTCCTTCCTGCGATCCTCTTCAATTATCACTAATTGCGATTCGGCCTCAGCACGTTGCGCTCTCAATTCGTGTAATAACCCACTAAAGGCTAAAACTGCAATATAGTGGTAGAAAGGTCGAACCCACAGGGACAGAGGAACACACAGGGTACAAAGTGTCACGTTTTAACAGACTATTGAGGAGTTTGAATTCTCAGGCAACTGTCACTCCCAGAAATACTGCAAGTGTCCACTCGGAGCGCACTCGGAGGTCGCACAGTGCAGCGTAACACACACACACACACACACACCTGAAACTACAGAAACACAACCCAGAGAT